ATGGCTGCACAAGTTCCTAGAGCTATGGCGCACGTTATAACAAAGTAGCGAGATCGTTAAGTAATTGTTATCAAGGAACTAAAATATTATTTTAGCAGGATAATGCTAACTCGGTTAAATTATCATCGTTAGATGTTCCCCAAGCGTGTGCTGAAAATTAAGCCTGTTTAACTTTTACGATATCCTAGAGAAAATTTACTCAACTTACAAGTTAATTGCGCGAGAGACCTAAATATACATTTCCGACGTAGAGGCCGCGCGATAATTCGATAAAATAAAGTATGCTCCGCGAGATATCGGCCAAGGCCGTGCCTCGCTTCGGGGAGGACAGGATTCCTCTCCGGAGCGAGGATACAAAACCGTGATGACATCACGAAATGATCGGTCGTTATTTGTAAATGTCAGCTTACGCCGATGGCATTGTTGCCCATTGGAACTCGATCTCCCGCACATGTACACGAGGGACGAGGCTCGAATTGTTTCGAGCGGCGTATCGGGTGAGATAATTGGTCTCTCGTGTCACATACTTTTGGGTACGATGATAATTGAACGGGGGAATCCATTGACAGAAGAGAGCGCGTGCCGTTTACGATACAGCTGTGTCAATCGTGCAACACACGCGTTCCGGCCGTAAGGAATTTTCATTCGCCACTTCGCTGCAGGAAGCGATTCATACACGACGAAACACGCGCAGCACGGTCCACAAGGTCGATTCGAGAAGACCTGCAAAATTCAATATATATTTCCGACAGGTAAAAACCTGACAGATTTGCACAACTGCGCCGCGAGAAGAGAAAAGCGTGCTCTGAAAGATAATTTTTCCTCGTTCGCACAAGTAGCCGTTATGTGAGAAAGAAAGCGGCATTGAAGGGGACTATAGATGGTATTTATAAAAAGACTAATGATAAAACTATTATAAAAAGTACCTCCTCTGTACTTTGTCCAGATGGAAAAACATTAATTAGAGACAGAGAGCTGTACTTGCAAACCTTGTTTCTGACACTTATCTTGTTTGCGTCAACTGATAGCTTAAGATAAATTGATTTCTCTTATATGAAGAAACGAAAATAAGAAACGAAATTTTTTAATATGCGATTCTTGATTATTTTATAACATGTTTTTTTAATTGAAACAACTTTTAGTTCGATCTCTCGTCGAAACGACGGGAGGGGAAATTGGCGTGTAACAAAACTCGTAGGAGTTCTCTCTACAAGTTATTTATTTTTCCTCAATATATTTACCTGTGATAAGGCTGAGATGTATTACAAATCCGATATTGTTTGCCGAGCAATATCGATCTCGGTACACGGGCATAAGAGGAATTTCAATAGCCGCGCGTAGGATGAACCGGGCGACCGGAAATAACGCGGTTTCACTTGCCGCTTGTATAACCGACGGTTATCGCATGAAAGTCTTGCTCCTTGGATCGTGCTCCTCATCGTATTATAACACAATCGTGCATTGAGACGCGACTACGGTTATTTCGCACGTTTTGCTCTTGTTTTTTCCTTTCCTTTCGCGACAAACAAATTAATTATTTTTAATTTTTGAGACTGCGTGCTTTATCATTATAATTTCAGTTACTTCATAATTATATTCATTATCCAAATAGCTCTGATTAATTAATTAAAATTATTTCACATGTTTCATTTTATTTTGTGGAAGTTTGCTTCCACGTTCGCGCTTAGTTCGCATGCGTTCGAGCTTAGTTCATTTAATCAAAGGTAATTAAAACTAATTAAAACTTTTTTTTTTTAATTTTTGATGCATGACAATTTGAATTTTTTAAAATAATATCCTTCGCGTCTGGTATCTTTAGCGAGCTACGACCAGTCTTCCGATCAGTGAAACTGCGTAAATGTTAAGAAACATGCGTCGTAAAATAAAACTCACGTCACCAAGGGCCGACCCTTTGATTACTGGAGCTTGGGCGCGTAAGCCGGCATAAATTGCCGATTACCGTTGCAAACAGCCACTTCCGTCGATGAAAGTAATTAAGCGCCGGCGCGGCGTGGGCCGCATGACGGCATGACGATAATTCTTGGAGAAGCTCCTCTCTCGCTCTCTTAGTTCATTACGTAAATCGCCGCATAGCTCTCCCCGCGAGCGAACGAGAGACGTTACACAAACGCAGCGGGGATCCTCAATTTCCGTCGTATCGCAATAATTCGCCGGCATTCCGCCGCGGCTCCTCCAACCGCGATGAACGAGTTTCTTGTGGCCGTACAAAGGTCGATTCATTGAGAAATCAGCTGTACCGAGTGTTTCACAAGTGAGAGACTCCGTCGAATGAAAAACCGTAAGAAATCCCGATGTACGTGTGCTCCGAATTACGTCCGAGATAACTCGCTCGAGATAGCTTCATTTTTTTTTATTTTTTTATCGCCGAAAATTTACTCCAGATTTGCCGAAGATATACAACTTGCGAATAGTTACATTGCGTTACTTGTGAAATATCTTGTACCGCGAACCCATTACAAAGGAGTCTCATTCATTGTACCCGATAACTTCGTTTTATTTAGACTCGATATCCGAGCTCCGAATTCCGATACTTGCGCAGAGAATCCCTTTTACGGAATCGGCATGCGACTTAACGAGTCCGCTTGTAACGTTACACAACGAATTTCCCTAATACGATCGACGTGAAAACAGGCCGTTGGGCAAACAACTGTTTTCGCAAACACATCGATAGAATATTGGCTCCACCTTTATTGGAGAAACTCTCGTTCACTTATAAATTTAATTTAACTGCAACCCGATTCTCTCTCTCTTTCTTTTTTTTTATTTTTTTCAGAATAGATGAAACCATGTTGGCGTGATATGTGTAGGAGAAAAAAATTGGTTCCCAGAAAAATTTAACGTTCACATTCTCTCCGTGTGGATTAAATATTATTGCGCAATATTATTTAAATAACCAGATATCCTAATTTAAGGGTCGTATTAATTTTTCCCTTTTTACAACATCACTGACATTTACTATGCAGTATTTCCCAAATGAAATCACACCGCCCACTCGTGTATACGAAGAAAAAGTTTTTTTATTGAAAATACAGATGCAAAAGAGAGGTTTTAGATTTTTTTTCGAGATTAAACATTTGAAACCTTTTTACGCGAAGTATCTCGTTGGCTTCACCATGTCATGTGAGCATATTTCATATCGATATGTACTTTTTCGCTCTTATATAAACGAACGAGTGTCATTCTGCTACGAAATAAATTAATATTGGATGAATATTATCAGCAATATGTAATCAGCAGGCATTATGCCATATGATATCGTGAAAAGCATTTAATGTAATTTTCACTCTAATTAAAATTCCATCGAAAATTACGCTGGTATTAATGAACTTTTCAACTGTAAATTTAATAACAAGAAATTAAAAGTATGAAGAGCGAGAGAAATGTATAATTTTCGATGAAATTCTACTTTATAGAACATTTAAAAATAAATTAACAACTTGTAACGACAAATAAATACATTTCTGCGAAATATCTGCAATCTTTATGATCGCGAGATAAAAGTACACGCATGAATCAATGCGTGACTGGAATCCTTCCATTCTTGACACTTTTATCAGCCGTCCTCGTATCAAGCCGGTATCGCGCGAAAAAAAAAACGATAAGCGATCTCTCTTGGCGAGAGACGTTGCCCACGAGTTCGACGAACGTCGGCCGCACTAATTGGCGTAATTAATTGCAAACTTGATCGCGATGAAAGTAAGCGCTTACGTAAAAGCGAATTGTCGAGATGCGCCTCTGTGACCGCGCGACGACGAGCGAGAGTTCGCGCAAAGGCCGATAAAGATCGATTACCTCACGCGAAATAGCGACAGTGAAATAATGTTTAAACAATTTTAAACGCCGAGACCGTCCGATTTTTATATATATCAGCTGAATAATATTTGGAATCGGGCGGCCACGTTTAACGCTAAACGCGACGCTAAATATAGGAAGATAGCGGCTAAGTTTGGATCCGATTAATGCATTCGCGGTACACAATTATCTCTTCTCGTGTTGCAACGATAATAATTTAGCGCGAGAATTTTTACGTTTAATAAAATATTGCGAGAGAGAATCTATAAAGCCGCGTGTGGACGAAGAAGCAAGTTGTTCTTATTTTTAATCGCACTTCACATTTCTTAGCATGCGTCATCCGCGGGATAAATTTGCTCGACATGGTATCGATTTCTAATAGACGTCTGAAGCTCGTTTATTAGACATAGGCTCTTTATAGCTCGATTTGCGTAGTATATGGCATCTACAAAGAGTGACATTTTATCGATCTCGAAACGATACGAAAATGTACTTGCGTCTACCTACTTACGATTCCGTCTATTATATTGTCTATTCTATATCGTAAAACTGTGACACTTAAATCCGTTCTGTTAAGCTTGAACCAGCTTCTAAAATTATTACTTTCTTAAATGATCTCAATATGTTTTCTTAGTAATTAAAACTAATTACATGACAGATATCTTCAGTATCGGCAGTTACAATCTCTAGATGGAGCCTATGAACGGACACCCGTCGTAATACTTCGCGCAAATCAGTTATCATATTGAGCCAGCTATCCGCTGGTACTAAAACTCCCTGCAAAGTATCGATTTAGCATTTCGTTAAAATAATTGACTAAAAAAAATTGACCAGTTTAAAATAATCGAGAGAAATAATTAATTTTTGTTTTATACAAAATATATAATATAGCAATGTAAAATTCCTATCGTAAATTTTATTCTTTCTTATTAAAAAAATATTGAAATTAAAATTTAAAGATTAAAATAGATCCTGATGTAAATAAATAATTCTTATTTTAGTAATAATATTTTATTTCGAAATTCTTGCGGCGATTTAAAATTATGTAATAATGAATATCTCATGCAATCAAGTTTCTAGATATTTTCAGAAGATGCGAAGAGACAGGCAAAATTGTTTGTTTCGTAAGAATGTTTATTTCATACGATTACAATATCAGTTAGGACAATATACTTAGGACAGAAGTATTAAGCGCGTTTATTTGTCGTCTATAAACAACGAGCTTCTATTACAGGATAGTGTAATGTCTCGTTAAGCTTTGTACTCCATACCACCTCTCTGTCTACCCTGCGAGTCCCTAAAGTTTGTTCCTTTAAAGAATCGCAATGGAGTAGACGTTCACAAAACTTTACGAGCGCGATGCGAATTAACGAAGTAGAATTCCGCCAAAGTGACTTTTCGTCAAAGTCAAACTCGAACATCCAATCGCTAAAATATAATAGAAAACCTACAAATGACAAGAGGACATCTACGAGAACACACTGTCAGCGAAAATGTTTGACGAGTTCATATCTGGATGGTACATGATTTTCAATCTACAATGAAGAATGACATTTGCTCCGAAGGATGGAAAGCTCACGAATACCTAGATCGACTTCGTGGCACTCGAATCGTACGGTCTCGATTCTACTTCACGACGACGATTCAACGTGCGGCATATCAGGGTTTGTTCGGGGCGCTTCTGGGCCTCTTCGGAGTGGCGTACTTGACACACAAGAATCCGAAAATGATCAACACGGCGACGACAGCCACTCCGATGCCCAGCCAAAGCTCCCCCCGTACGTTCAACTTGTCGAGGCCGATCTCGCGAAGAGCTAACGCGCCGTCGGGCGGCTCGCACGCCGCCTGGATAATGATGTCCTGCCGTTGGATCTGTTTGGGCTTGCAATTGGCCAGCTTTCCCACGCTCTCGCTTTTGTGAAGACGCGGCAGCAGCAACGACAACGACCACTGTATCGGGCTGATCTGCTGATACCACGACGGCAGATTGTCCAAGTGCAAAGTTGCCCCACCGGCTAGGGTCATCTCGCCCAGTATCACGCCGGCGAACAACGCCGCCAGATAGGTCCACTTGCACACGTGCGCGAAGAACGTGCAGATGAGATGCTGCAGCATCAGGTACAGCAGACCGACGGCGAGGTAGTTCCACAACGACGTCAGGTTCTCGTCCGGCACGAGGTGCAGCCCCGACATCGCAAACGCCGGCGCAAGATATATCAGATAGATCACGCACCAGGACGGCACGCTACAGATGAGCTGGAAAACAAAACGTATTTCCTTTATACCTTCCGCTAAAAGATATGATTCGAGATCTCGACGAATCCAAGCTTACCTCTACGATAATATACATAAATCTACCGTACAGCCCGTCCCTGATGTCCCTCTCCACGTTTGGCCTGCTGCTGGCCACGTCGCACATCGCCAGGAGGCTCAGGGGCCAGAAGAAGATGCCCAAACTAGCGTAATGATAGCCTATTCTGTCTCGTAGATATAGATTCGACTCGCCGGCGATGTCCCAGAATATTGCACCGAGTAGAACACTGAGCGACGCGGAAATGACGATCTTCCGCAACAGTCTTGTTAACGTCCACGGTTGACTGTAGATGAGCGTTCGTAACAATAGCGCGTAGAATTGCACAAATATATTGGGGCCGGACATCGAGGGCGGAAGTGCGCCGGGTGGTCCAGGATCACTGATCGGAGGTAGCCTCGTTCTGGCCAGCTCAGCCAGGTGATCTATCCTCTGTGAGGACTCCAGCATCGCTTCCGCCGACAGGTCATCCAGCGTTACTAAATCAACTGAAAAAGAAAGAGAAAGAATTGTCATCCATATCATTTGTTACAAAAAAATTACGAATTTGTAAGGAACACCATTTTTGAAAATAATTTTATTCGCAATTTCTCAAGAACATTCGCCACGTACGATAGTAATCGGACGGGTTCTTGAACGGCGGACAGGGAAACTCGGCGAGCGCGAAATATGGCAGCATGTCTCTTCTGGGTCCGGAGTACATGACTCGACCGCCGGACGTGAGCGCGACCCTCGACACCATCGTCAGGATCTCGTAGGTGGGCGGGTGTAGGGTCAGGACGACAAGACGCTGACCGCGGCTGGCCCACTGCCTCAGGTACTCGATCAGAAAGAAGGCGTCGAAAATGTCCAGACCGTGGGTGGGTCTGTCCAAGGCGAGGATGTGCGAGTCCTGAAGCAGCCGGCAGGCGAGGGCCAGTCGTCGGGCCTCGGAGGTCGTCAGGGTGTTCACCAGGCAGTGCTTGGTCGCCTCCAAGCCGAGTTCCTGCAGGATAGCCTCGGCCTCGAGCGTGGTGGTGTTGCGGCCGCCTCTCAGCAACATGTAGAAGCTGAGAGTCTGCTGAGCCGTCAGCCCGGGGCTCAGGCCACTTTCCGTGGGTAGATAGGCGACGCGCGATCTATTTTCGTTACAATATTGATAATTGAATGAGCCACTCCGGAAAAGACGACATTTTGAATAAAGATTTCAGATATCCGGGAGAATAATACCATATTAAATTATCAAAATCTATTTGATCATATCCGTATCCGGATGTCCGGATTAGCCGGATAACTCGAATTAATGAAAGAGAAAAATGGAGTTTAGATAGAAAGGAGATAAAAGGATAAAAAAATACTTTGTATTATTCTCGTATAATTTCATTGCGCGATCATCGTATAATCGCGCAATGAAAATTACTTGATACTTTTTTATGCATGCAATCTTCTAAAATGTATGATGTAACTAAAGATTGTTCGGGTAGTACGGAGAAAAGTTACAGTCCGAGATTATGAAGCAATAATTAAGTCGGCAATTGAAGCGATAATTGAATAATGAGTACCGCTTGTTATTCACCTTATTATTCAACTCTACTTGAAAATTTGTATGCTAATACATTCGCTAGTTACAGCCTGTTTCGCTAATGTTGGTTACCGTTAGCCATAGTTAATTAAATCTTCCTTTTCTATTTGGATCGTAGCCGACGCTATAATTTAGAGAAAAAAAACGAAAAATCTGCAGTCAACTAAATTCAGGCTGATTCATATTAATGAAACCAGCCATAGATCTCTTGTTCAATTATCCTCATTTAACCGTTTTTATTTCTTATATAAGTTTATTGTATATAATTTCTAATGCAACTGAATATCGTTTGACAGCAAGAAACTACCAACATTTTTTTTTTTTACTTTAAAAATTCGTATTTATTTTTGAAACGATAAATCCTACGGAGTAGATAACAAAGAAGCGTTTCTTGCACAAGGTAGCATTACCAAGATAGCGTAACACGTTTAATGGTTCACCGCCGCGTTACAAGAAGGCGTACGCGTGCAGCAAGAAGATCAGACAGTACCTCAGGCTGCGTGCCGATATGGATCTTCCATTGAGCAGAATATCGCCTCTTTTTATTCGCCTCCTGCCCGCGATCGTCTCGACGATCTGCGTGCCTTCCTTCTCGGTAGTCGCCATAATGGCCAGCACCTCGGCGGCGCCGGCCTCGAGGGTGATACCACGAAGAAGCGGCAGCCCGTCCGAGCCTGCAGCCTCCACGCCTCGCAGCTGCAGGTGAGGATGCTGCAGACACGGCATGGGTCTCATTGGCAGCGCGTAACCTTCCGGCCCCATGATACCGTGTCCTAGAGAAACAAATGTGTATCACGCATATAGCATTTCGAATTTCAAGTCAAGAAATTTAAAAAACTGAAAGAATCAAAAGATTCTTCGACGATGATCTTCTGTAAAATCTTCATCGATTTAAAATCGATTTCGCGAATTTGTGATAGAGAAGAAATGGCAAAAGAGTAATTTTCGGAACTTAATGTTAACATCACAAATGAACATTATAAAGATGCTCGTTTATTTTCGTTCATTTTTTCTTTCTTTTACCGTGCGCTATATATCCCGGATCGATCGGCGCGATGCTGTGTCGCCGGTTGGTCCTGATCGGGCTCTGCAAGAGATTAGCCTCGCTGGCGCTTCTCAGTCTCGGATGGTCCCTCGCGACAGTTAACTGAGAATGCGCCGGCTCCCTCGGGACAGCGTGGACATGCCTGAAATCCGGATCGCTTCTGGCTGAACGCATAATCGAGGTTGTATGTACCGGAGCACCTGCATATCAAAGTAGATCTCGTAACATACGCGGCATCGTCGCGCCACTACAAAACGCAATCCTGACGATCTTTAATTTTATCCAACGACCCAAATTAAATGACAACTTGTTCAATAATAACGTAGACAATTTTTAGAACAGCTTAATAAGTTATCTAAAGCATTCTAAAAATATACAGAATCTTTTTCAATGAGAAATTGATGGAAGAGTGCGGTAGAATAGTAATATGCAATAGAATTAGTTACCGCTCGTACCTGCGTGCGACACGCGTCGTCCTTCCTCGCTGGAGTCGTAGCCGCTCGAGCCGTCGCGATTCCGCGAGCTGGGCGGCAGGACGCGCGGCAAGCCGAACTTCAAGTACGTGTAAGAGTTGTTGGCCAGCGGGCTCTTGGGTCCGTACCGCGGATGCCGCAGGATGCTCTGCACCGTAGAGTCGCGCAGCTGGAAGTTTCCGTACGGCAGCGGCGACTTCTCAGCGGAGCCGAGTGCGGAATCCGTGAAGTCGGAGTTTAGGTTTTGCCTGCGAAATCGCGGAAATGCGTATACCTCATGCGCGCAGATTCCACCGTGCTTAATATCCATTCTATGTATACAACAAGATGTTTTTTTTAGTTAATTAGATGAGAGAGAGAGTTAATTAGATGATTAAAATGCATTTTCTGTTTCATGCGTATAAATATACGTGGAGCGATTCGCATTCCTCTAAATCTCGACCGCAGATTATTTAAAAGGGAAAATTGCTCAGAAGGATGGCAATGAGGATTTGAATATCTTTCGTTAATCGTTATACGTGCCGATGTAGTCATGCACGCTCGATAATATTCCGGCGTTTAATATTTTTAACGATAATAATGATACCGTTGATGTAACGCATGAAAGTGCACAGTATATATTGTAAATCAACAAGTCCGATCGGCAATTCCTTTCACGCGGCGTGCGGCAAAAAAGATGACGCAGCATTCGCTTTAGCGTTCCGCCGCCGCGCGTCGTCGGTCAGGCTTGGATTGGACGACGTACGATACGCGGATTACACGCTTGCACTTCAAGTACAAGTGTTCACCTGTAAATCGACCATGCGTGCAGATCCTCGCTGGCCGGCGGCTCCAGGCCCCTGGTGTCCAGAGCTCCCGGCACCGAGTACCTCCTCTCCAGCTCCCAGGCTTCCGAGCCCATATTTTCCGGTGGCTGCACAGAGATTGCAGATGTGACCGGTTAAATTTCCGCGAATTAATCTCAGATAACGTAATATCTCCTCCTTTTATTTTAATTACAATGCTTTAGCGCCGCCGAGGGGGAAAGTAAGGAAAAGAAACTCTCTCTCTCTTTTATTAGTTTCAGTTGCAAATTCGATCAGATCGAATCAATTGGCCGAAGCAATCACTTTGCAATTTTCATGAGATAATAAATCTATTTTATTTGTAATGGAATCATCATTTAACATAATTTCGATACGCATGAAAATATTACAAAGAAAACAAAATTTTACTGGAAAGACAGTCTCGTCGTATATATTCTTGGAAGTTCTAATATTCTTCTCCGAAGGATCGCATAAAACATCCGGTGGACATCCGTTCGCGGCGAGCGAAAATAAATTACGTCGGAAATTTTACGAAGACACTCTTGCAAACGCTTTCCTCGCACGGAAGACTCTCTCTGACGCTCGATATGAATTTATCGTTACCGCCACCCCGCAAGGACGACCGCGCGGGATCGGATTTATTGCGCAACACGTCGGGGAGGCTGTTATTAAAGCCTCCCCGTGTACAAGAAGGAATTTCTTTCGCCATGTATCCCGCCGTCGTATCTGCTCGGCTCGTCCTGGAAGAGTCCTGCGAGAGTACATGCCCACGGTCGACGATTCGACTCGCAAACAAGCGCCGAGCAATTTCAAAGGCGCGCCGATTACACGGAATGGCGTGGTTCTCAACGGTGTACCCCGTGATCGGATACAGCCGTGTCCGTCAACATGGATTTCGTGACGAATTTATGCCCCATATCGTTTAAACGACGAGAAAATCAAGAAGCAAGAGAGAAGCCCTTTGTCATCGAATATATGACTATGATATTAAATAAAGAACCTAACTAGCAGAAAGATGTCTTCTAAAAGACGTCTTAAAGACATCACAAAGACGTTTAAAAGATGACATAATTTTTCAGACGTCTTATAGAAACTTCTGCTAGCTGGAAGACCTCTTTGATACGAGGTCGCAACAAATGAAGGATTAGGACCTTTAATTGAATAATCAGATTTTACTTTTCTAATCTTCATACAATCGTTATCCGAAAGTACTCGAACGTCATCCATTTCTTTTGTTAAATTACCATGAGACAAGTTCGCCCGATGTATTTCTTCCCTTGGAATTTGACTCTCCACACTTTGTCTCGATGCGTTTTACCGACCCTTCGGATTCTTCTCGACGGCAGAAAACTGCAGACATTGTATAGCATCCCGTAGTTCCCGCCGGCGAACAAAGCGGGACGGCCTCGTCGAATTTTATCGCGATGGAGCAAATTGTTCTTGCCCGTTCTTGCTCGATCGTCCATAAAGAACGAAACGTACAGACTGCAGAGAATGTATCTCCCCGCTGGTACACGCTGTGTAGTCACGGTGCATACTTGTTTGCCTGCTTTGTTAAGCATCTATAAATATCTACAGACTTTTCATGTTTCTTTCCGCGTATATTTAGATAATTTCCTACTTCTCTGTATCTCGATCATTAAAGCATTACCGAGCAAATTCGCGAATTACGTCTCTAGAATTATTGGTTTGCTTAAATATCACGTCGTGACTCGAGATAAGAACGTTATTAGAACGTCAGTTTTAAGAGATTGTTACTTACTTTTTACGCGCACAAACACCCATTCGAGTTTTACATCTTAAACTGATATAGATAGTGGTAAAAACCGCGATAGAGATAGTAATCGGCACGTATATTACTGCCGGAAATTATCGCCTGCGGCAATAATCGTACCGTATAACAGTACGTTTAATGACGCAATTATATGAAAAGCGGTGCGGCAAAATGTCAGCTAGTTGCAGGCTACCAAAGCAGGGCTATAAACGACCGGGAAATCGATAACTGACAGGTTTCCGTATTTCACCTTCCTCTTAACCGACATTCTGGATCTCTCGCCTTTACGGGCCACGGATCTAAATACTCGCTCGTTTTCTTGCATAATCTCGCCGACACTGACGCGCACGTAGGCGACGATAGCTTGTTAGATTGTTATTACATCATGGACTTTCTTCGTGTGCAAGGTCTCGCATCCTTAATTTGTCGCATCTCGCAGTCGCGTAGAGATCTTGTCTTATCGCGCTATAAATAATTTTATTTGCTTCCGACTTTACGCAAAACATACTCGAAATAGACTGGCTCAAGTTCAAGCTTTAAAAATCTCATTTTTAAATAATTACAGCAGATCTTTATTCTATCCGTTATTCCAGCAAGTAGTAGTTAGTTAATGACTTTATTATATGTATCTTATCTTACTTCGTTCTATACTTTAGAAGCTTTACATGGATTTATTATCATATTATTTTTTGCTTTAATAATATTTTAATCGTACGTAAGATAAGCTCCGCGTTTCAATCTCACGTTGTTGTTAAATACCGTAATTTTCTTCGTTTAATAGTCGTCTAATTATATTTGTCGCTTTCCGCGTTCCGCGTTACGACGTCGTGTTCCACCGAATAGCTGTCAGGAACTCATCACCGTTATCAGAAGATGAGGGACACTCGCGTCGTAGCGCCGGGTAGGATAAATATCCTCGGCATTTGCGCGAGGATACGTGTACGTATGCCGCGAAGGAAGTGAACGCAGCATCCCATTTAACGGTGGTGCTCGCGACCTAAAAACGCGCACCTGTTTCATTGCCATTGCCACACACGCCAGCTTTTAATGTCTTTTCGCGAACACATTATTGTACCTTCGACGCTTGAAAATCCGTTTTGTACCGGGTGTTCGAAGAGCGCAAACTCCTCAGAAAAACATCCGGGATAGAACTCACATTTACCAAACAGAATAATCGAAAGTTTCAAGACTTATTAATAAAATCTTCGTAGAAATTAGATTGGTACATATATTTCCGTCTCTATGAACGATTACATTTTGATAAAACTTTAAAATAGCGACATAAAGATAGAAAGTAAATTACGATTCGACGTATCGCTTTTATGACGTACAAATATAACAAGAACGCCAGATTACTTCCAAATAAATTAAAAGGATGGGTGTCGTTAATCTCAGACGCTGTGAATTAACGATCTCCATTATTCACTGGAGAGCAAGTCCCATGGTACTTTACGCCCTAATGAATTTCGGAGCAAACGTGTACTCGAAGATACCCTTACATGCATGCATTTTGCGCGAATGCGGATGTACTCCGGATGATTAAATTAAGGATGATTAAATTAATCAGCAGCATCTCTTCCTGCCTGTGAGAGGGGATCGACCTTGCTCTCGATGCGATGTAAATCGAACGTCGTCGATTATTTCAACCTGCTTGCGAAACGCACGGCAAGAAACACATAAACCATCTGCCTCATCGCTTCGGCGCCACAACAGGTTTTAATTCGTCTTCGCGTGTCAGTTTGCGGTATGCGTTCACGTTTCCGAGTTCCACGCGAGTGCGAAAACGTATCGGGTGTCCGACGAATACACACGTCGAGTACATATGTCAAGCTATCACGTTTCAAGTCTGCAAAATTACGGCCATACAAATAAGCTGGCCACGAATCGTTACTTAATAACAAAGATGTAATCTGCTAAAACTGCATAATTGTCATAAAAATGCTTGTGCATGCCAAGGAGTTTATTCTAGAACTAAAATGTCCAAGATTTCTTCGTCTCCTTCGCGGGATTCTTTAAAGGCAGACGTTTCAACCATTCACTGCCGATCAAGTATACGCTGTATCCAACTTGTAGAATATTCTCTTGTACAATGCTCTTGTAACAGGTGCGATTTGTTGGTATTTATGACGATTTAATATCACGTCAGCGCAGATGTTACATTTACGTCGCCCAGGTGGAATGCGCAGAATTACATAATACATTTTAGCGCGAGCTTATAGAATCACACTTCGGATGATACATGAAGGCGCAATTTCTAGTTACCACAGATGCTGATGGAACGACATTTTTTCCCCTCATCCCGGAGTTTCCCGTTAGAAGACTGACTCATCAGCGAATCCCTCGAAACTGAGCTGGCTCAGATACAAGAATGTTCATGCTGCGTTCTCCCGTGAGAACCAAGCAAGATTGAAATCGCACACCATATCTTATCGAGAAAAAAAAGAATGCTCTTGCAGATCGCCATTACGTTGTATTTGACGACGGTTGTGATATTCTTTGTGGAAAACGGAATTATTCTGTGGCAGATAGAAAGACGCCTGCATCGTTTAGCATTTATAAATTTTAGTTAATTTTCCCCCTTCGACGTGCGCAAATAACTAGTAGAATCTCTTCGCTCAAAGCGGATGTGAATTGCGCGTAGTTTTACTGCTAGACATGCAAGTGTCGGATTGATCGAGAACCAGAATGTTGTGTCATACGACGCCGTGTGCGCGCTGGATTAATTCGCGCCCGCAAAAATAGCTGTGATATCTTCCGCGGTGCCCGTCATAATGGTGACTGCGATGTAACACGTGTTCGTCAGTGAAGTCATCAACGGATCGTCGCTACGAAACTCACGCTGTACGTTGTACATACAGGTACAAACAGCTGACATTTTTAACTGACAAGAAATAACGGTACGATCTATATTATACGATGTACAAGCAGCAGATCCTTTTTTTCGCACGAACACGCACGTGGCCGACTTTTTTTTCATTTCCAAAATGCTCACCAAAATGATCTACCATAGATGCCTGCCGCTGAATATTCAAAATATATACAATTTATTAAAATAGTGAAACTTAAATATAGAAAATAGAAAAATTGTAGATTCTAAGATTCTAAGTTTCTAAATTTCTAAATTTTTCAATATATAACAAGCTTCGCTGAGTATCTGTTACAAATTCACGTGGCAAAAATGCGATGTACATAATTTAATACAAAAGAAGGAAACGATAATTATAACAATTCCTTCTAACTCATAAATTCCTTATTAGGATTACAATTTTCTTATCATTCTTCTTTCCTACATGTTTCTATTTATATAACAGAAGAATAGTTTCTATTTATGAGTTAGAGTCGATGGAAGATTTATTTCCGAATGTGGGACAACGGTGGTCGAAGTCACAGGTTTAAGTTCACCTGGGTCTTCGTGTCACCGCAACGGGCGACCGACGAGATGTTCCCGCATAAGCAGTACTTAATGTAGGTACCCGTATATGAAAGGAGAAAGAGCCTGCGGGTTTGCAAGCGCGATTGCGTCGACTTCTGCAATGACAATGGACGCAAGTTTCCCGCTGCACGTCGAGTAGTCCTTGCTTGGTCTCACGATCGTGCATGGAATGATTTAACCCACGCGTGATTACGGATGCGAGACATCGCGGACTTGGCTAACACCGTTCATAAAGAACATCTCGGAAAGAATAACGTCGGTGTCGCGGCGGAAATTTATTCTGTAATTAACCCGGCGTCTCTGGAGAAGATTTTCGTGATTTACGACGACGTTCACGTCGACTTTATAAGTTTTTCTTTTTCGAAAAACTCTGCAAATCAATCTTTCTCGCGGGTATCGCAACAGGATCCTCTCCTCGAGGTGCAAACACTCCGAGTGCGTAAATGTTGCGCAATGTTCGAATAATTGCGTCTCATATCGGTGTAATATAGCGGCAGAAATATGTCGCGGTGGTCCCCCACGTCTTTTTCAATTTACGTAATACGGTGATTTTTTTTGCGGCGACCGATAACCGCCTCTCGCGGGGCCCGGTTAACTGTTCATTTGCATATCCCGTTTCTGCAACAGTTGTATCGAGCGACGACCGTGCGTTTTCGCGGTATGAATTCACCATTAAACGCTACTCATGTCGTGTCCACTCATGTCCACCGCGGCTTTTTGCCGGCTATTGCACGCGCGCGCAACTGGATCGCCGTTTAATACATAGTACGAGAAGGAAAGTGCGGATATGGCCGCGGCGATATGTTCGTAAAGGCCGGCGATGATACGCTCGGAAAAACGGGCCTGCTAACGCGTATGCCTATTGCGCGCAGCTGAGCATGTCGAAAGCATGCAGAAAGTGACGTCTAATATCTCGCCGGACGTGTACATGTGTACTTGTACTCGCGCGCGATACCTGGAAAAATCGCCCGCGGTCGCGTGATCCCTCTTACAGCGATCGCGACTCTGAATCCGCGGTCACGGTGCTTAATGCGATCGAGTCAAGGGGTAAACGGCTGAAAACGAGTACGTTTGCTCGGAATTAGAGATACGTGCGAAGAGATCTCTTTTTGAATAATGCGAGTCAAGTATTTTTCTCTGAACTCTGTCTTTTTCGAAAACGCGAGTATTAATCGAACATGTTGCCTCATATAGAAAATGTTCAACGAGCTGGAAAAGAACCGAGATCTTTTAACTTGGATCTTTTAAGCCGCGCAGCTAGATCGATTTTAGTTTTTTTTCCCCTCGCGTGCAGACGAACGTATTTGTGGTTTACGTCAGATGAATGAAAATTGGAAGCTATATAACCGCGGAATGTCTCCGCTTATTTAGGGGGTCCCTCGGCTCTCAGCGAACGGAAACAATATCTCGATTTCGTGATCTCCAGAATCTACTGTGAGACTATCCCACGCACTGATTTCTATAGCTATGTTTGTACGCCAGTGAACCGTGCACCCGTGTCCGTGTACCTAAATAAAATACCACCATGGCCTGGATTGTTACAGTGTTACTGCCATAATTACCCGTACACGCAACGCGCTTGGAAACCGCGATGGAAAGTCTGCCCGCCGAAAACCCCGTCCCGCCGACCCACATAACGCGTGTGTATACCTCAAACGATCCGAAATGCGCACTCATAGCTAATTATGTCAATTAATTAAACGGCAGTAATCCCGAGATTACAGCTTTAGGAAAAGAAACCGTGTCCGTGAATCTCGCTTTTTATCTCTAAACGTCTCTCAATGAGAGAAACGCCACTAACGAAGAATTATAAGAAAAATCGTTTAATTCACAATTCGAGAAATTAATTAAAAATGCTTCGATTTAGGGAACGAGATCGAAAATATGATCGGAAGAGACGCAAATCATATTTAAATGGAGATATTTTAATATCGTTGATACAATTAATATCAGCTATTTGCGTATTATTAATCAAATAGAAAGTATTTTCGTTGCCATTCTACAGATAATATGCCACGCTCAATCATAATAAAATTTGACAGGCGGCTGAATGCCGCGATACGTACTTTTACTACTTCATTATAAGCGATGATGGGCATTATCGAGCGGTAAAACTTGTGAAGAGAATGCAGGATATAAGCGAGGTCAGTTGTCAGACTTTTCAATATTCCACCGATGCAATGCTGTACCTGTCCTCCCTGTCCTCCCCCTTCCCTTTCCTGTCCCCCGCGAACGAAGGAGGACGAAAAAGGAGAGGAAGATCCAATTGAAATTGCAAATCACTCGATGCACCGTGCGAGGAAGCGTCGAAGAGTGCTCCTATATGCGCTCGTTAAAGTCTCCCGGAGTGACTCCGCGATTTCGCCGGTCGTCGCTCGGAGCCGTTAATGAAAATTTACGTCAATTCGCGATACGATTGTTGCATTCGACGTATCCGCCGTGTTCCGATCGAAGTGAACGGATCGAACGAGGATTGAACCCTCACCTTTCCGCCTCGCGATTGCCAGGGCCTTGCATACGCTAATGTGTGGAAACGCGCGAAGGAAGTAACGGGTCGGCGCGAACGCTTTTGCTTTTTATTAATGGAGATGAAAGGAAATACGCCTTGAGAAATATAGATAAAGATATGTCCTTAGCGAAAGAAAGAGAGAAGAGAGAAAGAGGGAGAGAGAGAAGACTGAGAAGGCATAAACAGATACCGAAGACTTTGCACTTTGGATTGAAATTAGATTGGACTGGCATAGCAATTTAATACAGTGGATAACTATCCAATTATTTAATTGATTTAAAAGTTAATATACTTGAAAGAAGAATGGTAGGGTACAGTAACAAAATTTTTATTAAAACAAGATCGAAAGAATTAAGATTCTGGTTTTAAGATCTAGGCCGAAAGGATATCCGGCGGTTCCGGTATATTTCTTTCTATTGCTGAAATAGACGCTAGCGTACTCAACTAGCGTACTTAGCGAGCAAAAATATAGTCTATTATTATTACTTTTTCCAGCGAAAGCCAGAGAAAGAGGACTCTTGAGTAATGTCTCCTCGTTAACAACATAAATCGGACGCTTTCAGAGCGTTTTTAATCTAATCGAGTAATAATCCACCCACTCAGGAAAGTAAAGTTTTATCTTTGCATGTAATACGAGTGAAAATAGTGGTTTCACGCGCACATGATAGAAAACTACGCTACCGGTTAGTTTAGAATGTGGCGAAATATAACACAATGAGCTGCGGCGTTTTGCAACACAAAGTATCTTCGCGTCACGATAAAAATTATTCATTTGGTGTTAAAATACAGAGAGAAAAACGTTTTAGTAACATAAGCTATAAATCATTCCTTTAATAAAATTATTATCAGTACGTGAATGCATGACTAATAATTTTATTAATATAATGATTGTTATAAAACTTATTTATTTTTACACTATACTATACATTCTTATAAAGTCTTATACTATAAATTTATTCTTCTTTTATAACCTCACACTTTTTTATATCGATTTTTTCCCCAAATAAATCGGCGGTAGCTTTATTATATAGTTCTTTCTGTCAGTTTCTGTCTCTTTCTTTTAGCGATATAAAAATCGTGGTAATATATGCACATCTCGTGTTTATGCGTCGCATCTTCGTGGGGCGCTTGTCAATGGGTTCCTTCCTCGAGAAGAAAATGCATATGGAACGTTTGTAACGCTTACATGCGAGCTTTTAGTTTACGGTTCAACGACGGGGAACCTGATTTTGCATAACAAGAAAGACTCGCCGGCACGGTGAAAGCAACAGGTGATTAACAACCCGACCACTTTTTCGAAGGCGGTCGATCCGCTCCATAGATTCCGGAGAATTTTAGAATGCGTTTTCGTTTCCGAAAACACCGCGCGACATTCTCCAGCGTGCTGTATAATCAGACACGCACGCGAGGCTCTCACCACGTGCAAACAATTCTTCCATCTTTAACTAATTATGCCATTACTTCGAAAAGTATGCGGACGTAGATTTCCGAATGAAAGTATTTTTGTATGGCATAGAAAATGTCTCAACAAGCTCCTCGCTAGTTCACACATACTACGTTTACGCGAGCGTTACTTCTGCAGTAACTTACGATGATTCCTTTCGCGTAAATAGGATTTTGTAGTAACTTACGATAATTTACTCCGCGTAAACGAGTGAATTGTCTAAGTTACTACAGAAGTAACGCTCGCGTAAACGAAGTAACAATTAAATATCAAAGGAAAAGAGACGATGTAAGAAAAGACAGGAAGAGTGCCCAAGTTAACTTAATTTATCAGATTAAATTACTTCGACAATTATCGGAAATAATTAAATATTTTCTTCAATTCTACGAACTTAAAAAAACATTCGAAAGAAAAAAAAACAAGACGTTATTTAATTATTATTAATCTCGAGATAGTATTATAAAGTATTATAAAGAGGGTCCCTCTTACGAGATCGGTACCAACTCCTAAACTCAGCTTTATCAGCAAAAGTAGAAAAAAAAACAAATTTATTTCCATTCCGTGGAAACCCACAAAGTCGGCATCGTAGATAGACGAGCTTTTATAGTGAGATACGTTCGAAAAATCGTGGAACACGCGCGTGAGGGCGACTCGGCGTTCGCAGCGAGGACGAGAAGAGGAGAAAAAGAGAGAGGGAGACCAAGGAAGACAGAACAGAAGGGAGAAGGCGCGCTGCCGCGCTCTGATCTTTGTGACAATGACTCACCGGCTGTGTATTCGCGTTGGGCCTTCAACCTTGGAAGCTGGAAGAGTCACGACGACGACGCTGCTGCCTCCTCTCCATTCCGGTTCGTCGTCCTCCTGCGCCGATCGCCCGCGCCGGCCGATCGGGCTTCCCGCGACTTCGCGTGACAGAGAAAAGGGATGCACTTCCCTTGCGTGCCGGAGGACCGTCACCCGCGGGGATGAGAAAAAAAGAACGATCTTTCTCTCTTGGGCGATCGCGTTACCGCGACGCCGCCGCCGTCGTCGTCGTTGTCGAGATTTTTACCCGAGATATCTTCCTCGGCTCGCGATCGAAGCGAAGCGACAGATATCGCGCGACTCGCCGGAGTCCTGCCGGAACGCTGGCCGCCACCGCTGACGGAGGAGCCCACCGAGGCCCCCACGAGTTTTCCCTCTCCGGGGCCCTCACCGGTACCCCACCGACGAGTTCGCAATGGCGTGAACGCGCCGGGCCCGCGAGGATAGCTCGCGCCCATCCAGCGTGGATCCTCTGCGCTTTTTTACACTATCGCTTCTCGTTCTTGCCTCTTTCTCGCGCGTCTCTGCTTTGTTTTACGTATACGGCGAAATGTATTCGAGTAGATGGATGTTTTTAAAGAGGAGCAAAGGAATAACTTAAGGGTAGACTTTAAATAAAACAAAACAAAGTAAAAGCGAAATAAACGTAAATTAACGTAAGCAACTTTAATTAAAATATCTTCATCAAGCCCCTTCTTTCTTCAACATTTATCCGGTTGATTGAGGTGCTTATCGAGGAAATATTCTCTACGTCACTTATATCTATTCACGAAGATATGTATACATCTTACACTAACGGTACCATTAATTAAGATTTTGATTTTTTTCTTGATCATTTTGGAATAGCTATAAGATAAAGTACAGGTGTGACATTTTATATAATATAATAAATATAATAAAAATACAAAATGTATCCTTTACATCTCGTCTTTCAAATCAAATTAAAGTGTATTTATAAAATCTTATTTATAAAATCGTATTTTTAACATTCTTTTTATCTCGTAATACACTTTTCTCGTAACATTCTTTTTATCTTGTAATACACTTTTAAAATATAACAATTTATATAATTCGCAGCCATTGATTTATATTTTTTTCTTTTCTGTAAAAAAAAAAGAGGAGTCTCGATGAAACATGGAGAAAATGTCGAACGAGGGCCAACTATAGGTTTAACGGCGGGTTATCAGACAGAAGTTCGATGGAACAAAGTTCGTGTCCACACACACAAAAATACGATGTATTTTTACGGTATTTTGCAAACCGCGATCAAGGCATCCAAACAACGATCTCATCTAGCTCGCGCGACGACGTTGAGACGCGTGCAACGCGCTGCTTACGCCGATGGTCTCGCTCCGGGGTCGGTCCCCCTCCCGTTCGCGGGGCCCGCGTCGGAGAAGACATTCACCTCGAGGACTCGAGGAGAGCCAACTCCCAGCCGGGCAGCCAGCCGGGTATCGTTACCTGCTGGCTTCGCGTTTCTCGCGTCCCCAGCCTCGCTCGAGCGAGTAGTCACTCTTTTACGCGCTGGTCAGTGCGCGCTGCAATCCGCGCCGCGGTAGTGCATGCACACGCTTTCGCGTTGGTGCATTATCGGCTACCGTCTGGACTACCATTTTGCGGGAGGTGCGGAAGATCGTGGAAAATCGACGCGAGTGCGGGAGGGTCTCTTTGTTGAAGTGTACGCGCGCCTCTGACGGCTCTGACGCACGGTGTCCTCGAGATCCGGACACGGTCAAGTGCGCGACGGATGGATGAATCCGGCGACAGTCCTGCGCCTTGGTGTCTTCCGCATGTTCTTTCGGATGTTACTTATTATTTCTAATATTCTGGGAGAGAGTTCGTACGTTTCCTTAATAATTTCCTTACTAATATCGCAATACTGATTATCGTAATTAATTTGGCATAAGCAACTATTAATTAAGAATAGACAGCTCTATTATTAAAGATAAGATTTTGAGATAATGAGCACGAAATTACGTAAATAATAGAATAAATTGCAATGAAAAATATATGTATTATATTGGGAGAGATAATTTTAGAATCTTTTACCTTCGTAGAGCTCCGTAGATGTTACTTGAGGAATGTAATCGTGGGTACCGAACGTAACAGCGATTCCCAAGATGATTCCATCCGATTGCGTTCTGGACATATCCAACGTGTTTCATTCCACTTCGGTGGTGATCGAAGGTACCTGCCTCAACAAATCCGAACCTACGGCGGTGCTTAGAGATGTATCAGCCCGCGTTCACGGCGGGGAGGTCTTGGCTATTCTAGGGTCGAAGGGCTCCGGCAAACGAGCGCTCCTCGATGTTATCGGTGAATAATTCCAACCATTCTTCTTATATCGTACCGTTCTGCAAAATTGCAAAAAATATAGATTAGATAATCAGCCCTTTACAATTTCATTAAACTTTACCATGACTATATCATACTTTTGCGCCGCGCTATGATGAGAAAATTCTCATAAAAATATCTCTGGTCAAATTTCATCGAAGATAAATAAAAAAAATATAGAAGAAGACGATAATGTCTCAGAATCAAAAGTTAATTTAAAATAACCTGGACTTTAAATTTTTACTAGCTGGGAGGGCGGAGGGCGAGACGAGGGGTCGGGTCACCCTGAACGGCAACCTGCTGACGCCGGAGCTGTTCCGGCGTCACGGCGGCTACGTGGCTCACAGGTGTCACCTGCTGCCGAGTCTGACGGTCCGTCAGACCCTGATGTACGCCACGTGGCTCGGCAATCTAAACAATCGCGAGGCCCGGGTGCGGCAGACCCTCGCCGACCTGGCGCTCTCGCAGGTCGCCAATCGGTCGGTGAACGACCTCACCAGGCCGGAGTATCGGCGGCTGATGCTGGGCGTGCAGCTCGCCAAGGATCCGACCCTGCTGCTGCTGGACGAGCCGACCTGGGACACCGATCCTCTCAACACGTATCTCATTGTCTCGATGCTGTGGTCCTACGCCACCAGACGCGGCTCCATCGTCGTCCTTACCATGGAGACCCCCAGGTCCGACGTGCTGCCGTTCGTCAGTCGCGTGACGTTGCTGTGTCTAGGTGCGGTGGTCTACTCGGGACCCACCAGAAGCATGCTGGATTATTTCACCTACATCGGCTTCCCGTGTCCGGAACTGGAGAACCCCTTGATGTACTACCGTAAGTATCGCACAAAACGATATTACTTATCGGAATATACAATAGCTCCACTTAGAAATTAATATTTGTTATTCTAGTAATTTTTATGATTTCCCGGGCAAGTCCTTAAAGTGTTTTAAAAAGCTGACTAATTTAAATAACGACAAAAATACTTTTTAAATAAAAGAAGCAACTCGATATATTAGAACTCGTCGCTTTTCCAGTATGCTTGTCGACCGTCGATCGCCGCTCCAGAGATCGCTTTTTAGAGTCCAATCAGCAGATATCGGTCTTGGTCGAGAAGTTCAAGGTGGATGGAGTGCTTTACATGAAAGAAGGGCCGCAAGTGCCGCACAGCATGAAAGATACTGCCCTCGGTATCATGCATAAGGGTTTGGGACGCGGAATCAAGCCCGGATGCTTCTCGACTCTTCTGGCACTATATTTGTGAGTTATAATCCCGAATTATAATCATTTACGAAAGGGTAGTCTCACGTTATTTGAACAAAATTAAGGCTTAACTAGAGTGATAAATTCTTCGAAGTCAATTTGTTCTTGGAAAAGACTTCGTCGACAATTATAACCATAAAAATTATAATTATAAATCTTTTAACATTCGATATTACCTTGGCATCACGTGTGTAATTGAATAAAAATGATTTCCTAGTCAACCGTATAATCTATCGATAAAATTAAGGTCGACAGTTTTAGGATAGATATCTTATTAATCATTCGCAATCATATTGTTACATTTAGACGAAGTATGGCGACTACGTTCTCATTCAATAAGATCGGCCTGGGACACTTTGCCGCTCGCCTGCTGTTACTGCCATTTGTCGTTGCTCTAATGAGTATACTGTACTCGCATTCAAGTCCCGTACAATCAAGAATCTTCTTGCAAACCGGTGGCTTGATCTTCAACGTCTTGACGTTGTTTTACGTTGCCGGGATAGCTGCGACGTCGCTTTTGTGTAAGTCGAAAAGCAAATTAATCAAGTAGAACAGACAATAGATGGTTTTAGTGTCACAAATCTCGAACTTAAAGATATTCGAAGAATATTTAAGGTTTTTTTAAACTCTTCTATTCGTATTGCTGTCCAAGATATGTTGAAGTGCATTTTCTTCCGATCTACAGCATTTAATACACATAAGACTTGATACAGTTCCAGGTTTCCGCGCAAGGTATTACCAAGAAAAGCGAGAGGGTCTTTACGGTGGCGCGATGTTTTTGACCGCGTATACCATGCTGAGTCTTCCGCTGAGTTTCATATCGACGCTGATAACGATTACAATCCTGATTCCCATTCTGGAGCTAGATCTCACCTCGTGGGCGTACGCTTCCGGTATTCTATGGTCCAGTTACGTGGCGGCGGAGCAAGTGACGGTAGCCGTGCTGATGGTGGTCGGTAGGCCCGTAATCGGTGCCATCACGGTACTGTACATGACCCTGTTGTCCCTTGTGGTCGCGTCGGGCGCGATTCGTAGCCTGAAAAACTTGCCCTATTGGTTAGCGATGGCGACGACCGCGTTACCAACCAGATACGCATCTCTGGCGCTGAATCAGCTGGTCATCGACACCCCCCTCCTGTCCAATCTGCCCTACAACGAGAGCTTTACTTGTCCTGGCATACCCGAGCTTTGTAGGTACCCTGATGGCAAGACTTACCTGATAGAACGCCTTACCAGAGAGGGCGAGAACATTTCCGAGGTGTTAAACGTGGACTTGAATCTGCTAATCTCTCTAGCGTTCGCCGTCGGTCTTATTATATTGAACAGCGTCTTATATCTATTGCCACTACCCGCTAAAGTGAAGGCAAAATTCAGAGAATAATGAATTGTTAAATCCACATTTAATGTGTGTGTGTGATCGTCACATTTAACGAAATTCAAATATTCGAATTTGATGCCGACTGAATGGTGTACGTATCACACTTATTTAATTTTGAACTTAATTTTATTGATAAATGCACGTTCAGAATACGGGCCTTAGTGTATATAAAATTGTAAATAACATAGAATTAGGCGTATCGATCAAAGAAAAAAAGAATGCATATCAAAAATATTACAAATTTTTATTTCGTATGTTACAAAATCATTTTATCATAATGCTAATTAGTATATATAACGTAATTTCTCTTGCTTGCGTGACACATCGTAAATAATTTTAATAATTCATAACAAATGGAAATATATGTACAAAACGAATTAACTATTGTGTACGATATAAGAGTTGCAGTTAATATAATAGGTACTCAATCAAGCATTAATCATAATATTTACTTGATAATTTAAACATTAGGATATTTTACAGGAAAAGTACAGATATATCTATGGAAAACAAACGTGTCATCGAAACGTCACTATACAATATAATTAACAGCTCTATTTATTTTTTAAATTGCACATTTATACCTTGTAAAATATATTAAAAATTTACTTTCAGGTAACCATCATGGTATTGAATTATCATATCACATATCACATTTACAATTTGTGAAATATATTACAATTTATAAGTCTCCATCTGTAACTTGCCCCATCTCCTTAAGATCGTCGGCAACACTGAATTCACAGCCTGTCGCACTGATAATCTCGCTAATGTCGATATTATGTGCGATCTCAATAAGCTTTAATCCTTCTCCTTTCACCACTTCAAATACCCCGAGATCTGTGATAATTAAATCTACGCATTGCTGACCTATAAAAAAATGTTATAAAAAAGAAAATATTATATAATGTGACTAGAAATAATACAAAAATATTGCAAAATAATTAGTCGGTACTTTAAAATACCGACCAACATTAAATAACGAAATACTCAAATAACGTGTAAATAAAATTAAGAAAAATTTTGAAATTATTGAAATTGAAATATTACGGGTCCTTACCTGTGACGGGCAATGTGCAATTCTTCAAAATCTTCGGACTTCCGTCTCTGGCCGTATGTTCCATAGTTACCACTACCTTTGTAGTCGCCGCGGAAACAAGATCCATGGCACCACCCATGCCTTTTACCATTGTACCTGGTATCATCCAGTTAGCCAAATCCCCGTTTTCTGACACTTGCATGCCTCCAAGAATAGTCAGATCAATGTGACCTCTGTGTGAAAAGTACAGCTAATGCTAATAAGCACATTTTCTTTGATACATATTCTAAACATATACATATTCATATTGATACATATTCATATTTATCATGAAATATGCTAAGCTTGAAATATAATCTATATATCATATACCCTCTAATCATGCCGAAACTCTCATCGCTACTAAAGAAAGATGCCCCGGGCAAAATCGTTACAGTTTCCTTTCCAGCATTGATAAGATCCGCGTCGACGTCATCTTCGTCCGGAACAGGGCCCAACCCAAGAATACCGTTCTCTGATTGCAACGTCACTTTCACACCCTTCGGGATGTAGTTACTAGCAAGCATAGGTATACCGATTCCCAAGTTTGCTGCAAAAATTTTCGATTCATCAAGAGCAGCACTGATAAAAAGATTTGAATTTGATAATTTGATCAAAATCAGTGTATTTATTTTTAATCCAAATATTTAAAAAGTTTATATTTTACACCTACCATACATTCCATCTTTAAATTCGAGAGCAGCGCGCCTAATAATCATATCCCTCGCTTTACTAGCCGGTGTCACTTTCTTAGGCTTTATGGTTTGCTTCGTCGAGCGTTTCTGCAAAATGAAAAAAAAATTAGATTTATGAGAGACATGCATATTTACGTAACTATAAATATGCATGCATAAATATGCATGACGAGCGAGCGAGATAAATAAGCGCCAACCTCAATCCGTTTTTCATAAGATAGCCCCTTCACAATCCTGTCCACGAAAATGCCAGGCAGATGAATCTGATCGGGATCTAATTGTCCAAGTCCGACGATCTCCTCCACTTCGACAATTGCCACTTTGGCCGCCTTGCACATCACAGGGTTGAAGTTCCTCGCCGACTTCCGGAAGACCAGATTACCGGCGGTGTCGGCCTTCCACGCCTTCACGAGCGCGAAGTCGCCAGTGATGGCGGTCTCCAGCACATAGTTTCGCCCGTCGAACTGGTTCACGTTCCTCGCCTCTCCCGATATCTCGGCGTTGCCGTTCATGTCGTACTTTATGACGACATTACCCTCCTGTACGATGGTGCCGAAAGCCGTGGGAGTGTAGAAAGCCGGAATGCCGGCGCCACCCGCTCTCACACGTTCCGCCAAAGTACCCTAAGTGAGCCGTTATGCGACTTGTAAAAATTTGCGAGATTTATGGATACACCCTTTCTCATCTTCAAAGCATTACCTGCGGCGTCAGCTCAGCCTCCAATTGACCGCTGAGATACTGCCTCTCGAATTCAGGGTTTTCACCCACGTACGACGCGATCATCCTTTTGATCCTGTGCTCCTTCAGCAATATACCCAGCCCGAAGTCTTCGACCCCAGCATTATTCGAAACTACTGTTAAATCTTTGGTGCCCCTTTTTAGTATGGCTGCTATTAAATTCTCTGGGATGCCGCAGAGGCCGAATCCACCGACCAAAAGTTTTGCTCCATCATGTACATCGGATACGGCTTCCTCTATGCTTTCAAACACTTTACCGTCCCCTACCGGTGTTTTCAACTTCTCTGCCTCTTGCTCCGCTTCTGGGATACTTGCTTTGATAGAGAAATTATCGGTGCATACCTGTTAAACAAGATGTAAGTTGGATCAGTTTTAGAAATATTTTAATGCACAAATCTTCATTTAAAAAATGCATTACACTAACATCTGGAGAGATGAGACATAAATATTCAGAAATATGAAACTATACACAATTAAAAACATAATTACTTAAAAAAATTAGTCAAAGAGAAAGGAGCATTGAGCCGTAACAAGAATGGAAGTGTTATAAAATTCTGTAGGACAAATATAAGATACGTATACATCAAGGTTTGTTTCTTTCTGTTGTGAATTTTGCAGGATCGACATTTCGGTGCTGATGTGTAAAGTTAAAAACTGACAAAATGTGCTCGGCAACGAAAGAACGAACCATATATATATATTATATACAAAAAGGAGGGTGGAGGGGGCGAGAACGGGAGGGAAAGGCGGAAAGGAAGGGGAAGCAAGACTATGTAATTCCGAAATTTGATAAATTGTTTTCGACACTGAAGATGGTCCCATAAGGGGCCGAAACGTTTGTCAATTTATTATAATGCAGAATTTTATAACACTACCATCTTGTTACGGCTCGATGCTCCTTTCTCTTTGACAGATTTTTAATCTTGTGAGCCTTTTGATTTATACTTAAAAAAAATCCAAGATTTATGAAATATATCAAAGTAACATATCATCGAACAAATATCTGTTTCCCGAAACAAATAACTAAACGCCAAAAGATATAATTACACAACGTAATTTTACATGAAACTAATACCGCGGATAGTTACAATCATCAAACAAATAGAGAATTATAAAGGTAACTTTTTCCGACGTAGGTTATACGTATGTCTGATAACCAGTGCTGATAACGAGAGTCACGTATTATTTACGTACCCGTAATATCCTTATGGGACTCCGGGGACCCTTGCTCCAACGTAGAAATATACCGCTGACCCCTCTCAACGCGAATGCCATGATCACTGTATCCTTAAACGCACAATTGTTATTCGCAACACGTATGCGGCTCGGTCAGCATCAGAGGTTAAGGCGCGAGACACTGGCGGATATTAATCCTTTCCAGAATAACTTGTTCGTTTCGCCTGTGTACTTCTGGCTTTGGACCTTGCTGTGAACAGGTCTCGGCGTACCGAAATGCCGAAGATCTCACAGCGATATCCCAGGAACTTCGCGTTGCGAAATTTAACCTCGCGTCAGGCCTTCGCCAGTGTTCACGAAGGCATGGACGGCGGTGATCCGGTGACCAGCATTCATCCAGCATTCAGGCTTGACTCTTGATAGCACACGATAACATGTGGAGGGGATAACTCTCTCGTACTGGCCGTACTACACATACACAACTGATACACACAAGTGCGTGCTCCGAGTTGCTCCGCTGGCGTCGATCCCGCGCGGCGACCACCATCTACACATGACGGAAGAGCCGCACGTGGCACAATGCGCATGAATTGGGATATGAATTGTTTTTTCCTCCGTCATTGGATTGGAATATGAAATTATTTTTTATTTTATTTAATATATAAAGACTTCAAACATTAATAATGCCAATTCGCTACAATAGTCTGTTTACGTTATATGTTCGCAGATAATGTTTCAACGAAAGACTGATATCTCATCGTTATCTCTCCGTCAGATAGCGAATGCTAACTTTTCTGGAACGCTAGTATTATATTCCATAAATAGCGATATCAGAACACTTGGTTGCACTCCGATGTATTTATCCATGTGTAGAACGATTAAGTAAAAATCGGCGTAGGTATATCGTTTATATTCGACCCAACTGGCCAAATTTATTTAAAAAACGCTACGTTTTGATCGTAGATTTCGGTCCTTTTCAAACGTATGAATATAAATTATTGATTAGTTAAACATGTAATGCCCAAACTACGCCACATCTAAAAAATAATTTGTGTGTTGAGATCCAAAGAATTAAAATATGAGAACGTACGTTAGGACGACATACTTATTCATTAGTCGTTCGATTGTCGAAGGACGTACTTGTCAGAGCCGTGTCACTATTCGACTGATAATATAATATGTATCAGTCCTGACAAGTCCTTCGACAATCGAACGACTAATGAAGTAATGAATATGTCGTTCCAAGGTACATTTTTATATTTTAATTCTTTGGATCTCAACGCACAAATTATTTTTTAGATCTGGCGTAGTTTGGGCATTATGCTTAACTAATCAATAATTTGTATCCATTCCATACGCTTGAAAAGGACCGAAATCTACGGTCGAAACGTAGCGTTTTTTAAATAAATTTAGCCAGTTGGGTCGAGTAAACGATATCTACGCTGATATTTTTCATTATTCACTGGCGATTTAAATTCTCATTTGGCTGTTATTAAGTAAAAACCATGCGTTTGTTACAAAGACTTTATTTCTCGGGACTAAATATAATAGCTTCTCGCACACTTACGCTTACATCGTGTGAACTTACATATGTATTAAAATATATTAATCTATTCTTATCACTATAGTATAACATTTTCCGAGTGTTCCCCGCAGAACGTCTGTCTAAAGACGTTAAGACGTCTTAGGACATCTAGAAAACGTCGTAAAGTTCTTAAGACTTCGAAATTTCCATGACGACTTTAAGGTGTGGTTTTAGAATAATATCGTCGACGTCGATACCAACGCGATGACGCCGTCTGATAATGCCAGTCAACATGTTTATTCTGTCGTTGGAATAATTAATACCAATCGTCGCTAATATTAAATATTGTTTTCTGCATGTTTTTCGCAGGTCGATATCGCTTTGAATAAGCAGAATCGTTTCGCGATCACAAGGAAATCGAGATCGGTGCTTTAATACATAAGAGAGGAAGAATTTTACAGCATAACTTAATAATACTTTTTTAATACAATTTAAGATTTTTAATATATTTTAAAATAATACTTTACAAATAATATTGAAAGTTTTCTTTTTGCCGTCGAGGCAAAAAGATGCTCCATTATCAATTTTCAGGGCAATCTGTAAAAGATGCCTACCATTGTCCTCTTTCTCTTCAATTTGAGAAAACGCTCTTGCCATATGACACAATGTACAATATAATACGCGGAATACTGCAGATTTCAACCTACATCTTCGCCGCGCATTTAAGACCGAATACGCCGAGTGTTCAATTCTTCCGCATGAGAGTTTAAGGAACATTCGCAACCAAATCATTTTTTTTTTTTTTTTTAAATAAACAGACTTTGAGAAAGAAATCACGACTGGCGCTAAACGCGCGCCCATGAGTAGGCCTCTGGATCACGGTAACACGAGAATGAACGAACGTCGTTTCTCTCAATTAGAAAAGCACTCCGTTGTACGTTCACAAATACGAGTATAATTTCGTCTAGTCGTTCCACCACTCAACATACGCGGTGCAGGTTCGTCATTCCGTCGTCGATCCTCGCGTCATCGATGCCGGCCCGCTCTGGCATCCGTCACGGCGCCCCATAATTCAATCACGAACTCGTCGGTAAAACCGAAGTCCTCCAAGTCGGAATTGTCTATCGCCTCGGCGAAGTCTATACTGTTGCATTTACCCTCGGCAAGTTCCCAGATTTGCGTGGCTGCAAATCAGATGTAACAACCGAATATTAGTCTTCGCGAGTCTTTGGTAAAATAAAAAAAAGGGGGGCAGAGCAAAAAGAAAGAGAAAGCACAAATCTAAAAAAAAAGTAATTTACTCGGAAAAACTACACTTGTTTTGTTACACTCGCTTATGATATAATAAGTCTTGTATCACATCCAAGTTAAACTTACCTAACTCCGTATCGGAGATGCCCATGAAACTCTCCAAGATAGCGTTAATCTTCTCCACGCCTATCGTAGCAGCATCATCAATCTGCACAAATATTTACTTTATTATTTTCAATTATCGCTCGGAGTTCGCTGTTATTCATTCATGATAAAGAAAATATATCGACGCATTAAATTAAATGATACCGAAGTGTTATCTAAAATAATTCAAATCGTAACTCGTAGAGGAAGCTAATACTTGTTTTACCAGCTAACACTCGTGTTTTTGAAGACCAATATTATCAAAGGAACGTCACTCTTGATAATATCTACTATTTGTTTGCCTCGCGAGTTTGCCACTTGACCGCGATCTCACCGTTCTTGTTTTACACACCTGCTCGACGATTTGCGCGCTACCGTCGGCCCTGAATCTCAGGGTCTCCTTGCCGGATCCGTAGCCGGCCTTCTTTCCCTTCTTGAGGTCACCGCGCGGCCCGATGCTACCGAAACCGTTCTTCTGCGGCTCCACTAGCCTCAGCGTGAACGTCGAGCCCTTCGGTATGTCCTTCAGCATCCTCGCCACCTCGAAGTGCCGTCTGCCCACGAGGCTGGTCGAGTCGATCCTCTCGATGTGATCGCCCACCTCGATCACCTTTATCCTGTCGATCACGGAACCCTCCTTTATGCGCTTTATGAAGGCGTAACCGGCGCCGTTGTCGGTGATCGTCAGGCCCAACGCGTCGTCCGTTTTCACCAACTCGATTTCTTTCGGTCGACCTGCGCCGAAAATGTATTAATTTTTTATTTTGCTTCATACGACTTGTATTGTCTAATTGCACCAACGTATAATGCATATACCTTTTTTATGTGCGAATATGAAGTCGCCCACGCCGATTTGTCCGCCTAACAGCTCCGTCATGTCCACTTTGTGCGTATTAAGCGTGCAAAAGAGAATCTGGAACATCATACTCTCGCTTAATTGGTCACTTAACTCACCCTTGATGGAAGAATCTTCATCATTTTTACTCATTACAATTTTACTATTTCTAATTTCAGTTCTTTATATATATTAAATTTACTTTTATCGAAGTGCCATCTAAAACGTTTCGCTCTAGATTTGATATATAACTCCTTTATTTAATCAACTTGAATCTGATCAATATCTAATTGAAATTTTACTGCAAATTCATTTTTAATTATTCGTATAGGTCGCCGCTGCTCCTATTCAATATGTAATTAATTTAACTAACAATAAAGTAAAATAATACTATTTTGTGTTAAAATGATAAATTTCAACACATATAGTAAAAATAACAAAATGTTATTTAACTCGAGGTATTGGTTTAAATTTCATATTTAACAGTGTACATCCAAACTTGTTTTTCTAACTATCTTCATCCGTTGTCGCGATAAAGCGCGATACTGCGATGGCTTGTCTAACCGAGAGAGATTGCGAGAGAAGCTAGACCTCCCGCGTTCAAGCGACCCATAACGACAAGCGACCTGGTTACATCGCGGCGACCACGTTTACACGACGAATTACACGTGGCCCTCTCTCTCTCTCTCTCTCTCCTCTTTCTCTCTCGCCTAGCCGAGACATATCCGTCAGGTCGACGAGAGAGGCCACGGTCCGTGACCGGCGTTTCCTGCGTCCGGTGTCGTTTCTCCCTACGTGGGACGCCTCGCGCTGAAAATACCGAACGGCAGCGCATCGCGCTCCATTACTACATCAACTCCGACGACTTCGTCCCGCGTTACCGATTTCTCCAAATGTAAAGGAGGACTCGCGCAATTTTCCGAATGTAACGGAAATATTCTTACTATGTAATATCTTCGCGCCCGCGTCGGTTGGATCTCGAGATATCCGAAAGAAGCGAAACTAGACAGCTCAAGATAGTTTTACTCCGGCGAAAATAAAATTTGCGAAAAAGCGGACTCGTGAAAATTGAAAAATATTCTGATAACTGGTATTAAACGAGAGAACAGAGATATGCCGTAAAATTAAAATAATATAAAATCTAGGAACACAAAACTATACTAGTCGGCATAAGTTACAATGCTTATAAGAATCAACTCTATCGCTGCTACAAAGAAGCAGTTTAACGAATTAACGACAAGGTCGAGTCCTTCGATCAGCACCATCGAATCCTTTCTTTCCCCGAGAAGCGAGTCCTAACGCGAGCCATATCACGACGTTTATCGCGGCCTTCGCAGCCTCACCTCTTCTGCGGGCATGTCGTAGCGCTCGGCGATCTTCTGGTACAGCTCCCGGACATTGCTGAAGTCCGATATCAGCCCCGTGGGACTGCCGTGAGCCAGTTGACAGTGGAAGACCAGCGTCGACGGCCTCGGGGGCGGCGATCTCGTTTGCTCGCGCTGAAGAAGAGGAGGAGCGCCGTTACCCGTCCGACCACCGTTATCGCTCGCGCCGCTGTCATGACCGTTGTCACTGCCGGCCTGATGTTGATGATGAGGCTGGTGATACTGCACGCCGTTCGCAGCTTTCTCCGTTACCGGCGATCTCGGCGTGGTCCGCGGTATCTTGAACAGCGGCATCCTCGTTCTGCGCGAATAAATTACAAAAGGAAGACCCCGTTATACACAATCCGGCGTGACGATACTCCTGGATTCTCATTGCGAAATTAAGTTATCGCGACCGGCAGGTTGATAAAACGGAGAGCCGCCGCGATTATAATCCTCTCTCCGATCCTCTCGCGCTTATCGACATGAGCCCGACAGTGATGTATGATATTATAAGCGTACTTTTTTGAAGGATTTATATAATATAGTCTGTAAAATTTTATATGGAACGCTGCAGACAATAGGAATTATTTTAGTCGAGCCAGAGACTCCAAATTATTTTAATCTACAATATAAATTGTAAAAGATTAAAGATTTCTCTATAATACACGATTCATATAATTATTAGTTTTATGGAATACTGCAGACAGCAAGAATTATTTGAGTCGAGTAAGACTCTAAATTATTTTAACCCACAATATAAATTAAAGATTTCTCCAATATGCGATCCATATAATTATTATCTCGATGATCGGCACCGCAAACTCTAAATAGAAGTCCAACAATCTTTTCTCTACATTCCGAAGACCGGAGTATATTTAACCAACACGCAAATAAGATATCATTAAATTTCGAAGCTCGAAATGCGTTTCAGATCATTTTTTATTTTTTCCGTTGCGGCCACATCAGCCTAATGAGGAGCGCAGCGGAAGAAAATGAAGCCTGCGGATAAGAAGTTAAATTACCGCTGTATCATGCGATCGAATCAATAATCCTGCGAATGTGCCAAGTGCCAATGTGCGTTCGATTCTCCGGTGCATGGTACTGACATTAGATAAGAGAAATGAGAACCACGCGGGAGCGGGAGGCATACGGTAATTGCAATTCACGCGTAGGAAGATAAAAGCAGGTATCGGCCACATGTTACGTCGTCGAGAGTATCTATTACGTACTCGCGCGATGATCGGTTTTTTCTCTGTTTTATATGCTTATCTCCAAATCACTTTTGTGCGAAATCACTCTGACGAGCGCGGCGGTCACGCACCGAACAGCGCGCGTATTAATTAAGCACGCGCCTCTCGGGCGCGACGTCTCGTTATCTTCCTCGGGAAACCGACGTCTTTCTCTCTCTCTCTCTTTCAGAGAAACCTCGAAACGTCTTTTTAAGCAAAACCGAGCGAGCCTTCCTCGTCAGACGCCTCGTTTGCGATTCGCGATTCGCGCCACCAAGACCGTAAATTGTAGCGGTCTCCTTTCATACGGTATTCATTATTCGCCTGAAACCATCTTCTTTCGACGAGAAGTAATGTTTTACGTACGTTTCCCTCCGCCTTTTCGTGGCTTCGAACACTTCCACCGGAGATTTTACAAGTTCTTCTCGCAAATTTATTTAATTTTCTTTATTTAACTTGATTCGATATCAGTGACAGATTACATTATTTCTTTTGTGTAATCAGTGTTCGATGTTAAGAGTACACGAAGTCGATATAAATATGTCTGACGGAATCCCTGTCGAAATGTCTGAGAATCGGATATATGCGTGCGACAGTTAAGCCTTATTTAATCGCGCGCGATAACAACTTCACGATCGCGAGTCGAATCCTATAATAGCAAGCGACAAACGTTGGATTTGATTGTATTATTGTCCAGAACACCACCTCGGAGAGAATCCCGCGATTTAAATCTCAAATTCCCAGGTAGCAAGTTGACATTATTTGTCGTCGTTTTGACGTTACAATAACGTCAACTTACTACCTGGGAATTTGAGATCTAAATCAGGAGATTCTCTCTCCGAGGTTCATAGGACAATAATACAATCAACGTTTGTCGCATCAAGCTGAAACGGCTCGTATTTACAATTCCCCTTCTAATTCTACCTGTGTCGTTTTCATCAGTCCGTAATATTTCATCGCACGCGCTCGTCCGAACCATCAGCAAAAGCTGCGCGACGGTGTCCCGGCGTCACGCGAGTGCGTTGGAAAAACGTTGTTCTTGTCGATCCATCCACGTTATGCAATGAGGATAGAAGCACGGTAGGAAAATACGGCAAAACTACCTTGCATTATTCGCAAACTGCCTTTCGTTATATTCGTCTCAAATTTTAAGCTAACATGACGCAATCGTTATCCATATTATCTCACCAGAAACACACTTCTTTTCGGCTGTAAATAGCGCAATAGGCAGAGGTAAGTCGAGAACCGGTCCAGATTTTAATCAGTCTGATAAATGGAGTATGCGCAAAAATAAATTCTGCGTATATTTTTGACGACGCGATAATTATAAAGCTTATCTTTTATTATCGGCGTTAAAAATTAATTTAAGTTTCGCCCTTGATAGTGTCTCAGTTCCTTTTCTTCCGAAAGATTTAAATTTTTTCCCAGCTAATATTTTAATTAGCAGACGTATCTCGTATGTCGTAACTAATTTTATCTCGCAAGCCAACGGAACGGCGTTAAAATCTGCGATAGCGATATACTTGCATGCGATCGATGTACTCCGAATAAACGGCACAGGCGGACTCGGTTTACAGATCGTTGGCGTCGCGTCGCCAATCTCCGACTAACAATAAGCTATCGCGGATTTCGTAAACGCGGCTATTCTTTTACGACAATGCAAATTGCCAACGACGCGCAATATCGCCATTCTAATTGTCTCCGATTACCGGTCAATCATCCCGATCGAGTCGAGAAGGAGATCGTGCCGCGCATATCGTAATTGGACTCCTCATCAAGCTCGTTCATCATTAATTGCATGCGTCAGTAACACGATGAACAATTAAAAAATTCACGACGCGGTCAGGAATAATTCCAGTTAGGAATAAAAACTGGAATAAACACATCAATGTAAGATATTTCTATTAACTTATTATATTTCGGAGGGGACTCCACTGCAAGATCCATAATTTTCAAAAGACACGGAAAGAAACGATCGAGAACGTTAATGTATTTAAAATAAAGGCATTCCGACAATGGAAATGACAATTTCTCTCGAAGAAAAATTCTCGTTACGATCGCACGTTACTCCTCTTTTTCTTCATTAAATTTTGCCTCGTTCTGCCGACTAATTATAACAACATACGCCGATTTATATTTAGACATAGGTGCTGGATCTAGTATTTTGCCGAGTCCCTAACGTTTGACATTTATTCCACGGTGCGTTAGCACCGGGGAACAACTCTCTCCCGAGAGCCTGATTGTTCAACCGTCCGGTCGAGGCTTGCTCAATAAACGCCGCTTATCGCGTCTCGCAATTAGCGGCAATACAGCGCGATGATAAATTTCCTCGAAGACTGACGTCGCGAATCGAGCGACACGTAATTACGCAACGTGTAATTTCTGATTCTTCATTTTGATCGTCGCGCGAAGTGCTTGTCGCGCGAGACAAACGAGATAGGTAATGTAACAACAGGTTTCGCACGAGTATCCGGGACGTAACGCGGCGAAAGTACCGGCGTCTCCTGCTCCTTTTATTCATTTATTATTTTTCCAACAACTCTGCTCCAGACAAGCTTGTCGCCTGTCGGCAGTTTTCGGGACACCCTGTACAACGGTGTACGCGTCAATACCGTAACGTTACGAGCGAGTACACGCCGGCGAGTACAAATAACACGCAACGCCCGTCCGGAACGCGCAAACCGAGAAGACCGGCCTCTCACCTCTTCCTCGCCACGCGCACCTGTCCGTATCCGTATCCGCGTCCGTGTGAGAGAACGCAACGAGAGAAAGAGAAAGAGAGACGCGTCAGGCACTCTTATCCACGTAGACGAGCGGCGATGGAGCAGCAATCGGCCGCAACGCGCTCGTCGCCGCAACTGGCAGCCACCGGGACCTAAATACCCCTTTCTTTCCGCTCGTCCGCCCCGTTATCGTTTACCCGTTATCGCTTCGCTCGTCTGTTCGATCCTTATCGCGTTACAGGCGAGACTTGCGTCGAGTCGCGAATCCGGGATCAAATCATGAATCGGAGATCGATCTCGGTCGTCCCGCGAATAGTGAAGAACAGAAGCTGATGGGAATTTATCTCAGAAAATTAAAGACCGAAATTGGATCTTGGTTCAGCTTCTCCCTTATCACGTTAATCTTCACGATGAGAATTTGCAGAAAGAACTTGGACTCCTGTTTAGAATTGAAAATTCAGAAATAAGACAGATGACTTGAAAAGATGATGTTAAGACACGTTGAGCGTATCGCTTCATGGATCTTTATCGTATTGCAGATGGTGAAATTAGATGGGTCGTTTAATTTCTTCCCTGTTACATCGGCCTTTGCGGCGAGAATTTGGAGGAAAAAATTTGGGCTCTTGTGCATAACTGGCGACGAGAATCCAGAAGTCAAACAGATAATTTAAAAAAATAAAGACATATCGGGCATATAATTTCGCAGACGCTTTGGACCTTAAACATGTTTAATAGCGCACTTAAAAGCGAATTCCTCTCTTCATTCGCCATTCGGCTACGTTGCTAAATGGGTACCAGTATATTACCCGTGAAAATGCAATAAGTAACCGGCGATTCGCCTCCTCTCCGCGAGATTCCCGTCGCACGTTTTTATAGCGCTAAATCCATCAAACGCGTTTTTACGTCGTGTTCTGAATGTTGAACTGCGCAATTAAAAAAAAAAACAATACTTGATCACAGCCCGACAGTTCACTCAGTTATAAACGGCTCATTCGTTCACCAAGTCGCTTTTAATCGAATCGATTCATTTTGGAAAGGACTCTATTCCAAAATCCATAACTTTCAAGAGAATCGAAAGGAAACAATCAGTTAATATGTTTAAAATAAAAGCATTCTATTACCGTGTCTCTCAAAGAAAAATTCTCATTGCTATCGCACGTTACTCCTCAACGACTTATCTGCCGTTCGAGGATGTTTGCGCTTTGATTTTATCTTCGAACAAAGTCCTTTCTAGAATAAACGATTGCGTGTCGTGTGCGACGATTCTGTATGTATACCTTAAAGTTCTTCTTCTCACATATTTGTAGGGCCACCTCTGCGGTATATATCCGAAAAAAATTAATATCACCGGAAATCTCCTCCCTAAGGTAGACAATCCTAACGGGTTCCACCTGTTTCTTCCAATTCGGTTTTAACACCGTCGGCACTTCCTTCGGACACGGGAGAACATTACGTGTGACGGGTGAAAATCGCGCGAGGCCGATTTCACGAGCTCGTGTGCCACCGTAACCGGAAAGCAGCGGCGAGAGGACTGATCGCACAGGGCCCCTTCTCACATCGGCCGGCCCCCCTCGAGCGTGCCTGCCTGGTGCTCGTCGCTGCGTCACAATGCTAACAATGAGGTGCGAACCGCGCGAGTCTTCCTCTCTGCGAAAAAATTTATTTAAAAAATAGTAAAAAGACGGTATTTAAAAATATATTGAAATAATTCAAATTTATGTTTTTTATCATCTTTATCAGTAAAGCTATTTATGTCCAAAAAAAATCGTTATTTTCCTTCGATTCAGTATACGTCGAGGCACGTTCGTTTACTTTAATGAACAAATGTTTGAATGATGAAAAGCGAAACAAAAAATAGTTTAAATTTCTTAGTGCATTGTGTCGTAACGTATTAGTATGTAAAGTACGTTTCGTCAAGTAAATTATTGTTAATACGATTATACGATTATATGATATTAGCACGTATTAAGTACATACTCTCTTTCGTATATTTAGACAGATCTTTTATTTAAGCTTCATTGTACAATACCTATAAGAAAATTATCACAAATGGCATCGTATCGTCGAGTCGTTGCAACGATGCAAAATGCGTATCGTACAAAACCGTACAAAAGATCGTGGGAAATTTGTAAAAATGTGAACACTCTCGCCGGAATTTCAATTCATTATACGTATATAATACTATAATTCATATACTCATACTTACCAATTATCAATTACTGTCCCGTTAAAATTCGAGACGCTTATTTTGAAAATATAGTATACTCCAATATTATATTTTTCCTAGGGATAAAGAAACAGATTCATTCTCCGATTTGAGATATTTTCGAAACCGGACGCGAGCCACTATCAAAGTGGTCCCGCGTCGCGATCAGGGCTTATCTCCGACAGATTGCACGTGTGGGGCCTGTGTAAACGGAAAAATCGACGATTAACGATGGATTTCTTCTTTCAAGTTTCACTCTTTCCATTATTATTAGTATAATAATATTAATAATATCGTGGAAACCTCGAATATCAAGGAAAATGACAGCATCTCTTTCGTCAAGTGTATCCAACGTAGCGATATCGCGAGAGATAATATCTTGCCTAAGGGCCGAGTACTCCAAAGATAAGCGCCGATCGCCCAGCACCGCTCGAGTATTGTCCAAAGGTATATCGGATAAATATTGCATAACAACATATTCGCCGCATCGCACCTCGTACAAACAGTAACAACATAGCGCACTTGTCAACAAAAAAACTCAAATGCACTATAGAAAAAGTTCAGTCTATATGGAATCGCTTGGAAATTAACACGTTTATACTCTCTAATTTGCGCGCGAATTACGCTTCGCGAATCTCTCAAGAGTCTAGACTCTTTGACTTAACACATTGTGGACGGGCCGCGTAAATTCGTATAGTTGCCCGCGAACATATACGATCGGATAACGTTAATTGGTATAATTTGTATACGTCGTATTATTTTTGTTTACGTATCGCGAAATTACAGTACATGGTCTCATAAAGATGTAACGAAGCAGGATGCTTACATACATCACGATGGCCCCTTATATTTTAATTTCTTCAAGTATTCCAATCCATAATGTGTTAAGAGTACGCACGTAAGTATGTATATATAAGTATTTATGTAGTTAAGTATTTTTAGGGTCTAAAATCTCTCTTAAGAGAATTCCGAGACGGGAAGAACGCAGATAATATTACGTTTACGGCCGAAAGTGACTTCGCGAAATACGTATACGAATGCTTACACCCTATTCGTTATTGCTTCAATATATCCGCATGTCAATTAACCATATCTCAATCAACAAAAACGAGCATCTAAAAAGTTTTATAAAAAAGATACAAAGACAAAACTCGCTCGCGCGAGTACGTAATTTCGTTCACGATCGAGTGAGAAAGTTTTAGAAGTTACGGGCAGCCAGATGTAGCTCCGGCTGGATGATGAACACCTTCGAGACGTGGCCGCAGTTAGACTTGTCCTCCATCGCCAGGTAATTCCTCATCGGCACGAGCAGCTCGTCGTACGGGTCCGTGTTCAGCTGGTACTCCTGCATGGCCCGATAGACCGCCTTGAAGGGCGGCTGTTTCTGCGAGTGGAACGTGCCGCGCGAGCCGTGCAGCACCAGAGCGCCTTCCCTCTCCGCTTCCGCGCACACCGACATGTACATGCAGTGGTCCGGCCGATAGTTGTAACGGCACGAGTAAACGTACAGCTTCTCCGGATGATAATGGAATATTATGTTGATGATATCTTGGTCGCCCCAGGTTATCTTCAGTCTGTACTCCTTGTGAATGGGAATCACGTATTCCGTCCACCGGAACTCCCTCATTCTCGTCAGATTCATCAGCATCACCCCGGAATTGACGCCGAGCTTGCCGTAATACGGATGCTTGGCGAATCGATTGTACCAGCCGGTGTTGGGATCCTCGTGCTCCGGACTAAGGGCCGCCAGCTGGCTGGCGTTCATCTTCCTGAACTCGTCCCAGACCTTCTCCGGCGGCGCCAAGAACAGGGTGTCCGTGTCCACGTAGAGCACCGCGTCTGTGTCGTTCAGCACGGTCTGAAATATAAATCCTAATGTAAGTCTGACCACACATAAATCTAATGCTTGCGGGCAACTCTCGTTGCCAGCAGCTTACCGGTAGGAACAATCGTTGCGCCGCACAGGGCTTGAACAGCTTCTTCCACATGGCCACGTCGCTGCCGTCCGGGAAGGTGATGGGCCGCACCAGGAAGTCAAAGGTCTTATTGGATATGAGCCGCCACTCCGACAGCTTCTCGCTGAAGGCCGGTATCAGATTCTGCTCCGCCAGTATGACGAACTGCAGGGGCCTGCTGGCGAAGACCAGCGCCGATTTCAGCATGGTCAGGGCCTCGTGCAGCCTGTCCCCGCACACCACCACGCATATCGTCACCTCGCCCGCGGACGCGGACGCGCCACCCGGGGACGACTTCCTCGTGAGCGCCAGGCGTTCCCTGCTCGCGGCCGGCTGGTCGTATACCTTGTTGGAGAAATTGGCGGTCACGTTGAGCAGGATTATCAGCGCGGCGAGGATAAGGCACAGCAGGAACAACTTGTATACGGATTTCATCGCGTCGCCTCGACGTCGCGTTCTATGCTTCAAACCGTGCAAAATCGCGACATGAATTAGCTGCGCGACGTCGGCAGTGACCTGACCGCATCTTGGACCCCTCCTGGAAGCCGACGATAAAATCCGCGGAACGTTGCGGAACACAACGGATCCCCAGTGTCGCGTAGTTGACGTCGCGTCTCGCGTCGTCCTCAAGTAATGGCGAGCGCCATATTTACGGTATAACCTCCCGCCTCCCGGTCAAGTGTCATAAACACGGAGCAGTTGATGCGCGCCACTGTGCCCCTACCCCCCACCGATCTGCGCAAAGAATTCATTGCAATTCGAAATTACGTATACGGAATGTAATTTAAATAATGTACATTTTATACGGAAAAAACGTGTTTTTATGGTTGAGAAAGCGTTCATAAATATTAAAGTGTTTGATTTTGCAATTCGAGCGTTTTACGTTTACGTCTAAAGTTATAGTTCTTGAAGTAACAGTTCATATAGAAATTTTGTACCCACTTCTTACCCAATTATATTTCCCTGATACTTTGCCGATTTTTGAGAATTTATGTGTTTATGTAATAAATTTCTCGACATCGGTAACCAGTGGTGCTGAGTGATGCCGATAATTTCTATAATTGGTAAAGTAGGCAACAATATTACCGACGTCAACAGACTGCACAAATTTAAATTTTCGGAAATTGCCAAGTAATTAGGAAAGAGATTACACTAACTAAAATTCTAAAAACTGTGACTTTCACTTACTCGCTCATGGGGCTCTTATTACATAATAATATAACAATAGTTTAATGGTTGAATTTTGTATACCATTTTTTAAATCTGTCGTATTTTTTAATACTAGTAAATTAACAATTACGTTATAATTAATAGAAAAGAAATAATATAATTGATTTAATGTTGTAGTTGATACCAACGTATTCTATTATTGGGATATTATTTGAGAAATGGACACAATATCCATTACATTTTTTATACATAACGATAACAGATAGTGTTATACGCTATGAATCCGACTGTATTTCAAAGACACTAATTGCTTTTCGATGCTACTAATAATCTTCCAGTCCACATCTTGATAAAATAAAGTATCGAAATCGGGATGGCCCATCATCGCTTTTAACGTTTTTTTTGCATCATTCCTGCAATTAACATATACATTCATCACGCGTCTGTTCTATTATTTTGAAATGACACACATCTAAGCATCTTTGTCAAAGACTAATCCTTTGTTAAGAAATTATTTTAAGAAAACATAATAAATTTCTAAAGAATCACAAAAAATGTATGTAAGACGCTGTTATGAGCGATATGTTCTCGATAGATGCGTATCAAGAGTACCTTGTTTCATTATTACCGTCGAGAAGAAATTTAGCACACATTGTGAATATCTTACGCCGGGTATCCTTGAAATTTGGATTCGACGATAAACATTCCACTCCAATAATATTAATAATATTATAGAGCAGTCGACTCACAGTCGCTCTTATCAACGGGTTCTTGTGACTGTAGACAACAAGACAGCGTTCAAAATTCCATACAAATAATCTGATTCGTAACGACAAAAAATCATTAATTGTAATAGATATTATATGACAATGTAATCGTTGCTTTAATCAAAGACGTCGAAGTCCATTCGATCACACCTAGCACCGTGCTCGCTGGTCAATATCCGAATGCAAGTTGCGGGAGGCAGGTGCGACACCATGGAGTCCAAGGCGCGTTGAGCGTCATTCCGGATTCCCTTGTTCGTGTGCGTGCTCTTCAGAAGCAACGCGGACGCAAGCTCGTCGAATTCCGGTCTTTGCGTACACTGGACCGTCTTGTACAACTCCATCGCTACCTGGCAGACAGTTCTAACGACGTGCGGCCTTGTATTTCGCAGCAAACTGCAATATAACGTTTCATTGCAGCGAGCACGTTATGACAAAGAGAGACGCGGTGGAGATGCTCGAACGACCTGCACAAGGTTCGGTATATACGAGGCATATTGGAGTCCAGCAATTCTGGTTGAATCCTCGAGATGTGCATTAGCTTTATCAGAGCCGATACGCTGCTCTGCCATTGTTCCTGCTTCAGGCTCTGCATGGCGTGTTTCAAAGTCTCTTGCGGACTCGCAAAGTCCTCTGGGGTTTCTGTACAATCGCCCTCCAGTATAGGCACATAGTTCTCGTAATTGGCCGTAGGATTAACGTCCTTCGGATATCTGCTACATGAAAGTGTCATACATGTTTAAGCATACATAGAGTATAATATACTCAACGTTTATTATTTTTATATATTTAGATGTATTTCATTTGTGATTTTGCTGATTCAAATAACATTCCTCCTCGTACTGAAATTTTAGTAAAATGAGTCATTAGAAGTTAAACATGCCCGATGTACCTGTCAGATAACGTGGAAAAACGCAAGTCCCCCGAAGCCCCGGAATACGTTGCTTCGACAAATTGTGTTTTTGCAATTTGTGATGAATTTGCATTCTCATGCTGAGTAGATAAGGAAGCCGTTTCCGTCATCGCGCGTGTGGCAGACTTACCTTTTTTTTTTTTTAAGACAGTTTTTATCACGAAATAAATATCGACACTCCTTAAAAGATTACCGTAATCGGCTGATGTTCCTACCTGCACCTTTGCACATGGGACACGTGACATATTTCTTGCATTCCGTATGCGCCATTGTATTACAAATATATTTACTGGAGCGTGACGCGATTACGCAGGAATTATATTTCAAAGAAATCCGATTATACTTTAATGCCGCAGGAATTTGTCCGCTATATCTTTGCCTCTAAACGTCCATTTTAAACACGCAAACATCGCCCGCATAACTTTCCATAAAAGTATTGCATTCAGATAAGTTCAAGTCGATATTGATATGCGTGAATAAATTTGCACGTTCGATATTGGCGCATAATTTTGATAAAAACTTCAATAAGAATCGATAGAAGCAAGTTATGATAACGGCAACAACGTTATGAAAGACAGCGATTGAATACATATGCGACACAGTTGGACACTAAATTAAGAAAAACACCTTCGCACTTTCTTTGAAAATAATTTTCTTACGATATATATATATGAGAATATGTACATTATATATTATTTCTCTATACATTAAATATAGAATCGAATCTATAATTAAAAAGCGATAAAACTATAAAATTTAGCACAGTCGCATTTATCCTAATGAATAAGATAAATTGGTCCTTCGATAAACCGCGAGATAACAAAAGTTACCTCGCTTTGTCGAGAAAGCGCTTTTCGTCGGCTAGTCGCGATTCTCTAGCCGACCAAGTATGGTCCGGTTCGATGACATGTCGCATGTCGTCTAAATATTACTTAATACACTTTTCAGTTCAGTCCACGGACGATCGAAGGATAACTGTATATTCGTCATCCTTCTCACTCTATATCGCACAGTCCCATTTTCTACTTCACACTATATTTTTGCGGTTCCAGTTCGTCTCGCGAATAAAAGAATTTGACTATCCTTGCTTACGAATGTCCCCTAAAAAGAGTATCAGTTCCGCGTATCACGACGGCGGTTTCTCCAGCGAGATATTATAATCCAAATGATCACAATGTATAGGACACTGATAATACGACACCGCGCTAGCGTGGCCGGATCTTCCTGATGTCATAGGCACACCTTGGACCCACTGGTCCTTTGCCGGATCATAAATTTCTACTATGTTTAAAAACGTCGTACCGTCGTATCCTCCTTAAAAAAAAAAGGAACCGTACGTGTATATCATTTTTTATATCATGAAAAAAGAATCTCTCTAAATACAGGTTTTTTTTTATCAAAGATTAATAGTCATATTTACCCATTGCGTATAGTTTGCCGTCGAGGATGGTAACGCTAAGAGCACTGCGAGCAATAGTAACGCTGCTCACGTTCTCCCATACATCGTGTTCCGTGTCGTATCTCTCTACCGAATTCAACTGCGATTTCCCGTCGTATCCGCCTATAACGTATATGTACTGCCCCAGACTGGCCACACCGGACCCCGAACGAACACACTTCGTAGACGACACCATCGTCCACTCGTCATTCTCGGGATGGTAACACTCCACCGAACTGAGCCGGTCCTTGCCGTCGAAGCCACCGATTGCGTACAGAAGTCTGTCAGGAGAACGAACGTACTTTTTACATTATACAATAAATAGATTTAATATATTGCGCGTATCTCTTTGAATAAATACATGGAAACAATGTTCTAAAATTAAACGGAAGGTGTATGCTATTTATATTTAAGAGAAACTAATATTATATGACATCTAAAATACTATAATTTACATTAGTAACATAATTAGCATACTGATGCCATAGCTAAATATGATTTAACTTTGAAATTTAAATTTAGTCATCTATTTTTCATAAGTGACTATATGATTAACAGTATGTCACCTTTGCCACTCAACGAATATCGGCTGACAAGTACTACCTACCTATTCACTACCGCTACTCCTACACCTAATCTCTTGACATGCATGGGTTTCACACTGGTCCACGTATCTTGATCCGGATCATAGCATTCGACGCTGTTATGGTACTCAGCGCCCGCGCTGCCACCCACAGCGTACAACAGACCATCCATAACGGCGACTCCGACCCTGTTCCTCGGTACCGACATTGGGCTGCACGGTCGCCACTGATCCGTCATTGGGTTATACCTGTCGACCCAGTCGCTGTCGTACCTGAGAAAAGTCGTGCGAGTTTTTTATTTATATTTATTTCAAAGCTGCTTCCTAAGCAGTCTATCAACTACAACTTTTCATGCTACCTGATGACTATATTTGATATATTATGGCAGTATCTATACAAACTTTGGAATAAATTCCTTAATTTCTTAGGCATTTTGATTCAAATTTCCATGCAAAAATAGAATTTTTAGATACAAAGTAAAAGGAATTCATTACCTCAGCTTGTTAGTTCTTATTTTCTATTAATATGATTATGGAGCAAACTAAGAATTAGTCGAATCAGTTTAAAATAATTTCTATTTCTAAAAAATACAATAAGAAAATAGAATCCACCATAAAGTCATGTTAAAATTTTGAAAAAATTTTTGTTAAAAGAAACCAAATGTGTATATATATCTAATTAAAATATTTTAAAATCTATAAAATGTAAATGAAACTTACACGGCACTTTTTGATACCAAAAATCTAGCACTTTGGTTTTCGTAAAATAAAAACAGAATCAAAGGCACAATTCTAACAAAAATATCCTGGAGTTTCAATAAAATTCCCTGAGAGTCCCTTCACTTTTTAAGGCAGAAAAATTTCTTGAGAATTCCAGGTAATTTTCCAAACACCCCATGGTACAGCGCTAAAACGTCGAACACGATTGACGTTCAGGTGCTAACCTGCTTCCCGGTGAATTGTGTCTGCCGCCGACCGCGTAGAACATCCCCTTGAGGAACGCACCGCCCAGACCGGATCTGGGGACGATAAGCTTGGCGTGCTGCGTCCACGTCTTCTCGTCGGCGTTGTAGCCCTCCAGGACGTCGAGCGAATGCTTGAAGAAACCACCGGCGATGTATATTACCCGCCGCGTGTTAGGCGTACGCTCTTTCACAACCGGCTTCTTGTGCAACGTCAGGTCCTTGAAGATCTGCGCCAGATACTCGCGACACGCCGGCACCTTCTTCAGCACGTCGCAGTTCTTCATCTGCTCCCGCAGGAAGTTCGGCGTGAGGTACTGGCAGCGTACCGCGTGCAATATGTGCTCCATCTTGGGCCGCCTCGCCTCCTCGTTGTACTTGACCCACTTCAGCACGGCGTTGTAAACCTCTCTTTCCTCCTGCACGTTCAGTTCGTCCTTCCTGATGAGCGTCACCAACTGTATCGCAGATAACTGCAAGAACTCCTCCTCCTGACATATCTGGTTGAAGTGCTGAACGATGAACTGATTCGCCTTGTGGTACAGATCGTGGCAGCCGTGCTGCTCGGCGAAGTTGGCGATTCCAATCGCGTTCGTGGGATCGAGTTGTCTTTCCAGAAAGACACTGCACGCATCTATCACATTGCTGACCTATATCGAAACACACGTTTGTCAAAACGTTAAATCATATCAACGGGAAGCTTCAAGTCCTTAAAAACAACTTTATGCCTATTTGCTATTCACTCAGAATATATCTATCGACACAATTCTTTTCTTCGCGATACGGTTTTCTTTTTTCTAAAATTGTCTACGCACTTGGAACATGGTAGCTGCTGACAGCAGCGAACACACGGTAATCTCAGTGACTCTTATTTGACCAGTATACATGAAGTACATTAACCGAGCCATCGTGGTTGGACAGACACCCTGGAGCTTCACCCTCGTCATCTCGCATTCCTTCAGTCCTCCAGTGAACATTGCCTGGAATTTCAAGCAGGGCCGGATCAACATCGATACCTCATCGCTTTCCGCTGGATTCCAGCGACAATTTCCACCCAGCTGTTCAGCTTACCTTAAAGTAGGGACTAGCAGCTGCTAAAATAACTTTATGCGCGTGGAACAGTTCGGAGCCGACCTCGAGGATCACGTCGGTCAGCATGTGATGGCTGCGCATCATAAACATCATCTTCATGGTCTCCTTCAGGTAGTTGGCCATGCAGAACGTCATGTCGCCGAGGTCGCCCCGCGTCCGCTCCGTGTTGAGCATGCCCTCCCAGTCAGTTTCCTCCCCGGACGCGAGCGGAGCGTCGCCCCGGGGCTGGGAGCCGCCCCGGGCCTCGTTCTTCCGCTGACAATCTTTCTTTCCATCCATTAAAGTAGAGCTGCAAGAGAAGCGGAGAACCGCGGGACGTGCGCCTTTAGATATTTACATACGTTCGCGTCATCGCGCGCTCCTCGCACGCCCGGTCCTTCCCTTCTCGGAACTCATTAATATCGCGCGAGGGGGCCTGGGGCTTACGCGCGGGGACGTCACCGCCGCGACGCGCGACGCGGACGGAAAACCCGCGCGCGCGGCGTCGCGCACAATAAACAGCCGCACCGTAATCAGCGCGACGCGGAAGCGTTGCGCGTGACCGCGGGACGTTATACGTTTCCAGCCCAGCGACGGGTCTCGCCGTCGCCGTCGCCGTCGTCACCGTCGCGGAGAAAAACCGTCACACGGCACGCGCGCGCGCGCGCACGCACTCGCGCTCGCTTTAACGCATGGCACTTACCCGACCTGCCAGCCTCGCCAGGGCGATCTACTTGCGTCGAGGAGTCGCTGGGCGCGAGAGCGAGACGGACGAGCGCGAAGGAGGCGGACGGCGAGAAGGCGGCGCGATCATGTCTCGCGATCGATCTCGCCGATGATGCACGATGACGCAGGCATCTCCTCCGGCCTCCGGCTGCGGCCGGTGCGGCCCTGGCTGGCTCCGATAGATGTGGCGTCACCGAGCGAGACGAGCGGACGGACGAGCGAGCGGGTGATTTGCATACGCACGTGTTTCGCGACGGGCCGACGAGCGTTCGCGGGAATCGCGGACGCCCCGGATCCGAGCGGCGCGCGGGTGGGACTCTTTTTCTCGTATAGACCAGTATAGACGCGATTCGGAATGGATACGAACGGGGAACGAGCTACTGCTGTCACCAGTGTCACCGTGCGTCGGTCGGCCGTTCGCCGTCGCTTCGCCACCGTTTCGCTCCATCGCGCCGGCGGCGGCGGCGCGAAGGCGCAAGATCGCTTCGTCACGATTTGTACCGTAGATACGCCGGTGTACCTTTGTCCGCGCCGCTGATAGCGGCATCGGCATCGGCCAAACACGCCGCGCCGAGCTGGCTCCGCTCTTGGCTAATAGTCCAGCGCGGCCCTGACGGTGACTCGGTAATAAATACGCCCGACGGCGACGGCGCGTGGAGGACGCGGTCGGCGGTCCTCAATTTAATTGTGGTGTCCCCCGAGAGCCATCGCCGTCGGTTGTTCCCCGGCGAGCGAATGTCGGGGGACCGATTTCACCGATTCCGCGAAATCGAGATCACGGAATATCGTTTCGAGGACGTGAGAACGAACGCGCGCGGATATGTCCCCCTGAGATTTTCCCGTCGCTTAAACGAAACCTTGGGTGCTTTCCATTTAGAATTAGTGACACGAGTCGACACATCTCGTTCTATCTTTCTTGGCAATCTCTATCTTTCAATGAGTAACAAAAACAGAACGACACTTGTGTTGACTTGTGCCATTGACAAGTGGAAACCGCCCCTTAATTCTACGTTGGGGTCCCGATTGTCGGGACCGTTCCAGTGAGAATCTGGGAATCAGGATTTTCTTCGGGAAGACAGACTCCCCATTGTCTTTCGTTCTTGAGATTCTTATGTCCATTTCTACCAATGCAGACTAACTTTTAATCTTGTTCATTCCAGTGATTCAACTTACTTTTTATCTTTTTTTAGTTTTAGGAATTAGAAAACAAGATAAAAAGTGAGTGTAAACTCTCAATTCAACTTACTTTTTATCCTTTTCTAGTTTTAGGAATTACAAAACAAGATAAAAAGTAAGTTTACTCTCGATTCAACTTACTTTTTATCCTTTTCTAGTTTTAAGAATTAAGAAAAGATAAGTTTATTCTCGCCTCAACTTACTTTCTATCCTTTTCCAGTTTGGAGAACTAGAAAAAGATAAAAAGTAAGTTTACTCTCGATTTAACTCATTCTTTTTATCCTTCTCTAGTTTTTAAGAATTAGAAAAAGATAAAAAGTTAAATCGAGATTAAAGTCGGTCTACATTTGGTAGAAATGGACATTGAGAGCGATTCGTATCTCCCGTCGGGCGGCGTCCGGTCGACGTGTCCGTCGGCACGGCGCGACGACGACGCGGCAAGTAGAAAATCTCCCATTTCCCGGCCGTACGTTTTACGACGCTGCACTCTCTAAAAGATATATCGTACAAGAAAATCCGTACCTACATTTCCCTTGCTCTTTTCTTATAAAAATGCATTTCATTTTAGAAACGCTTTTAGACCGTATACCCTCGCGTATTGCAGCACGATGCGACGGACGGCGAGCACAATGGAGTTCGAGCCTTAAAAGAATTCTCCGCTGCAATTCTTTTTGCTGCAACAGATGCCGGGGATTCCTCTCCTCGATTTCACAGGAACGACGACGACGACGACGACGGTGCATTCGTCCTCTTATCCCAGCCCGGGTACGAACGAGGGTGGGATTCCGCGCGGAGGGACGGTGGGACGGGGGGACGGACCGACCGTGAATTACCGTGAAACAGCAATCGTGACCGTAGATGACTCGAATGACTTGCGAATTTCGCTTTGCCGCGGGGCCGCGATATTTCGCGCGTAATCGAGCGAACGGTACTCCGCGCGAGCGAGTCAGCTGTTCCGCATCCCGCGCGGTTACGGGCTACGGCAACGCGGATTTAATTGACCGTTCGACGGTTCGTCCGGCGGCAGGACGACGGGCGAGTTATTCGCGATTCCTCGATCACGAGCATCCAGATCAAACAGATGTCCGCGAGAAAGACGGGAGCGAGAGAGGAGGGAAGGGGGGAACGAGCGCGATACCGCGTCCCCTCGAAGGAACAATTATATTCGTAAAAGAGGACACTCGTCATCTCGTCAATCTCATCGTGCGGGTTGCGGGGTGTTCGTCGTGACCCGACGGACAGAATGTGGGAGAACGACGGCGTCGCGTGAAAGAGATAAAAACATTATTGTCGTGTCATCTCCGGATTACGTTGTCTTTAAATTGCGTCTTCCCGGGATTATCATCTCCGCTTCGCTCACGCTCGAATAGATACCGAGGCGAATTTCATTGACGATAACTGTGCGCGATCTTTGAGAGTCGAGACGAAAACTGTGAACCGGCGATTCTTGCAAATTGTTGCAATTGGAGTGAATTTTGACGCGTGCCGCCCTCACTCGGTCGAGATTGATACCCGGAGAACATTTTACGACGGCTCGAAAGTCGTCCTAAAATTTTGAAGATATATGTCTTATGGAATTATCTCAACTGTCAGGAAGACGTCCTGAAGTAAAGACGTCTTCGAAAAGTTTTATGTATTTGTGATATTTTCAAGACTGTTTTAGAATCAATGTTTCATCTTTGAGACATTTTATTTGAGATTGCTTTTAGATGTGATAATTATAGTCGGTAAAACAGTTCAGGTGGCGCGCGCGCGCGCACGCACACGCACGCACACACACACAATTCTTTTTTTGTCATAAAATAATCAGAACAAACAACAAACCTCTTTTCTGAGAAAATAAAAAAAAATATCCTTGAGATCTCCTTTCATGCCGAAACTCTCATCCATTATGCGTTAAATTAAGAAAATACCGCTGAAGGTAGAATATTTAATTGTTTTTCCTCCACAACATATTATATTTCTGATCAGACGACTCATCTTTCGCGATTTATTTGCACATTTTTAGACTTTATGCCACAATTTTTTGTTTTTATACCTCATCGGCTACCAACGAAGTGCGTCAGAGGATTGCATTTTAGTCATTTTTGTAAAAATATAACTTTCGCACAGCTACTCTACTGTTCCCCACTCTCTGTTCATCGTCGAATCTCTGGATAAGGAAACCGATTACGATATAGACGCAGTAACATTTCAACCACCGCATCGTACGTCTCGCGAAATTTCCTGCAAATCCTCATCCGTACGTCCCGTGTGTTTTCCCTAATCCGTTTCCCGGAATTTATTCCACACTCTACAGGCCTAGAGGATTAGGGCGACGTTTTGCGATCCTGGTAAGGCCAGCCTACAATCTACAATGAGTCGTTAGTCAGATGACGGAAGAGAGTCAGAAAGAGTCATAAACGTATCGTAAGGCGATCGAAAGTTTGTAATCAGCGATCGTAAGCGATTGGCCAAATTGGCCATCTCTTAACGATCACCGATCACAGACTTCCGATTGTCTTACGATACGCTTAATGACTATTTCTTCCAACATCTGACTAAGTGCCCATCTACAATAGGTGTTTTAATCCCTAAGCCCTAAGAAACTGACCAATCGCAGTCAATTATTCTCCTCAAATTCAATTGTGATTGAACAATTTCTTAAGGCTTAGGGCTTAAAATACTTATTGTAAATGGCCAGATGGGCACTAACGACTAATGACTCATGGGCTGCATTCCGATATTCACTGTCAGCAACTTTCAGTACTGAAAATCTATACTATACGTGAGTAAAATATAGATGTTCACTACTGACAACAGTGGATATCGGAATGCAGTCATTGTATAGACTTGCCAGTATCACCGATACGGTGATTCCATCCGTACGCCTCGTCTGACAATAGGTATGCAGAGACAGAACGTAACGTATTTCGTCGAGGAGTTCGAGTGCGAGCTGAAGGACACGTCCGGGAGATGCCTGAACGTCGGCTCCGGTACCGGGGAGATAACGAGGAAGGTTCTCCTGCCGGTTCTTAATCGAGACGCGGTGATGATAGGTGAGAGAGAGAGGACGACAGGCCCTACAGAGGCCCCGAATAAAGAAACCCGTTCTTAATTGTCAATCTTGATCACAATCTCAATAGCGTGATGATTCGATATATTGTAAACAAAGGTACGGACGTTTCCGAGAGCATGGTCGAGTACGCGAACAGGATCCACGGTGTCGACGGGGTGCTCGAGTTCGAGACGTTGGACATTCAGACGAGAGACCTGCCCGAGAAGTACGTCGCCGAGTTCGACCACGTGTTCTCATTCCCCGTTTTGCATTTCTGCAACGACGTCCGGTAAACGATCTGACTTTTCGTCCCGCGAGAGAGAAAGACTCCTTCAATGCTACAGATCCAAGTGTGTTATTTTAGGCCGAAACCCTTCTTTCTTGCCGTTTTAAATCATTTAACACGATTGAACGTATCAACTTTCAATTTAATACGATTACTTTGATCTCGGTTTAACTTACTTTTTATCCTTTTCTAATTCTAGGAAGTAAAAAAAGATGAAGAGTTAGTTAAACCGAGATCAAAGTTAATCTGTATTGGTAGAAATAAACATGAATGACATTATGTAAGAAACGTGTAGAAAGAGCTTCGGTAAACGTGTCATTTTTAGACGTTTATGACTGTAAAAATAACATACTTGGAGATTTGCAGTAAATGATATATTTTCCTAGACGCTATTGCGACGCGACAAAACGCTTCTCGGAGGCGACATCGTTTCGGTTCGATCTTCAATGGTGTCGCGTTGACGCTTTGTATCGTTGTTTGATAATATTTCAGTAGATGCAGGCCTCAAGAAATAATCACGTTTATCTCCCCTAACAGACAAGGATTGGAGAACATTTACAAAATGCTTCGACCCGGCGGCACCTTCCTCATGCTATGGGTATCGTCCCACGACATGTTTAAGATTCTTGAAAACATGGCAGAGAACAAGCGCTTCGCATCGTATTTGTACGTGAGTATATCGCTGTTTAACTGGTTTCTTATTTTTTTTACAACGTTCCCCTGCTGCGAAAGTCGCTAATCGTTATGCCTTTGCGTTCACGTGGGACGTGAAGAAGTACACCGCGCCGTTTCCACATTCGGAGAAGCCTCACATGAAGCTAAAGGAGTTGCTTAGGAGCATCGGTTTTAGGATTCGACACTGCAGTAACCGGGAGATGAGCTTCGTCGACAAGAAGCCGAAAGCTTTTCTACGTGAGTATACGCTTAAAGATACGCGATACGCGAGAATCAAACTTGCTCGACGTAAATTTTATATTCCTTCGTTGAAGCGTATGCAAGTCCACGCTTGATTATTTCTTTTTGGTTCCAACAGCCACTATTATATCTGCCTTTTCGTTTTTGCGCGAGATGCCACCCGACCGAGCGGAGAACTTCAAGAACGAGTTTGTACGCGAATATACGAATAGAAAATATACGCGCGATAATGAGGAGCTGGCGGTGGACCTGTACAAAATACTGGTAGTGTACGCACAGAAGCAAGTATTATAAAGTAGATAATAATTATGTACATGTGTAATATTGTGATAAATTGTTATGTATATAGATTATATAAGTTATAGAGATCTCATTATCGAAGCGATTAGTGGTTATAAAGTATATATATCTTTCGTCGCATGACGGATTAGAGATAAGAGATAAGAGAAAACTCGAATGTTATTAAATTCGGAGGAAAATCGAGAATGTTGACAGCGCACTTTCATCTTTCAATCTCTAATGCGTACTCTTAATACGTTCGATTCGTTATTTCACGAAAATAAGAGGATGAGGTGTGTGTACACATATGTATTATAACTACGCTTTGAGATAATATATTTATTTCTTATTAATATGGAGTTTTCATCAACAATAACAGTGTAGCAGTAGGCGTAACAAGAGAGACGAGGTAGGTTACGAGGAACCTATCCTAATGTCGTACGCCAACAAGTCACCGCGGTTGGAAGGGATCCTCGTGGCGTCTGTTCCTTCGTTCATCATTCGTTTGTGTGCTACGACGCCGAGCTATCGGTCGCCAATCGTCGGGAGAAGCCGGTCGCGGCTGATCCAGACCGTCTTCTCTACGCATACAATCTTGGTCGATTTAATCCTCGAGCAACGTTATCGCAGACCACGTGATCTTATCATATCTTTCATATTTCACGTAACATTATAGTCAATATAACACAAACACGACGGAAAATATCGCAAATATGTGTCCCATGTCGCATTTCAAGATAAACGCTTTATCACGATCTTGATATTCGCATCAATATTTAAGAACGGTCACTTTCCGTCGTTTTTGTCAACTTTGTTTCGTGCGCAAAGCTGTAATATCAGTTATTAAATGCACAAAGAGGAAGGAGTAGTAATGAATAATGAGTTAAGAACGAGCCGGCACGACTGTTCGAGGATTAAATCGTCATTTCACGTGTTTCGCATTTAATAATGTGCAGCGTCGAGAAACGAGGTACACGCCACGGTAACCCATTTGTTTTGCAAGTTATACGAACGGAAGAGCCACATGCTATGTTAATCTCTTACGATTAATTATTCCGTAAAGTCTAACGCGTTACATTACGTTATAGCCGATCCTTCCTTACCAAGTGACAAATCAAGACGTAGCATGTTGGAAGGGAAACCTGTAACTGACGGTGTAATTGCTCTCATCTACGAAAGATTTCTTAAAATTTCTCGTCGCGATTGTGCGTTGACACGTTAAAGAGCACGAAAACGATTTAACTTTGTAGCATAATAATTTACTTTTATCGGTCCAAGTAAAATGTCAGCAGTTTTCGCTAGTTGATTCGAATATTAGACAAATTGACAATCTCAGCCGCAGAGCCTGCCGATATAATTTCACAGCGACCGAGCAGAATGTTATTTCGTAAACATTTAAATGGAGTGTATTATTTAAATAGAATGCATCATTTAAATAGAATAATATATCATTTAAATGGAATGCATTATTTAAATGGAACAATATACCATTTAAATAGAATCCATCATTTAAATGAAATATGTCATTTAAATGGTTACGAAATAGCAAGTTTCTGCTGGCAATTCGCCACTAAATTCCATTAGCAGATTCTGTTACATTTCCGCTGGCATTCTGCCGACAAAATTTATAGCAAACACTTAGCGAAGTGTGTTTCCGACAGATCTGGCTATCTGCGAAAACAGAAGATAAGAAAATTGCGTCAGCTATCGAAATTTGTGTTAAAGGGATAACCGAAAGAGAGTGTAAGCAAATTACTCGGCGAATATAGAGCGATATTCGCTTGGCGAGGACAGACAATGCGGAGTCGACACCGGACAGCAGCAGCACATGCGGGACATTTGCATATTAATTCATCACTTAGCAGGATAGGACCCGTTCGTTCGACGATATCAAATAGTGGTATTACTTGGCAGGATTTCAAAAAATCAACGTAACAACAGTTCAAATTATGGCAGTGCTTTGTAGAATAATCTTATTGCCCGTTAGTGAGTGAATTAATATGATGCCATTAATCATCTCGCGATAATGATAATGAGGTGAATCCAATCGTGTGTGATCCGATAACTCAATCCGCCGTGAATACGCGTTTCTCGAAACCTACGGACTCTCCTTTGTTCTAAATTGGTGTGTTCGCTTGCTCCTCGTCTTTTCCGCGAGTTTTTCTTTCTATTTTTTGTTTTGTTTTGTTTTTCTTTTTCTCCTGTCCTCTCTCGTCGTCTATTACTCTATTACGTTCACTTACGATGATCTCGCGATTTTTCCTTCGCGTAGACAATGCATTCGGGCCGTACCCGTGTGTTCCTCCCTCGCATCGTCGTCGAGAACGAGATGCGCGGAGAGACAGTGGAAAGAGAAGAGCGAGTGCACTCCACGCGATCTCGAATATCGGAAACTGAAGTATCACGGAGAAAAAGGCGTAGTGGAAAATGTGGTATTATCCTCGCTTGTGTATAGGCCGGCAATTCCAGATACATATATATACATGAATATATATATATAATAATAATAAGTATATAGCTATATTGCAATGAGATCAACTCGAAGAATACTTTTGATGGTAAACATTCGAAGAATATTTGATAAGTTATCGAACGAGAGAGCAAAGATACCAATATTTATTTAGAGCGACGGTTTTGCGAAAATTATTTGGAGATTCTGCATATCGTTCGTGTACATCTCTTTCCCTCTCTCTCTCTCTCTTTCTCTCTCTTTTTCTCTCTTTGAGAGTGTTACTATCGTTGCTATCACATCCAGAGATGCAAATTCCAAACGGCATTCGTCATTGTCGCAACAGAGTTGCGATCGCGCGGAATTACGTTACGGAAGGAGGTCGCTCTCGCGAAGACGACGATAACGACAACGAGATAAGTGCATTTTGCTCTTATCTTTCCGCGTGCGTGTGACGTCTCTATAACAGGCTCTTGTTGGCGCACAAAGAAGTAGGGGGGCTCGACCTTTAATTCAGTGCAATAGTGTTCCTTCAGGGATATAGAAGACCTAGTAGAAGACGCGTTATGTACAAGGGAACCTCGAGGGATTTTTCCCGGGACGTCCTGTTTTCCCCCTTCCCGAGAGAACGGAGCAACGGAAGACGTGTAGAACGGAAGAGAGTTAGAAGGTGCGGTGAAGAGAGACCCTACTGAACCAAATTACCGGCAGAACCCACACACACGTTATACGAGGAGAGAATTACAGCTTATATAAATTAATTTTAATAAGTCTATCTTTGATTTCTTTAGGCGCGGGTGACTCTAAACTGGCCCCCTATATGTTTGTATTTTGATCACTTCCTGAATTAATTGCAGCACAAATTACGCCTACAGTAGTCTGCCGTGAACGCGTTGTTTTTTTTTTTTTGTTTTTTTTTTTATTTATTTTCGTGAGAAGATCCGTCTCTTAGCTCCCAGCTTCAAGGCAAGCTACCCCTGGCGATCACGGTGTGACGGAGGTGAGCGGGTTTCGGAGGATCGATGAGAGAAGCGGGCGAGCTGAGCGGTGCGTTCTGTGTGATGCAAGGACACCACGTGTCCTTTTGTAAACGTAGGCGAGACGCGGACGTGTGTTGCCGTCTTTTTTTCTCTTTTTACGTGCGTGCCGTATGTGCGTGCAGTGTTTATCGGCGGAATCGTTTAGCGCGCTCGTAAAAACGCGCGGCTGAGTACTACGCTGAGCGCGGTACCCGGATGGGATGCGGCTTGCCCCTCGTGAGGTGCAATCATTCAGGACACTTTCATCGATTTCGTACGCGCGGCTCCGGCGCGATGCGCCTCGTCGCGACGCGACGTCGCGCGTCGCGCTGACGCACGTGGCACTCTGCGAGGGAACATCCTCGGGGAACTACCAGCCACGACCTACTTAACGAGAGGACAATGACGCTCTAATTCTACCGGGGAAAAAAAGTGTTAGTCCGCCCGTCTCCGCGACGGCGGCGGCTCGTCCGCGCCGACCGTCGGCGACCTCGCCGCCGCGTTTCCCGGTGGGAAAAAAAATATAGTCGCACGTATACACTCACACACGGAGAGATACTACCCGCTAAGGACTCGACGAGGAATTTAGTTTAAGTTCTTCTGAATACAATAGCGTACTACCGAGGAGAACTATGAAACTAAATGTCTATTAATACTCTATCGTACAATATAACGTAGTGAAATATTCGAGTACAGTACAGTACTAGTTTTTTTTTTAAGTAAAGTATCTTTTTTTTTTTGGGCGGATACGACTACTCCTCTAAGGCCTCGCTCATACGAATCTCTTCCCGTTCTCTTTAAAGTTAATTAATTCGAATCTCGTCCTCCTCCTCTTGTTTTTTTGTCTTTTTTTTTAAGTCCCGCGCACATCCACGTTCTACTTGTCTAAGTTGAATAGTAATGAGAACTAGACGTGAGTTTCGCCCCCCCCCCCTTATTTTCATCAAGTGAATCGAAAGAATTCGATAGACGAAGATGGGAGACATGCACATCGATCAGTAACAATTATTCAATTCCGATAATGTTTCATTTACAATTCCTGAATGAAATTTCGCCTATCAGTCTAGTAAAATCCGTCGGAAGGAATCGGTAAACTCGCCGGCCGCGAAGCGGGGTCCCGGGGTTCACCGAGTCGCGCGGCGAGCGAACGAACGGACAAGGTCGTCGTCGTCGTAATACCGGACCCCGCGGCGCTTATCTAGCTAAAATATACATTCTACACATTCTCGCGTGCCGGATGAAAGCAAACGGTCAATCGCGAAGTTAATACTGACGTTTGGCACTGCTTCAGGAGACAAATTTGCTAAGTCGCAAAGAGATCCTCGCGACGTGACTGCGAAAAAGAAGATTTTTCTGTTTCAGGTGTTCACTCCCGGCCCTCTTCTTGCCCGGGGCCCGAATCTCCGGTATCGAATAACCCGCGATTACGAATTGCGTTTAACGGGACTTCGGGTTTCGAATTCCGTCGGCTTCCAATCCTAATACCCTCCTGGCGCGATAATTAATAAGATTTAATGCATATTATCTCGCGGTAAGTGGTCATTCTACGCCGAGAGTCCATCGAGCGAGTCTCTCTCCTTCCGCAGTCACAGAAATTATTAAAGTGGCAGTATAATATGCAGTCCAATTCGACGAGGTTCGGTAGACCAGCGTTTCTCAACTTTCGCTACGCGTTACGCCTTGCCTAATGGCGAAAAGGTATCCGGAATAAGAGTATTCCGCCGAGTATTTACAGTATTCGTACAGACGAGGGATCGAAGGAATGACAGTCTGTATATCTCGAGATATTTACACTCCCCGAAGGGACGATTATTCTAGGACGCGCGGCCTGTCCGAGTTTTTATTCGCGAGCGAAACGTCACACCCCGCCTCTCCATCGCCACCGCGAGAAAGAAACTGGAGATAAATGGGGATAAATGTCCGATGCTGCGTCCATAAATCATCGCGTGTTCGTTGTATTCGTGCGCTGGGTGTGCGGCTAATCGATCGCCATCGCTAGGAGTCGGTATGGTGCGAACGGTTGCGGATGGAGACCCGCTCGATAAACTTGGACAGACTTTGACCTGGTGAAACGCCGTTTTTTTTTTTGCGTGAAACTAAGTTTGAGAACCGATAAATTTTGAAAGAGAGAGCTCTATCCACTACGTGCTAAGAGCGTGATCTCGAATCGTCGAGGATCGGAGTTGAGAAACGCTGTAGCGTACAGTATTTGATACCATAGCAATCGAGAGAGACTCGCCCAGGCTGCCGGTTAATGTAGAGTTAAAATGTCAACAAGAAAATATCTTAGTATGTGTCTCGCTACCTATTTAAGACATCACTACTAGAGTTTATAGCACTTTTGTTTATCCTATATTATTAATGTACGTAACAACGTATGAACAATCAAAGAGATCTATCTCCGTCCTCTCTACCTCATCTCATCCTCCCTCCCCCCACTCCAACAGCAAAAAATTCTTCCCGTTTTACTCGCATCGCCGTGTGCCTCTGGCTAGTTCTTAATTTCTCTGATAAACTGTCGGATTCCTCTACAAATTGACCTATAAATCTGATATTGCTTAAAATCAATCAAAGCCCCTCAAAGGCTTAGCGATCCTCCAAAAAGCCGAGCTGCTTTCAAGAACTCTCCCTTAATACGGGGCGGTCTCCTATCAAGGGGGATGCAGGTCGCGATGGTGGGCCCTGGCAGTTAAGATGGCCTTCAGCTCGGAGTCCAGCTGCTTCTTGGTTCGCTCGCTGACACACTGGCCGCCCACCACAGGCTGGGTCAATCTCGGCGACGGCAAGTCCACCATCAGCTTACTGTTGTCGCGATTCTCGTGACTCCTGGCGCGCCGTATGGGCTTCTTGATCGGTAGCAACGCTTCCTCTTGGGCCTTCTCCTCGCCCGGGGAACGGCTCAAGGAAAGCGTCATTTCCTGATTCAAGGTATACGTGGAACCACGACTACCACCACCACCACCACCACCACCCCCGCCGCCACTACCGCTGCCTATAGCCTCCGACGACCTGGTGAGGTCGATAGTCCCGGAGCCCCACTCGCGCGACAGTTTCCTCCCGATGGCGGACGTGAGCTCGCTGTTCGGCGACAACAGTGGGCTTCTGGACACCTGGTAGCCGGCCGAGTGCGGCGGTCTCAGAGTGGCGAACACCGGGAAGGACTGGCCTCGCTTGGCCGGGCTGCGAGAGTATCTCGGCGTCGGCACGCCACCACCCCCGGCGGCGGAATCACGACGAACGGTCGGCGTGCCACCGCCGGTCGAGTCGCTCCTGGTAGGTGCTAACGGCCGCAGATTGGCACTGCCGCCGAAGGAGCCGAGATGCGGCGGCGGCGAACCGCCGTCCCCATGGCTCAATCTACGGCCTACCGTCTCCAGCGGGCTCCTCGCGCGCAAATTGGTGCTGCTGAGCGTGAACTCGCGCGGCTTCATCGGCGCGTCGAGACTCACCGGCGACAATCCGAGGCGAGACGCCGACAGATTCGTTGAACTCCTGCTTTTCTCCGATCGCTTAGGGCTTCGAGGCATCAGCGGACTCTTGCTGCGACTCCTCTCTCTACCTTTTCCAAGCTTCTCGTCCTTTTTCACCGTCTTGGTGGCATCAGGCTCCTCGGGTACTGTCTCGATCTTCTCTTCTTGTTGTACTCTGAAAGAGAGATAATCGAATATTTAGTAGTTTTGCTGCACTAGTTTCTGATACTCTTATCTATTATTTTGATCTGATTGATTATGAAAAAAATATTGGGTTTTTTGATAATAAATAATTATCAAATTTTTTATTTTTACATCTGTTTGTCATATTTTGGTAATAATAGTTTATCGGCACAGGGAAAAATTATTTCGTTTAATAAACTTGAATATTGCATTCCCTTACCTTCGGATTTCTTGAATCATCTCGAAGAACTGTGCTTTGCTCTTACGTCTGCGACGTTGTTCATGTTCCTTCTGGAACATGGAAACGTTGTAGATATTTAGAAATCAAAGTGAGCGTACTGTCCATAAGTTCGCAAATATGAATTTTCAAGTAAACACAAATTTCTATTTTTAAACAATCTATATTATATTATTATATGTTTCGAAGCTTTTTGGTATTTATTTTAAAATGCTTCTATCAAGATTTCGTTCGCGAACTTGTGGACCATTTAGGAAATCGAAGACACGCACTCGTTTGACACTCTTCTGAAAGAGCGACGCGATCTGGCCCTGTCGCACCGTGTGCACCAATTCGCGGGCGGCATGATGCGGCGAGACCAGCTCCACGCAGTTGATAAACCTGTACAACTTCTGCGAGAAGAACATGACGTTACGGCTGCGCCAGATGGAATCCTCCGGTCTGTGCCGCAATCGCGGCAGCGTGTACTTGTAGAAGAGATGTTCTCCTATGAGTATTATGGTACCGAGCACCACACCCATCCCGAGCAGGCAAAAAACCCCGGCCACGGACGCGACTCCTAGCGGCCTGGGTTGACCACCTGGCTCGGCATCTATTGCGCCTATCCCTGGTCGATCGCTCAGACAAGGTAATTCGCCATACCTGGAATTAGCTCGCTTTATACAAAGTGTTTACCTCACTGATTTTAATACTTTTTTTTCTAACCATATTGATGATCTCATTTTTATATAAAAATGTATAAAGTATACAGAACTAATAGATATAATATTCATTTTATATAATATTTAATGTATTTAATAAAACGTTTAAGACCATGTTATTGTCCAAATAAATTGATTTTATATGAAATAATAAATTTTTAATAAGATAACACACTTATGCTTATATTTTTCTCGAACAGTTCACATATTCTGCCCGTCGGACTTTATTTATCACTTAATGTATTTTCGTCTAACGTAATTATCACGCTCCCGTTATCACGCAAATAAAAAGAAAGTCCGCACGCGAACCGATATCGATTATCCAATTTTTGCACTTATTTTTGCGCATCGCTCACCATTTTTCCTGCAGAATGTCGAGCAGCCCGTTACTCGTGAAATTTGCTATAATTTTCGATATGCTCTCCTTCAGGGGGTGTCCCCTCGTAAGCGCGATTGCGTAAGTGTCCTCGTTGATGGTATCACCGATCTTCTGCAAGCGGCAACCGTCGTCGGTCGCCCGATAATAATCCAGAATCGGCGTATCCGCGATCAGAATGTCTAGGCTGCCGTTTCTCAATTTTTCCACGCCCTCGGCGACGTCCGACAAGGAATATCGAGCCATGTGGGACCATAATTGCGGATTCGCTCTTTGCACGTAATACTCGGCCGCGGAAGCTCTCGGTGCACCAACTCTTTGTGCCAACAGCTGTAATATAATGCATTCAAAAGTCTTAAATCCATACCCGAAAATTAGATAGGAACAAAATAAATATTTTCTTTTGCATTTAAACTCTATTCAAAATTGTTTTGTTCATAAACATATTAAATAATAATCCCAGTGAACACACAGTGTTTCAAATTGAGACACATTTAATTTTATAAATAATTATAATGAAACAGACTTAATATATCGCGAAGCTTTCAGTTTTTCTCTTTTATTTTTTCTTACATAAACTCGTTTGTAAACAATCGCGTATTTATAAAGAGCCGAGATACTCACGCTTTTATCATGGTAATTGCTCACTGAGGAATGAAAAAAGAGACCGGCGATAAGGGCGGCTATGTTTGCCGTGTACGAGGCCACGAAGATGACGGAGAAGCCGCCCCAAATGTTGATAAGGAACTTGTTAGGCCAAGACTTTGGCGCCTTGAAGGCCACGAGGTGGCCGCACAGAAGGCCCCACATCACCCACAGCGCGGAGGCGATGGAGAAGTTCTTGCTGCGCTGCCTGCCCCAGGGATTCAGGCCGAACGGGCTGAACCATTCGTAGAGCGCGACGGCGATCGCGGTGAAGTTTAGCGACGTGAACACGGCAATCCACAGCTCTGTGCTGAACGGGAACAGAAACGCGAGCAGCGGTATCTCGGAACGTAGCTGCGGCGCCGTGACTAAGCTCACGCCGCTGAAGTAGTACGGCGTGGTGAAGTCCACCACTTCGGCACGATGGGTGGACACGCTCAAGGCCGCAAACGACATCTGCGCTCGACCGGACACCAGCTCGCCCATCACGCCGTTCCACGTGCCGTTCCGGTTGTTCCGTTTCCCAAATAGCCCGTCCTCCACCAGGTACAGATTAAAACGAAAACCGAGCTCGCGCGCGACCACAGTTAGCAGGTCTATACTCAGGCCGTAGCAGCACACCACGGTATTACCCTGTCGACAAGTGAGACCGCGCAGACAGAAACCCTCTTGCAGATGTGTGATCATGGTGAACGGCGACGCCAGCGCGGTCACAATGCTATAAATCGGCATCCCGATCTGCTCGCCGCCCTGCTCGAGATACGCCGGCATGATGCCGCCGCCCGGCCAGATTATAGTATCCAAACGGACTTCCCTGCCTCCCTTGATAGTGCCGACCTTGGTCCACCTGTTAAACATTGATTACATCGATTATTCCACCTTTTAGCAATAGATATGATTATCTTAAGATCGAGTCGAACCTCAATTGAGTCTTATTCCCGGGAAACCTGACGGCTTGCAAATTCAGCAACTGAAACTCTGCCTTGTCCTTAGAGATTTGTCCCATGGATTTCCTCAGTTTACTCGTCAAGGTCGCGGATACGTTCTCCCTCGCGTCGCTCGTCATGAACTTAGCATTACGTTCCGGGAAGCATTCCGGTACGAAGTGCTCTCTGAGCTGCAGATCGCGCATACGACTCAACCTCGTCTTTGTTTCCAGGAAGGTCTCGTCCAATGCTTGCGAGGTCTCTCTCAGTATTCTGGTCAGTATGGTGTCGCCATCCATGATCCTGATACCGGACGGCCTGAGCGCAAGCATCCCGATCGGCATAAAACTCTTGGAATTGAGCTCCTTGTCACTCGCGAGTCTCCCGACCTCCTCCTCGTCGTCAAAATTGAAGCCCTTGTCCTCCCGCTTGGTCACGATCTTCTCATCTCGCCACCTATATTCTTGCAACCGATGTATGTCGTTGGCTAGGCTCGGCAGCGGATTCAGCGGCGGCAATGGTTTGTCGTCCGAAGCGAGATTCGTCGTTCGCTCAAACAACGGTGAGTTCTCGTTGGCCGCAACGGCGACACGCGAACTGTGAAGAAGGTGCGAACTGATGATGTTGGGCTCGTTTGGTCGCAATTCCGCCTTAAGATCCAGCCAGAGCCACAAGAATCTGCCCGAGAGCATCTCAAACTTGTTGGCCGCACCGAGGATCTTCCGGGCGTTGCTCAAATCGCAGGCCATCACCACGACTCCACCGCTGCCGCTCTCTTCGGCTACCCGCCTCAGCCTCAATCTCAGAGTTCTGTCATTCGTCGGAAGGTGTATGATCGAGCGAGGTGTCAATGTCGGTGGATTCGTTTGTAGAAGATTAGTGACGGGCAGGAGAGTAGTATCGATGAGGAGGGTGAACGCATGCCAGTTAGCCCGATGCATTAAGGCGGCGGCTGCTGCTCCGACCTCTTTGGGGCTCGAACCTATGCGGTTCTCAAACCGGCCGAGATTTCCCTGTAAACAATAATTCATTTTTTGCATTGCACAAAACATCATACAATTATGTAATCGGATCGTTCTGCGCGCCGTCGAATTTGATAATTGCTATCGTGTAAATAAGGAAAAATGTAGCCTTTTCTTTTTTGTAGAATTAAACTATACGAGCGACTATACACGAGTTCGTAAACGTAGATACATACATACCTGGCGAAGAAAGTCTCTGTGTGTAAACGGTAACCACAGAGCTGGAAGATTCAAGGCGGCAGCAGCCGTAACAAGAAATCTGGCTGCCGATCCTCCCCCTATAATAAGGCTTAATACTGTCTTTCCGCCTTCGATGTCTGTACAAAATTTGTTTAACATTGACAAGGGGTATAACAAGGAATTCGTCGTCACGGGTGTCGTCCTTGTTTCTATATATGACACATCCATGTCCGCGTGAAAAGATTCCAGTCTCGCTTGCTCCCATACTTTCTGTACGTCTGCCTTGAAAGAGGTCTGAGGCTGAGTGAAACATACCACTATCCGCCACGATGCGTAAGACGATCTGAGCCTGGCCTTCGCCGCTCTCAGAGACTTGGCAGCGTCCGCGGTACCGGACACTGACACAGAAGTCCCTAACAAGAGGAGGATTACAACTCCAGTATAAGAGCCAGGCATCTTCCTCAGTTTTCCTTATTCTCCCCTTCCTCTTTTTCTATTTAGCTTTTTTGATATACATTGCTGAAGCGTGGGCCTAATCTGTAAGAGACAATATTTTTATTCAGAAATATCACTTTAAATGTATGTCATTAACATGTCATTGATACATGTGTCGCGGATAAGCCTCTACTAACAAATATTTGTCAGCATTCTGCTAATATTATCGTGCGCACGATGTATAATTGATCTCAAATCATTAAATTATACTTCGTGAAAAATTCTTCCAGCACAAGATACTTGCAATTATATATCTCGTACTGTGTTATAAATATATGTAAAAAAAAAAAAATACTCTACCTTCGTACGTACTACGAAAAAATCGCGAATTCAACCAATAATTTGTTAATATCAACAACTGATATGTAAAAAAATTTCTAACAGTATCTTTCACCTGCCAGGGATAGAGTTACCCTGTTCCACTTTCTTTTTTGCAGATATCAAGATAACATTCTCGGCACAAACAGGCACGTAATTTCGCGTCACGACAGTGCGCGCATTTCGAACGGGAGAGATTCTAAATCACATTCTAAAAACTGTGTGATCCGTATACGCGTTTCGGAGGATGCACAAAACAGAGACGACCTTACCTCTTGACGGAAGGGATGGAAGGTCGCGCGTCCGGTGGGGGTTTAAGAAGAGCAGAGCAGGGATCGCTTTTTGGCCACCGCCGCATAATAGCTGTCGATGTCGGGTAAACCGTGTCAATCCGTCGCGAGGCACTCGGTCAATTGGTCGGTGCGGACTGCGGAGGACACGGACGATCAGCCACCCGTCACTTGTCCACCCCCGGACAATCTACCCCGTGCGTAACGGCCATTTTCGCGAGAGCAGCCCCTCCCTTTAAATTTCACCCCTGTAGCATCCCGTGGTCCACACGAGCGCGCTCGTGGCATACTCCACATGTATTGCGCCTGTCTTCCCTTAGTATATACGTGTAAGTATGTACGCGTATGTCCCTGTGTGTATCGGCGGCTCTCTCTCTCTCTCTCTCTGACAATGCCACTAACACTCGTAGATTTTGCTGACGCCCGTTATAAATGTCTCTCACAATGTCCTATGAATTAAAAAAAGAACGGATTTCTTGAGCTCCTCCTAATACGAAGTGTCCCGGAAGTCGTGACCTGATTTCGTACTCTTGGGACAACTCGCGTCCCTTCTTGAGCGATATAACTGGAGAAAATAACAATTTCGAATTGTTGTAAGAGATTGATGATTGAAGATAGTGTTATATGCAAGAGCTGAAAAATAAAAATAATATAAATCAAGACTTGAGGGGTTCAACACTGGGAACTTTGGGAATGTAAAGAGATAGTCGGTTTTTATTTCACTGTTGGTCCGCACAACTTTTTCGATTTCAAAAGTAAAATAAAATGTTCTCAAACTACATTTTCGAGAACTGCAAGCAACTAAATATACTTATTATTATGTCATTAAAGTACAATTAAACTTTGCTTCTTGGGAACTTTAGTTCAAAAGTTACAAGAAGCTAAGAAGTTGCAACAATGACCTTTAAGTTTACTTGAGAAAAGTTCTTTTTGATTTAATCAAAGAATCTCTTTGTTAAAATTAAAACGAAAAAATGTTGAGGCACTCTGTGCATTGAAAGAAAAACCGAAATTATTCACATCGAAGTTTGGAGATGAGTTGTATCAATTGTAGTCTAACGCTTCTTTTGTATAATATTTCATATTTCTATTAAGTTATTAATAAAAATAATTTTTATTAATCATAAATCATAAATTAAATATATTAAAAACCGCATTCCATTAAAAAATTCTTTCTTTACTGGCCGTCGTTACCAGTAACGGTATTCCGTGTTTTAAATTAAAGAAAGTAAAATTGCACAATTAAAACAATTATAACATAATACGCCGCATACGATATGATTCTAAATTTCTTAACAAAAAGAAATAATTATATCAATTTGATATCATCGTTATTTTTCGTAGGTAAAATAAAGTAAAATTGTAAATATCGTGACGTACGGAATACCTCTACAGCCTCTATATCCTCGAATCTTCAGTGGACAATAGTGCAAAGTTCTTTTCGGCCGAAAATAGCTTCGTATATTTGGGATCTTCTTTTTAATGTACATTTGCGTTATATACATATACGTTACGTCGCACTGCCATAATTGAGGGCATTTTAACTAGGTTTACAAGGCGTTGAAACAATAAGGAGACGCGTCCCGAAGCACTGCTTCGCGGAACTCGCTGCCGCCTCCGAAGACTTTACTTTCTCTCTCATGCGCTCTCTATCTTTCTCTCTCTCTCTCTCTCTCTCTCTCTCTCTCTTTCTCTCTTTCGCACCCTGTCTTTCTCTCTACAGCTAAAATAACATAGTCGGAATGTAGTTACATGGATGCAGTTATCCCACAGATAACGAGATCTCCGCCCCACCCTTAGCTCCCCTTTCCGCTAGGAACTAAATTAATTACAGAGACAGGTTCTCGATAACGGATAACGATCATTAAAATTAGCTAAATAGATTTTGCTGCGACGCATCATTCTCGAACGTGCTCCACGCATTGTTCAGCTCCATGAAAATCAACTTTGCTATATTCTCATTTGCTGTGCCCGCTTGCTGCAACACAAAAAGAGATACGTTGAATTTTTTTTTTAATTAAAAACTACTTTCACAAAATGAATTGTTTAAATAGCAAGATAATTATCCATTGTACATTTACATTGTATAACTACATTGATTTTTCTCGTCGCCGACTTAATATTTACGCGCTGCTCTGTTATTACATTGACCCTCGCAGGCCACAGTGGAGGATCTGGAGAACCCCAACCATTTTTCGCTCATAAGTTTCGAAAAATTCAATGTATTGTAATTTTCTTTTCTATTTTCAATTGATCGTAAATTTTCTGAGAATTATGATGGTAAAATCAGAATTTGTAAAAAAATCATTACCAAAAAATACGCGTTAAAAAATATAAATGATAGTTTTAAACATAGTTTAAAATTTCGTTGGGATCCCTGAGACCCCAGTGTGGCTTTCGAGGGTTAATATTTAAATGCTAATTGATAAGTGATAAAGTTGAGATACATTAAAAATACACTTGTATTATTTAATATTTAGTAATATCGATTTTATCAGCAGTAAAAAATGCAGATTAATAATTATGATGGATACATTACTGCTATTATTGATTGTTATCTATAACATCTATTGGAAAATTAAAAGACGTTAATATTTCATGAATAATTTAAAAAATGATAACATTTACGCGAAAAAATAAAAAAGATTATGTAAACAACGATATTCGATGAGATTCAAGTACCTTATCCGGATGTACAGCTAAGCAAGCTTTTCTGTAAGCCTTCTTGACGTCCGCAGCCGTGACCAATTGATGCATTTCGCAACGCTGCCACCTCTCAGCCTCCGGCCATAGGACCGTGTGTAACGAGCAAAGCAGAGCCCGCAAATTTCCTTTCTTACCCTCCGTCCACTCAGCAATTTTCATCCTATCGGGATCCATCGACTTGGCCGCTTCCACCTTTCGCATCTGATTTATTGTCTTCGGGCTGTCCTTGTCCGCTTTGCGCGAGCTGAAGAAGTTGTATCCCTGGCTACCAAGCAGATCCTCGAACGCATCGCCGCTCTTCTCCTTCGGTTTACCGCCAAACGCGTCCGAGGTGCCGCTACCCGCGCCATTAGCCTCGTTTGTCGCCGCGTTGGATTTGTGCATTGCGTTCGGGCTGGAATGGATCGGCGTACTTGCAGGCGCCGGACTCGCCGACTGCGGGGTATTCGAGTTCCTCGGCGTGCCGTTCCAGCTACCTGCAAGACCGGCGCCCAATGATCCGGCCAAATTGGCAAATGGATCCTTGTTAGCTTGAGCGGCGAAGTTCGGCACGCTGGCATTTCGCGGGAAATTTTCCTCGGAATTTGGACACTTCGCGGTATTCGGGTTCGTGCTGTTGCCGAGAAGATTGCTCGAGGCGTTTCCGCCCAGCGGATCGAACAGCAGATCGTTGACTTCCTTGACGTTGCTCGACGTTGTCTGACTCTGTCCGAAAAACAGATCATTCATGTTCAGATTGCTGTTGCTGGGTGTGATGTTGCTCCTCGTCGCAGAACTGTCGTGTCCGAACAGTAAGTCAGTCGGGGCGTTATTGTTAATTAAGGGTATCGAATTGGCGGCCTCGGTCTGCGGCGCCGACACGCCGAAACCGCCCAAGAGATCGCTTTCGTTCTGACTAGAACTAGAAAATATATCTAATCCTGGATTTGCCGCCGCGGCGGCGGGAGTATTTGAGGTATTATTGGTATTGTCCGGCATGCCGAGGTTCAACAAATCAGCCTCCTGAAAGCTGTTCTCTTCGATCTTGCTTGGCTCTTCCTCTTTCGGCTGTTCCGGCTGTTGAGGTACTGCTTCGTGTTGTGAAATCTTGTCGGTTTCATTCAACGGTACTTTCTGAGTCTGCAATAATGTCAATTATTATCGATTATTAATCAACTTTCCAACATTTTCCTACTCTTTAACGCTAAAAATACAAAATAATTGTATATCTAATAAATAATTAAAATAATAATAATATTCTACCTCTTCCTCATGAGGAGATGTCCTAAAGTTCTCCAGAGTTTCCTCCATTTCCAGCGTTGAACCAAACAGCGGACCCGGCACGGGCTTGACACACGTTTCCGCTTCCCACGGCGACGGCACCCTCGACAATTTCGAATTTTCCTCACCTATCATGACATTCAGCACAACGCGGAACTTGCCGCCAATCTCGGGAGCATCGTCCAAGTCGCGTTTTTCGAACGTCAAGGCGCTCTCGGTGATGGGCACGTAGCCAGTATGGAAGTGCAGGGAAGCGATTTTAATGCCAATAACACGGCCGAGCTGCTGCCTGGCGTGGTTTATCACTAGAGTGACGTCACCGCGCACGGCCGCGTCTCCCAGAATCAGACAGACCTTGCCCTCCATAATTCCAAACAGCTTCATTTCCTCGTAGTTGGCCTTCTTCGTCGTGAAGACCAGCGCGCCGTTACTGTAGATCTCTATGTACGGCCGGCAACCGTCTTTCGCTCTGGTGAACAACGGCACCGGTTGTACGACAATAGAACGGAGGACCAACGGCTTCGTGTGCGGAGGCCGACCGCCACTGAGCATACTCATGTAATTAATACTGCGCAATTCCGAGGGTTGTAGATGTGGCGGCTGACAGCGTCTCGTCGTGAACAGAGCGATCGCCTCCTCGACAGTGGTCAGGGCTCTGCTGTAGATCAATAGAGTGCATGCCACTGTGGCGCTCGCTCGATACCCGTCCTGGAAAGACAAATCAGCAGGATAATCGAGCCGTCACTTAGTGAACGTTTGATCGCACAATTTGAATTGCGACATACTCACATTACAATATAGCACCACCACGTGATTAAAGTCAGCGTTCAAATACTGATAGATATCTTGACAGATCTGGTACAGAGCAAATAGCATTGGTGCGTTCGATTCCGGAGTGGCGTAGGCAAATGAACAATCAATGTGCCTGCCGGGGAGTCGCGTGACGCTCGGCCGGCCGCGGGACAGATTGTATAGTTGAATCTTGGCGGGCGGCGGATGCCTGGCGTGGAGGAACGCTCTCACGTCCTCCACGTGATTAGCCCGATAGGCAGATTCGATCCCGTCGGCCGGATACGGCATAACGAGTATGCGCGACGTCAGATAACTCGCGTCCAGTTCCGTCCTGGCCATACTCTGTTGAACGGTATGCATCACCTTGCTGGAAGTGTCTTTCAAGTTGCGTAGAATGCTTCCGGCGCCGCCTCTCAGCGAGTTGAATAGGCCAGTTGTGCTCTGAGTCGCCGGGACCTTGGACACTACCGTCTGCACGGGCGCCGGTCTTGGCGGCGGCATCGTTGCCGGCGTGGTGGAACGAGGAACTGGGGCTGGCGTGTCCGACGGTGGTGGTGGTGGCGTTGGACGCGGGGGTGGCGACGGCTTGATCGTGATTTCGATCCGCGCCGGTTCTCTGGGATCGAAGTCGTTCGATTCGGCGATTGCCGCCAAACGTTCCAAGAGCTGCGCTGTCGTCAGCCTCTGTATGGGCGAGACTTGCAGACATCCCTTCACCAGATCGTGCAGACATGCGTACCGTGGATTAGGCGGTAACGGTGAATACTTGCCGTTCACAATTGCCAATTTGTTGCCTGCAAGATAAAAAATATTTTAATAAATACTATTATTATAATAAAATTGGCATACATATTCAAGCTTGAAAGTATTTTCAACAACAGTACATCTTTAAAAGAGAGATATTTAAACCTATCCTTTCTAATAATCCCGTGTTTCCACATTTGTTATCAATTATATCTGTATGCTTCAATCAACTCAATATTTAGTAAATCGCCGATTATCTCACCTTCGGGAAAAGGATGCCGCAATGTAACTAAAGAATATAATATACACCCTAAAGCCCAACAGTCCACCGGAGGCCCTATAGGGTCATTGTTCCACGTATCCATCATTTCCGGGGCGCGATACATGGGGGTTGTGTACTTGGCCATTTGATCCTCCAGAGTGGCACGTTTTTGAGCATTCCATGACGGATCGGGTAGTATCTGCTGAGTCGAGGCGCTACCGAAGTCACAAAGTTTCACGAGGCCGTCTCTACCGATCAAAAAGTTCTCCAGCTTGATGTCCCGGTGAACGAAGGGTTCCGGCTGCTGGCTGTGCATGTGATGCACCGCACGTACCGCTTGATAGGCTATCTTGCACACCTGGGCGAGAGTCAGCGTATTCACGGACACGCTCCTGAGTATATCCGCTACCGTACCGCCGGGACATAGCTCGGTGACGACCAGGTACTCGTATCCTTTACGCTCCTCTCGCTCTAGTCGTTGAGCATATAAGAACTGAATAATATTTGGGTGATTCGACAGTCTCTTCAATGTTTCTATCTCTTGTATAATGGCTTTGTTTGCATCTTCATCGGCGGCGATAAGTCTCTAATGATAAAAAATAATCTTTGTACAATACAACATTAAATTGCAAAAAGAATTAACGTGAATTAGTTTAGTTACCTTAAGTGCGTATTCTTTTCCCGTAGCAACATCTTCTACCGCAAACACCAATGCCCATCCACCTGTTGATACGATGTTTGCCACAAATTATCTAAATGTTAATAATGATACATAATTCGATTACGAGAATTATATCTCTCGCTCATGTTTTTCATATCATGCGCATAAATAAATGTCATTTATTATGCCTGTATGATAAGGCAACATCTGTTCATTTTACAAGCTGTACTAATTCAAACTGTTAATTTCTACAAATATTCACATTTGACTTGAGTATTAAACACAAACTGCAAAAACAAATTTAAAAAAAGGTCCTTTTATACATGTTCATAAATTCAACATGATTTAAAAATCATCTACCTTTTTGAGATAATAACTTTGCAATTCAAATTTTAATTCACATACTAGACACACATACTAGACATACTAGAATTCTATTTCAGTAAATATTAACAAAAATGGTCAGCATAATCCACTTTCAAAAATGTAAATTTAAAAAAATAAAAAAAATCTTGAATTATGTAACATGCATCTACATTATTTGGTTTTTACTTTCTAAAAAGACTTGACACGTATCGAAATTTGCAAAATTGCACTACCCGAGTTAAATTTCTTAGAGAAAACTTAAACTTGCTGATAAACCAATTTCTCGCACATCATAATCTTTAACGTCCAGTAAAATATAGATTGAGAAAGTATAACGAATGAACAATAGTAAGCTATATTAACGCAATCAATAGATTCTAAATATAATTAGAAAGGAATGTCTAGACAGCTTCGCCGCGCATTCACAAGGAAGCTGCGAGCTCAAGGACCGAGCAAAAATCGCCTGCGTCTTGAAACTCGTGACAAAGCGATCATCTTAAAAGAAAATAGACAATAGATTAATCGACAAAATCCGATCCAGCGAAACGTGAATGCGCGCGACAAGGAAATAAAGAAGATAAGAAGCGTTGACGTCAGAACACTCGGAACAGATTGTCCGTGACACGCGCGATTGGCGTCTGGCCGCGTGTCAAAACACACGTTGACACGTTTGACACATGACAGGCCGAGCAGATGTCACGCGAGAGCAAGAGATCGGCAAAGGTCTGGCTCCTTTCTCCTCTCCTCTTGCCGCCCCGCGCGATTATATCCGGCCTTTTTTTTTTATCGCGACGCGAGGAAGGCGGACCGCGGTCGACCTCGTTCGGCTCTAATCGCGGGATTAGGTGATACCCGCCCGCGGAGACGAGATCTCTGACAGGCACCCGAGATTCCGTGGTGGCGCCAGCACACTGCCAGCCTCCGCAAGCACTCCACGGGAGGATAAGACGATAGACTCACCCTCGGCGATCAGTCGCGTCACCCGCAGCTTCACATTGTTGATGTCCAACGTCTGGCCGACGTAATCGTTGCCGCCGGTGCCGCCGTTCAGGTACCCGAGCGCGGACCTCAGGTAGTCCGACATATTTCCCTGGACCTGCCTCGGTGGGCAACCCCCCGTGGATAGCGGGATAGCCCACTCACACACTCTCTCTCACAGTCGCGTCGCTGCGGACAGCCGATACCGTGCGGCCATATTGGCGCGGCGGTAACGTCGGCCGTCGGCGCGCGCAACCGGACCGGCGCGGCCGTCGCTTCGGTGACCAACTTCAGGCGCCAAGATCGCTCGTCAAAAAATCCCGTCTGGCGATTTATCGAATGCAATAACTGCAAAGAGACATTTGTAATTCATATTTGTAATTTAATAACACGCTTGACAGACGTATTATTACTCGACTTTGTACACCCGACTCGATAAATATGTTACCTTGCGCGCGAGAAATTTTCAAAGAGAAACGCGTCGGCGCTCGAGCGCGACGCCGATCGTAAATTACGAAATCGTCGTCCTCGCGATCCTCGCGAGCCCTCGACGCGCTTTTATAACGATCCTCTCTAACTCGTTCCACTTGCTCACATGGCGTGCAGTCACGCTGCAATTCCTTGCCGCGAAGATATTGCGTCCGTTTAGCGAAAGAACAAAGCAGACAACGAACGTTTCGAGCACTCTGAAGTTAGGACGAAATAAAGCTTCACTCACTAACGTATTTTACTCTATATCTTCTTGAATTTTGCAGAAGTTAAGTCTAAAACAGGAAAAAAAACTTTGTCTGTTTTAAAGTTAGATGGGAGATGAAAATTAATAAAATTCACGAGTTGTTAATAAATAATCGATAATTAATTGACGATTAATGAAACCATTCGATAAAGTTTTTGCTGACAAACTCACCGGTTCCTTTCGCGAGAGATTCTTCTGAAACTTCAGACGAATAACTATATTCGCGAAGCGCAACTTGCGCCGTGCGCGTATACGTTCGTCTTTTCGCGTATGAAGTTAGCCCAAGTTAGCCGCGCACGTGACACGTGACGCGCTCGAACATATGTCTAACTTCAGGCGCGCAGGCGTTAACGCGGACGCGACAGCGACGCGACGTTCGTGCCAGTTCGTAGACACATTCGCCTTTGTTTGTGCTCTTATATGCGCTTTCTATTTGCCACTTGCTCTCGTAAGTCGTATAATCGCGGCGATTGTTGCCGACAATTGCTCTGCATGAGCTCGATGTATATCTGTGTCAATTAGTGTTGATTCGCGGTCTAGAAGGGGAGACGGATATATGTGTACAATACAGTGTACATATATATGTAGATGTTATTTTTGAAGCGCATGACTCGCTGTCAAAACATTCGGGTCTGTTGAATTTTTTTTAACGCGGCCAACGATTTAAGGAAATGCCTTTCTAAAAATTAATGTAGGATTAATTAGAATTAATTAGAAATAATGTAGGATGCAAAAATGATATACAATCAATCTAAACTTGTACATATGCGATATGTACGTCTCTGAAATATTTTATCTTTACTTATAGCAGAGGGGTACTCGTACTGCTATCAGTTTTGTTGTTGTAAGATATCTTCCTGCCCATTTACCGTCGTTTCTTTTGTTTTTTAGATATATTTAACTAGATTATCAATTCCCCAAGATGTCTGAGGCGATAAGGTTCACAAAGTTGAAAACGACGACGGACCCAACGTTTTGGGCAAAATTTGCCGAACTGAAAATAGACAAGTTGAAGCTGGACGAGAAGTCCAAGATACATTTATGGGGAAGTTTTTCTCTTCGACCGAGGGACGAGGGGAGAACCAATCCATTAACGCTTGATTGTACATCGTTTAATGAGTGAGTGCCATATAAGGATGAGAATACAATTCACGTTCTTGAACCATATTTTGCAATGTAATGTGTCTTTATTAACGGTAACTGTTAATAACAATGTATAAATCCTATGTCGATATAATAAATAGGATAAGCTCCATTTAGACGAATTTCAGAAATCTGGAGAGCACTAGTCACAATGCTGGAGTAGCTTGCCACGGCTACATGATCAACACGAATACCTATGAAGCGTTCAGACAGATAAATCCCGAGAAGTTTATCGACACGATGGGCCAATGCGTTATCGATAGTATCAGAGACGGCACTGCCTTGCAGGAACCCTGGCAGCTCTCGGTATTCCTGGTATTCGCTTATTCGGATCTGAAGAAGTATAAGTTTCATTATTGGGCCGCGCATCCAGCTCCTTTCTCACTACCGGGAATTTATTTGGTCGCACCAACGAAATTCGCATCCGGCGAATTCACGTCCGGCCAGATAGATAAATTACGCGAAAGCTTCCTTCAGCTGGATGCGAGATCGAGGAACTTCTTCACAGTTTTCGCGTCGGGAAAGGATGACTTAAGCGTTGACGACTTGTCGAAGGGAGTGCTACGTGCAAAATCAAACGAGAGAGATTTACAACAGGTACAGTCTGATGAATTTGTACTCTCATTGTCTTTTATTTTTGTATCATATATAAGAAACTTATTATTGATAGATTATTAATAGCTTATTAGTAATAAATGAAATCGTTAATATCATTAGGGTGAAGTATACTTTGCATTTTATGATCCTTGCGCAAGTGCAGAACCTGGATGGCCCTTGCGAAACCTTCTGTGCCTATTGTATAGGCATTGCTCTTCGTACTGCTTTACAAATGACGTCAAAGTCTTGTCTATAAGGAGCGATAAAGTGGAGACTGCAGTTATATTTACACTTAGAATCAAAGAGGATAAAGACATGGAAACTACTTCCGAAGAGCACTTGGTAGGTTGGGAAGCTAACGTAAATGGGAAAATGGGCCCTAACATCGTGGATTTATCCAACATTATGGATCCTACCAAGTAAGTCTTGAGTTTTTCTAGTCAATTAACAACGATTTTTATATGTACAGATGTTTATACGAGTGCTATTTATTTTGTTTGTGTGTTACGTTAGACTATCCGACAGAGCGATCAATTTAAATCTGAAATTGATGAAATGGCGCCTTGTCCCTGATCTAGATTTGGAAAAGATCAGTGGTCTACGATGCCTTCTATTGGGCGCCGGTACTCTGGGATGTTCCGTGGCGAGAGTGCTTCTTGGCTGGGGTATCAATAATATGACGCTCGTAGATAATTCTACCGTCTCTCACAGCAACACGGTGCGCCAGAGTCTGTATACGCACGAAGACGCGGTGCAACGTCGGCACAAAGCGCACGCTGCGAAAGACGCTTTACTCAGGATACGTCCTAGCATGGCAAGTACACGTCTATTGAACTTGTTGGCATCGTCAAAACGATATTTTGACGAGGAAGGCAGTCGTCGATAAAATCATTTTATGTCGTTGCAGAATGTGGAAGGTGTGATCTTGCATATCCCCATGCCCGGTCACGTAGTCGGCCAGAGTATGATGGAGACGACCAGGGAAGCTGTGAGCAAACTGCAAGAACTCGTAAACAGCCACGACGTGGTGTTCTTGCTTCTGGATTCGCGAGAAGCCAGATGGCTGCCAACCCTCATGTGCGCCGCGACGAATAAGATAGCAATTAACGCTGCTTTGGGCTTCGATTCGTATACGGTACAACGGCACGGCATGCGCGATCTTTCCGATTCCGACTCGCCTAAATTAACGGTGCAGAACCCTGCGGGGCACGATCTTGGATGTTACTTTTGTAACGATGTAACACAACCCGGAAACGTGAGTACATATTTTAACATCATGTCAGATATCGTGGAAAAAATGTACGATATAAACTAGATTACATAAGCTAATTTAATAAAGATTTATTTTAATCCTGCGATTGTCATTTTCATTCTGATTCTAGTCCCAGACTGATAGAACGCTCGATCTGCAGTGCACCGTAAGTCGGCCGGGTTTATCGCAAATCGCCGCGGGTTTGGCAGTCGAACTACTTATGGCAGTAACGCAACATCCCCAAGGGTAAGCTGAATTTAAATATAAGCTGATAATAGATTTTGGTTATATGTGAGAGCTTTCAATAACATTTAATAACGAACGTATATAGATACGAACGTATATAGAACGTAAATATAGATCTAGTTTAATCTAATTTCATAATGTTTAGAGTTTTAGCTAGAGCGCTTATGGATAACGATAGAGACGATTGTCGAGAGAATGTCGATAATCCACTGGTAGGATTATTGGGTGGTGTACCTCACACGATACGGGGCTCGCTTTGGGGCAACGAAATGAAACTGACTGTTACGCACAGATCCCCATTCTGTACAGCTTGCTCGACACCTTTGATCGAGGAGTATCAACAACGCGATTTTGCTTTCGTTCTTGACGCTTGCAATGTGCCAAATTATCTCGAGAAATTATCAGGACTCGAGGAAATACTGAAGAGACCCGATCTGGATGAGGTATATAACGAGATATACAAGTAATTAAGCGTATTAGCATCTGAAGTGTTACAAAACAATAATAATATTTTTGTATCATTTCTATATTTCTTTATATATAGACTCATTTCACAAAGTCTTCTTACTTTGATAATTAAAAATTAAAATAATACATTTTAATTGCTTTACATATGCCGAATGATGCATTCGTATTGTATTTGATGTTACATACACTTTTCAATTTTCAGTTATGTTATACAATCGACACTTCGAGCGAGGATGAAGAGTCGTGAAGGAGCGGCAAATTAAATAATCCAGGCAAAATGATAAAATGCGTACAAAAGGGAAATATATGAATTTTAGTTATAAACTACTTGCACGATTTTTTTATGTAAAAATATATAATATTTTATGCGGAATATGCCATTTTGATAAAGAGGAGAAGAGCACGTTCAAACTAATCAAAGTTTACAGTTTGTATAGAATCAAAAACTTTAGTGAAGATTGTTAATACAAGAGAGATATATATGAGCGATGAAAGTCTTTGTGCTTCTTCAATTCTGTACAACTGTCTATGTTGCATATTTTACTTAAAATTGACGCATTATGTGTTATCTGTGATGTATAATTTTATTATTATTGAAATGTGAGGTAGATAATTTTTATATTGTGAATGATAACTATTTTTGTTCTTACGAAACGTTCGAACTCCTTTTATTACACAAGTACTTATCTTTTATTTAATTTTTATTACAGTTTTTTTTTATTTCGCAATTGAAGAAATACATGTACAAGATATTTCAGTATAGGATATGTGAAACTACGATCAAATTATCGCGCGTTAATGTTAGAAAATAATTAATGTATCTTTAATCAATGTTCGATCTATGGATGTCTATTATACGTTGTTTTGTAACGCTTATTCTTACTCGTTCATTGACTTTCCACGTGTTTTTATATCTCATCGTTGCTAATAAAAATACTTGTAAGCTGTTAATTTTGAAAGTGGCACATGGGAAAGTTTGAAAGTCTTAGGTATACCTCATAAATTTTTGTAAATCAATATCACTTTCAAATATAAATTATTCACATGACACATTTGATTTTTTATTATATAAAATTTCCTAATTAATTATACTATATATTAATTGTATAAATACAATATGTATGTTAGTTTTGATGTTATACTGTATTGTTTAATTAAATTAAGAAATATTTTAAAAAATTATTTGAAGAGTTTCGAAAAATTGGCTGAATCACGCGAGCTTGAGCCGTTGAAAAAAATTCAAACTTTCATTATACAACACGAAAACCTGAATTTTCAAAAATCGATCGTCAAAAATACATCTACAGATTCCACCATAGATTCCATCTATTTCACGGGAATAGATTTTTTTAGGTGGAAAAAAATGCGAGTTGAGGCTCCCGCCAAACGTTTTTCCATTCCTTCGGAGGTGTACGATTTTAGGCTTGTTCTTTTTAGATGAACTTCTCTCGCACGGTTCATCTTTCCTCTTTTTCTCTCCAACGTAAAAAGTAAAAGAGGAAAGATGAACCGTGCAGGAAGTTTTTTAGTATATTGATCACGTCCGCCTTTCGCCGGGCGTTACGGAGCGAGCGCTCACATCTGAACGGGCTTTAATACGTCAATACGAGTTAATACCGCATGAGGTGACGTTCTGGAACGTTTCGCGATTTGAAAGGACGCCCCGGAGTCCGGAGTATCCTTCGGACGTGAAAAAGGCACGCGTGGTCCACCGCTCCACGCAGATCACAGATTCCGGGAATTCCGTCAGTGAAATCCGTGAACTTTGAACCGCGCTATCAGCGCGGAATCGGCGGACCGTTTACGCCGTCGGTTGTCGCGCGTGCCGATGTCGCGAGAGTCCACGGAAGAACGGACGTGAGCTTCGAGAGCGATGGCACCGGGACGGAGTAACGTTATCAACGGCAACCAGCTCAGGAACTCCTCCAGCATTTCGTACAGGTAAAGCGACATCGAGCAGGCCCGGTATCGTACACGTATCCTCGTTCTGGATCTCGCAACATCCGCGGAGTCATGTCGATGTCAAAGGGCATTCATCTGGCCGTCTTGCAACCGAATCCCCCGCACCGACAGCCTTCAATCAAGCCCTGTCCTGATATCTTATTTATGGTGTTCGAGTATCAAAAAGTGAAAAAAAGATTAATAGGTTGGAAAGCCCCCTGTGTACCCGGAGCAAATGCAGTCTGAATATTTTAATCGTCTGATAGATTTTTAATCTCTTATGCTCAGTTCTACCAATGTGTAGATTGACTTTAATTTCGGTCTACTCACTTTTTATCCCTCTTTCTGGTTCCAAGAATTGATAAACAGTAAGTTAAAGCGAGATTAAAATTAATCTATATTGGTAGAAACAGACATTAATCCATTAAGGTTGTTCCTGGCACTTGAGCGCAGTTTAATAATCATCTGATAATTTTATTCTGTACGTTTGGAACGTGTTATAGATTTATGTACAGTCTTCTGTTCCACATGGATTGTTGCAAAGCAGTCAGTTCGATGCCTGTACCAATGACATTTGACAAACCATGTGAATTTTATGCTAAGGATAGTCGCAAAGAACATATTGGTGAGATGTAACGTTGAAAATTTTGACTCTGCTCAGTATGCCGGGACTAAATTTGCCCTTCCAAACCGCTGGAGCTGTTCCACCGCCGTTGCCACCTCGCCAGCCGGCGCAAAGTTACTCGGGGTACAACGACTACAGACCGTATGGCTCGAGCTATGGCTACGGGAATTATGGGAGCTACGGGTACGGAGGTGGTTACGGTGGTTACCGAGGTTACGGTGGATATGGATCTTTTGGTAGTTACAATCCCTATGGCAGCAGCTATGGCCAAATTGGAGGGCACAGTGGTGACGTAGAAAACAGGTATGTTGGAGAAAAGGAAGTCATTTATTAATATTGAGGATCGACTACTTACATATTATAATATAAAACAATGAAACGATAAAAATATAACTTTCTTGGTACGTATAGTGTTTGAAAAATGTAATGATTCAGTCTCAGTACACTTGAAAGCAAGAAAAAGTATTATATAGTCGAAAAGAATAGATCTAATTTAAATTTGAAGATTAAATAATTTAAATTAAAGGATGGGTCTAGTTTAAATTAGATAATCTACTTTTCCTCTCCCTCTTTGCCAGCATTGTAGAGTCTGAAATTTTTGTTTGAAGAAATCTCTTTGATTGCGCCTAGGATCCTTTGACCAAAAGAACCTGCTTTTCATATTGCAGATTTCAACAATACGCGGAGGAAAGCACGAGATCGACTTTCCGCGTGGTGGAGTCTGTGTTACAGACATTTTCGTCAATCACGATGTTGCTGGAATCAACGTATTTCGCATTGACGAATTCGTTCCGAGCGATTTTAAGCGTGGCGGATAATATCGGTAGACTGCGTTCAACAGTCGGCCAGCTATTGAGCACGTTTGCTTTAATCCGTGTCATGAAATGGATCTACAGAAAAATTTTATTTACGCTTGGTAAGCCTCTTACATAACCGAGACTTTTATCTGTTTACATTATTTGCGGTTATCATCGTTTACTCTATTGTTAGGTCTTCAAACGCAAAGTGCTGTTGCCGAGGATTTGTGGCAACAGTCGGTGTCACAGCTAAACGGAGAACGGCCGACGACTACGTCGGCGACGAATGAACGGATTTCTCCGTGGATGAATATTCTACTCCTCGGCGTGTTTGTCGCTATTCCATATCTAATTCACAAGATAACGAGTAGCATAAAGCAGAGTCAAATAAAAGGTAATTACTTTCGCATCTCTAATTAAGGGTACCAGATTTAAATAAATACATAAATACATGATATATTTTTATAAGTAATGATCTACGTCTCTCGTCACTAAACGTCCGTCACTAAACATCCTGGGAAGATATCTAATTATTTTTATCAAAAATTCTATAAGACATTTATGTAGTCAAAATTTTTAACACTTTAACAATTTATATCTGTTAAATTTACAGTTAACGATCCGAAAGAATGGGTGAAATGCGAGGATCCTGTTTGCGTGGCGACAGCGATGTACGATTTCATGGCGGTTTCTAACGAGGAATTGAGCCTGAGAGCCGGTCAGAAAATATGGTTGGCGCCGCGCTCTTTGCAATCTAAAAGCATACCAGGTTGGTGGATAGCCACCGACAACAGGAACGTCGGTTTGGTGCCTGCCAATTACGTAACTATAGTGGGACAATTGAAGAGGAAATCGGAATCAGAAAGCAATGGAAATGTCACCGCATCTACGGTAATTCCAACTTCCATGCAAAGTGCGACCGTTCCCGGTGAACAGATGAATACGCTAGAACCTAACGCTAGCCAACAAAGTACTGACTTCTCTGAGAATAATATTAAAGATGATCTCCTTTAGTCCAAATACATTGGGAGACCATCGATCTAAATTTACTTGTTCGGATAGTCACGAAGTGATAATGTCTACCTTATAATATATGGCCTACTATGCCTTTATAGGACATGACTGATATAAAATAATATTAACAAAAATACGCGCCATATATTTACTGGGTATCAAACAAAGCGCGGTGAGTCTTTTTCAACACATGCTTGAATTATAGTTACGAAAGTCGATTTACTGAGACTTTTATGATTTATCTCTATTGGGGGAAAATTCACCGATGACCGTAAAATAAGAACGGTTTCGGTATTTTCAATTTACAGTAATATATTACCTTTCTATATGTTAAGTTATTCAAATAAAGGAGAATTTGTAACATGCATACATTTATAAATTTAAGCCTTTGAATATTCAATCAGAAGAGAAGCAACAAACTCGTATCATTTCGCAGATATCGGTGCATAAATGATTTTTTATTTCTTACAATGAATGTTTGCAAATGCGAGATATTTCAATCTTGCACTTGCACTCAGCTGCAATAACGCTGGTGTTCAACGAATACTCGAGCAAAACTTATATCAAAACTGTATGATTTTTTTGTTCATATGATTGTTTGACTTACAACTGCTTGCTCATACAAGGAAAATCGGTAACTTGCATGTCACAAGCTCTCTTTGAAAGGGAATATTCGCAATGTAGTGTCACAATCTCATGTGTAAAATGAAGCACAGGACAATACAATCGCGTTTATATTTAGAAATCAAATTGCATAAAAAATAACTGCAATATTACGCTAATAATTTTCAAAATATGAGATGGCTCCAAATTGCAGAATCTCTGAAAAGTATTTGACATAAAAAATCATTGACGATTATAGAACTTTTGTAAATCCAACATGTAATTCACTAATTCTATTTATAACTGCTATATCTAAAGGTACATATACCAGTTTTTAATTTATATTGACTTCAGTATGAAAAAAATTAACTGCTTCAATTGGTAAAGCAGTCTGCCTTTTCTGTTACCGATTTAAAAAACCTAATCAAAATATACTAAAGTATAGACGCGATTGTTCGGGAAAAGCTATGATATTATTTATAATATATGCAATTATAGAATTTTGTACATTTTTTGTAATATTTTTTAATTGTAACTATTTTTCCTACTCCATTCAGTGTTTTGTATTGGATTTGTAATGGAAGTAACTTGCATATATGTACATATATGATATATTTATAGGCACATTTTTCTTCACAAATTGGAATTTAAGATATTGAATTTGTGAGATTCGACAGTCCTAATGTATTCTTCAATGTTGAGAACGTTTCTCTTTATGTCGTTTTAAATAAAATTTACAAAATTTTATTATACGTTAATGTATAAAAATGTTGATATTTATGCTTGAAGAGTCTAATGAGAATTGATTCGTATTCATGACTTATCGGGAAAGCATTGAATTACTGCGTAAAGAAATTTAATATAATAAAACGTGTTTTGCCGCTAAGCTACCTATCAATATGCTCTTGAGAAATTGAAATCGGTTGGGCACGTATAACGGATTCTGATCGGAATTGTTTAGTTATTTCCTAGATTTCTATTGTGTTTTCTAGGGAAAATGGAATAATTCCGATTGGAATTCATTTCGAAAAATTCCATAATATGTGCCCTTATCTAGTTAATTAGGAACAATAATCACACGAAATTTAGATAGGCATATATCGATTTGGACGATTATATATAGCACTAAATACGAAACAAAATAAATGATATAACTATGGATTATTGAATGCTCATCATTAAGGAAATCACGGTTGTTCGAAAATTTCTAACATGCGCACACATATGCAGACACATACACACCCACATCTATAAAAGTTTTGTTGTGAAACATTTATTTTGCAAATTCCAAGAAGTTTAATTTATAAATCAAACTTGGAATATATATAAGGCATACGACGAACAATATAACGCAGATACCGTAATATTTTTGCGGACTCAGCCCCTGTATATGAATCATATTCTACAAGATGCATGATTTTCACCAAAATTTTCATAAAATATATGCTCCTTTTTGGTAACCTCAAATTAGAGATCTGTGATGTGCTGATTGTTTAAAATAAATCGTCCGGATGTAAAAATATGCCAATGCATGGGACGTTTTCAGCAAACAGATACAATACAAAAATTGCACACTATTTTGGCATATTCACAATCACATTACGAGTTTCGTACAAGCTTGTTTATATATCGTCGTTCTTCAAATTAAACAACTATCTTAAGCTAACTAAACAATTTTCACTCATAAATTATAATTTAAGAATAAATTTTTATAAACACGTTCACGGCACTGATTTCGTTTAATCGTTAAGGCGCGTGTAATAACATAAAATTTGCTAACTCATGAATCTCTTACAACTTACTTGACTAAGGCGATTTAAACTGTTCTGAAAGCAAATTAAAATAATTTTAATGGCAGCTTCAAATACGCATTTGTCAAATATTACATAAAAATCTAAAAGTTAAAAGAGAAATTTCATAAACATTTAATAATACTAAGCTACTCTGTAAATTTGGAAATAAAACAGAAGTTTATAAAGATCGAGTTTTGTTGCTTCCAGAGCAATTTAAACTTCCTGAATGAAACACGCCGATAGATCTTCTAAATGCTGAATTGTTCTTCATTCCTCTTGATAAATGAACTTGTCAATGCTGGCAACAGTAAGACACATTTATTATTCCAAATCACACATGAACCGTAGAGTTTACTAATCCCTTAAAACTTTTTAACTCAAACACACATACGATATCTCGTTCTGTATTCAGATCACAAATAGAGAACGGAAGTTTTTCAACTTCCTTCCACGTGAAAAAGTTCATAATTGAGGATTTCAAAATATATATGTATATAATATATATTATGTATATATCTATAGAGTTAGTTTTTTGGATTTTCATTGTCCATGATGTTAGTGGTTTTAGATCCACTAATCGATATGGTGCTTTCGTCAATATGCATATATATTATTCGGGGTCAATATATATACATAACGCACTTCCGCTTCAATAAAAGTTTACTCATTTTCTAGAAAAAGCTAACTAATCCGTCGTGGATTTTTTTTAGAAGAATCTCGGCGCCCACAAGCAAGTTTCCAGTAACATACGACTAACAGTAGGAGACCTTGTATAATTGTTTTATACACTTGTATATTCATAAATTTGCACTACATAAAAACCATATATATATTAGCCCTCTACACCCAACTTTCGGTCTTGAATTTCCTTAAGTAAAAGATTAACAAAATAATTAAGAATATTCAAGACTGACAATAATTAGAACGCAAAAAAAAAAAACTTAAAAAAGGAACATATCAACATTTTTTAAGTTCGCGACTTATCTAGTTTCGACAAGTAAAATCGGCGTACCTGAACATCTCAAGCATCCCCTTGTCTTTCAGAGGGCTAACGATATAACACAAAATGTACAATACGATATTTGTGATAATGTGATGACATTCGCCATTGTTCCCCTATACTGCTATTTCCACTTGCAGCAAATTTGCGCAATCGGTAGAAGAATCGTCGTAGAGATTGTCGGTATATCTCCATATTAGAAATGTGGTTTCACGTGAACACATTATCAAGTTGCCTTTACACGCAGTGTCCCTGAGTCGAGCTTACTGTGGGCAACACGATATTCACATCGCACCTAAAGTTACCATTCAGCGTCCCCGTTTGCCTTTTGAAACACATAGTCTTTCCCACTTAGATTCATTATACCGTCCTTCAGATAAAACTTCCACTTATTTCGACTCCTTGTGATCTGAAAACAAAACGTTATCGTGAATTAGAAATAATTGAGTTCGAAATAATTTGATTGCAAAAATTAACTGTAAATTGCTTTCATACCTTATCGTACTGACAGACGACTACATTGTCAGTATCGAAGAGATCAGCGGGATCATCGTCCGTGACATCATCTTCGGAATTAAGGGGTTCCTAATACAGACAATTCTCTTGTAAGACAAGATTTCACTCAAGTTACTTGAAATTTATAAATATTAACCTCTTCACGAGCCGCTGCCTCATCATGCTCTTCCTCCTCTTTTTCATCGATATCCTCGTCATCATCATCATTGTCCTCTTCTTCCTCTTCATCATCATCGTCAGTAGAATCACCTACTCCTCCGTCTAACTGATTTATATTATTTTGCTGCTGAAAAAGTGAATAATGTACGTTACTTATAATATGTGTATGTACTTATCTATTTATCCATTATCTTATCTTTTGTGTTACATTCTCTCGTATCATATAAAATATTCTACTCTACCTGATTTTGAGGCGGCCTTTGCGTGACAACGCTGTTTGTACTTTGTGTGACCACTTGAAGAGGCTGATTTACTTGCAATGGAGTTAACGTTGCTTGTCCTTGCAGCGTAGAATTCACGTGCTGTTGCAACAGAGTCGAAGCTAAATTCGCTGGAAGACCCATAGCCGCGGAAATTACCGGACCAGTTAAAATCGTATGTAGCTGGTTTGCTAAAATAAAAAAAAAACAAATATTTATTTTCAGAGATAAATAGCTGACGCGTGCGTGTGTTTTGCAAATTTTCAGTATAATAAACTGCGATAATAAAAAATTACATTTATATTTTATAAATCTTTATGTGGATTTGCATTATAAAAATTATATATAACAAGATAAAATGTACAAAACAGTTTAATTTATGCTGCACAAATTGTTCTTAATGAAACACAGCAAAATCACCTTGAAGAGCAGATGCAGGAACTTGTATGCTTAAAATCCGCTGTGGTCCGTCCGGAACGCCGGGTTGTGGAGGTAAGGTGATCTGTATCGGCACTTGTCGTTCAAGCACACTCGAGGCGGTCACCACTTGTTGCACTTGTTGCGGTGTCGTCGAATGCTGCTGCTGCAACGTCGTTCCCGTGGAAGGATGCGTATGTTGCTGAGGTTGCGACGATTGCTGTGGTTGTGCTTGCGCTTGCTGCTGCTGCTGTTGCGGTTGTTGTTGAGGTTGAGGTTGAGGTTGAGGGTGAGGTTGAGGTTGAAGTTGAGGTGGAGGTTGAGGTTGCGTTTGCGTTTGCGGCACTATTTTTCCAGCAGATGGTTGTACAAAATGATTTCCTACATTAGCTGTTACAACATCAAACATATAACAACGATTTATATATACACAAGATGCATCACCATTACCGAATGTTCTATACGGAACACCCAATAGCAGTGAATCACCTTGTAAATTGCATTTTACTGTGAAATGAAAAATAATGAAAGACGCTAACCTCTATTGACGGACACAGCTTTGTGCGTGTTGATTTGAGGAACTTGCGGCTCTGGTGGATCTGGATTCAATTCCACGGCCTTGCTGGCCATCAGTTTTGTTTCCCATATTTGCTTAAGCTCCTGGAGAACCTGTTCGTCCACCCCTTCGTCTATAAATGCCTCTCGCACTCCCGATATTACATCTTCTATCACAGTGTTGTATAATTTCAGCTGCAAAATCATTCACAGTGAATTCAGTCATTTTGATATTGTAAAAATATGAAAAAAATATATATATATAAAGTACACATAAACCTCCATAAATGTATCTCAATAGTCATGCTGACCGAAAAGCGTTATATAAGTATAAATATGCTAATACATTCCTATCAAACAATTAAAGTAGCATAAGCCAATATAAGTTTGAGTACGGATGTTTGCGTGAAAATTAAATTCTTCTGGTATCTATCTTAATATCTCTTACACTCAAACTAATTTCTGATTTCTCAAGTCCTCTTTGGACCAAATATAAACCAAAGGTGTTAGATGCATAATAGGAACACAACTGTATATCGCATGAACATATGCTAGCCATTCACGCCTTACAATTCAATTTATCCTAGCATACCTAACAACCTCGAGACACCGGGAATCACATCGCGGGAAAAAGATTCCGGCATTCGAGCAAACCAGCCAAGTATGTAAACATCCAAACGTTTGCTCAGAGATATCACAGTGGAATGTACTTAATCTCCGCTTTACATCTAGATATTGAACGACGGTGTGCGAGACGGCGACGAACAGAACAGCCGGACGGTCACGCTAAGCAACCTGCCTCGGCTGCGATCTTTCAACCGAGGTGATGTGATAACTCCCTCGATGCTCATCATCCGGGGCGATCGAACGCCATCGAGTCGCCGGACACGCGCGCGGATCCGTCGGAAGTTCCGGAGGGAAAAAAATCCCGTTCTCTCTGGACAATCGCCGAGAATACGCGAACGTCCTCAGAAAAGGCGGAGGGCCGCGCTCACGGCCCGCTCTACTCATCTCTACTCACCACGCTGGTCTGGCTGAGGGCCATCGTGGCGCGACACGCACGTATCGGCGTGGACGCGCTCGCCCGACCGGGATGGGGAAGCGGAACACCGACCGCAGCCGCGCGTGGGACAGCGTACCCTGCCCGCGTCGCCTTCAGAAACCGTTCCGGCAGGTCCGGTACATCGTCGCAGCGGGTGAGCGGGCGGAAGGGTAGACACCTCGGGAGACCGTTCAATCACAGGTATTCTTGCGGGAAGAAAAAACGCAGAGCACGGCAGCGGCCCACCTCTCGCTCCGTCCACGAACACCGTCGGGCTGGCCGTAAACTCGGGGAATTATGCTGCGATGGGCGCCCGGTCTCCTCCGCGCAGGCGCGCAACGGGCGCGCAGTGGCGTAACTGGCTAAAGCGGGAAGGGAGGAGAAATCGGAACCCCCGAGATTCTATAGAATTTTTTTATTCTCGTGAGACAGAGAAACGCACACTCCTGTTCTTACGGAAAAGTTGCAATTTGATTGGCTGTCGCATTGTTTTTAGGCCAAACTTGTAGTTTTTTCGTATAAACGGAAATTGCGCTATGTATATTTTTTTTTATATTCTGTTGTTCATTCGTAGAAAAATAATGAACAAGAATTTACCTAAAGCGAAATAACTAATTATATATAATTCATTGTCCTTGAGCCAATTTTTTTTTTTTCACATATTAGACAACAAAGTTAATAAAATAGTATAGTTTACTCGATAAATTAATCGGAGTTTAGTTAGAGTTAAAAAAATTTTTTTTTTAGTCGATCGGAGTCATATCGGTGTGACGTCACACAACGAAACCTCGCCATCGCAAATTCGCGTAAACGGACCAATCAGTGAAGAACCGGGATCAGCTGCGCCGTTGCGAATGACGTTTTAAGGACCACTCGAGAATTCTGTATCTGTCGTCGTTGTCAAAATTTAGTCACGTTCAGCAGTGTGCGTCATGGTACTTGAGGGGCTTCGCGTCTCGGCAACTAATCGCGTCTAGTTTAACGAAATATGAATTTAGCGTGATACACGCGCGCGCGTAATACGATAATCGCCCAGATCCGGACGACGATTCAACGTCAGGATGAACGTCGTCGCCGCGTTGAAGTTTTATATAACGAGGATGACGGAGGACAGCGGCCCTGGCATGAAGGTTCTGCTGATGGATAAACAAACGGTAGGAGCGACGTGCGAATTACGATGATTGATTGCGAACTCGTGTCTCGTATTTCCTCTTCCTCTCTCTAATTGCGCGTCCGTTTCACTTGGAGCATGAAAAACATGACGGTGCAACTGCAAAGAACGGAACAATGATCACAGTTTCAAGGTATATCGTCATTCTTCTTTTTTTTTTCAATTTTAGACGAGCATAGTCAGCCTGCTCTACAGCCAGTCCGAGATACTGATGAAAGAGGTGTACCTGTTCGAACGGATAGACACCGCCGTGCACAACGACACCCTGAAACACCTGACATGTATAGTGTTCGTAAGGCCGACCAAGGAAAATATCGATTTGCTTTGCAAAGAGCTCAGATATCCCAAATACGGAGTGTATTATATTTGTAAGTGACCGCACGTGTCCCTGTAAACAATTAACAATCAGGCATTGAGAAACTATAGAAGAGTGTCTCTAGTTTCTCAAGCTGGGAATGAGAAGTGACGATCACCAATAACACTTATCTGCGCTAGATTTCAGTAATATTATCGCCAAGGCGGATATAAAGCTTCTGGCGGAGAGCGACGAGCGAGAGGTAGTCAGGGAGGTGCACGAATACTACGCGGATTATCTGGCTATTAATCCACACTTGTTTTCGCTCGGAATAAATGCCTGTTCTGAAGGTAACTTAATCTTGTGCAAACTCGTTGGTCCCAGTCTACCCCTATTCACTCCAACCATGCCTTTTTGTGTTCTACGAGTTTCTAATCCTCGCATCATTGACGAAATTTAATGTTCCAAAGCGCAAATTAAAGCTACTACTATAGCTTTAATTTGCGCTTTGGAACATTAAATTTCGTCAATTCGTTCGTGAGTTATGATGCGAGGATTAAAAGGGCGGAAAAAACGTTGAAGTGAATAGGGCTACAATAGATGTTTTAAGCCCTAAGCCCTAGGAAGGGATCAATCACAGTCAATTATTCTCCTCAAATTCAACTGTGATTGAACAATTTCTTAGGCCCAGTTCAACAGTGGCCAGTTAGCTTAACTAGTAGTTAACTCTCACTCTCCGTCTCTATCTAACCTTTGAGTTAAAAAGAGACAGAGAATGAGAGTTAACTACTAGTTAAGCTAACTGGCCACTGTTGAACTGGGCCTTAAGGCTTACAGCTTAAAACACCTATTGTAGACCGGGACTGAAAAAAATCTTGAAAATTATCGTCGCTCTTATCCCGGTCTGATTTGCATTTACAAGGGTTGACATGGGATCCGGTGCACTTGCACAGAACTGTCCAAGGAATAACTTCGGTTTTGTTATCGCTGAAGAAATGCCCGTATATCAGATATCAAAACAGTTCCGACATGGCGAAGAGATTGGCGGAGAAGATAAGGGAGGTGCTCAGCAAAGAATCGAATTCCTTCGAATTTCGGCAGGAGTCGAATCCCCTCCTTCTGATAGTCGATAGGAGAGACGATCCTGTCACGCCGTTGCTAAATCAGTGGACGTATCAAGCGATGGTACACGAATTACTGACGATTAATAACAATCGGGTTAACTTGTCCCACGTGAAAGGCATTTCGAAAGAATTGAAAGAAGTCGTTCTGAGCGCGGAGCACGATGACTTTTATGCAAATGTAAGAAAATTCTTCAACCCATTTTTCACCATATATGCATTCATATTTAAAATTTATTAGCAAAAGTACATATAAATTAATAAAAGTAATATTTTTGAAGATCTTGGTTTACTTTGAGATTTTTCAAATAATTTTATAAACGTTATTCCTTGCGGAAGACCCTTTGTGTTAAAAGAATATATTCTTGAGCAGAACTTGTATCTAAACTTTGGGGAAATAGGACAAACGATAAAAGAATTGATGGAAGAGTTTCAAAAGAAAGCGAAGAAGCATCAGAAGGTTGAAAGTATAGCCGACATGAAACACTTCGTAGAGACGTATCCGCTTTTCAAGAAACTCTCTGGTACCGTATCGAAGCACGTTACGGTAGTCGGAGAGCTTTCGTCCCTTGTGGAAAAGCACAATTTGTTGGAAGTATCAGAATTGGAACAAGAACTAAGTTGCCAAACCGATCATTCCTCGCAGGTAATTTCTCAATATCTCCGCAAAACGATAAAAAAATAATATATATCTTATATATCTGTGTATTCTTTTTAATCGTTCTGTTTTTACAGCTGCAAAAGATAAAAGCACTTATCAGCAATCAGAAGGTACGAGATGTGGATACTGTAAGACTCGTCATGCTTTACGCGCTGCATTATGAAAAATACGCGAGCAATGATATAAACGGTTTAGTAGAATTACTTAAGAAGAGAAATGTTTCAGACAAATATATTAAGGTACTTATAGAATTAATATTTTTTGGTGAAAAAGATATATGTATATAATATATACAAACCTAATATATTTCCAGCTTGTATATAATATATTGGAATACAGCGGTGTTAACGCAAGACAGAGTAATTTATTTGATCGAGAAGCAGTTGCCAAGATAACCAAGAAGTTATTCAAAGGATTAAGTGGGGTAGATAATATATACACGCAACATTGCCCTTTAATAAATGAAACGCTAGAGGACTTGATAAAAGGAAAATTAAGTACGCAGACATTTCCATATCTCGGTAACATGATAATGTCACGAAGGTAAATTGTTTAAATATTAAATAGCGAACACCACATGCATGTGTGTTAGATATAACTTATATACATTATCATTCTCCATTTTTATAGACCTCAAGACATAATAATATTCATGATTGGAGGTGCGACTTATGAAGAAAGTTTGGCCGTTTATAATTTAAATAAGCAAAATCCGGGAATGAAGATTATCCTAGGCGGTACCACCATCCACAATTTTAAAAGTTTCGCCGAAGAGGTGCACCATGCCACCAGCGGGATCTTAATGCGATATAAAATCGGAAAAAATTAATTACGTTGATGTAACGTCATATTCCAAAATATTTATTGACTTTGTTATACATTTTGCTATTTATACATTCATGTAATATCTCCCTCTCTTTCTCTCTGTGTCACGAATATAGGACTATTTTACACCAAGACTTTCGAACGTAAATCACCGCGAAGTATTGCATGAAACAGAATATTCTTCTGCATTTGATAATTTTATATTTCCTATCTTTGTCGTGAAAACATAATTTTCTTTTTGCTAACTGCTATTCGTCATCCTCATCATTCAGCATGTATTCCATCGGCATATCTATGATTTCGTCATCCTTTACTGGTACCTTTAATAAATATGCATTATTTTTCTTAATATTGCAAAAAGCGCAATAAATAATATATATGCATTGGCTTAAAACCTCTGATTTAAATTTTCTACATTATATAGTCATTTTTATAATAAAACCCCAAATTAAAAATCTGTTGAAATATACTCATTTAAAAAAGCTAAATGGAAAAAGTTTTATTAACTACTTCCATCTCTAAAGCTTCATTTCTAATTACTTATTATTTAAAAAACTATTGATCTATTAGTTTTTGAATATTTTATTAAGGAATAATTCCATCCTAAATTTTGTATATTATTTTTATCATTCTGACACACCAAAAGAATTAATATACAAATAAAACCTTATTAAATACATTAACGAAGAGTCTATGTTAAAATTTGGAATATTTTACAAATCTAATTTTACGTCTAATGTTATTCATGTTATTTACATAGGAATATATAATTTTTCCACTTTACGCTGAATAAAAATAAACTATTTAACCACTTTAATTGTGAATACACCAAATTAACGCAGTTCTTTAAGGTGTATGCGGTAAGAAGCAAAAATATACTCGTTATGTAAAAAAATTGATATTAATTGGTTAATTTCCATGTAAAAATATATTATCAATACGCAATAACTAATACTCACGTTTTCTATTCTTCTTAGGAATTTTAATAAATTTTCTGCTTCTTAACAAATATACTAGCACCTACAAATAAAGCTACTTGTAGCTTCAACCTCAACATTTGTACTGTTTTGTTTTCCAAAAAACATATTTACATGAACAGAGAGTATCTTTTTACGATACAAGACTTTATACTTTATCTACATTATAGATATATTTTGCTAAATTGATCATTAATATTACATTTTGCTATATGAGTAAGACATATTGATCCAATTCAAATAAAAATATAGAAATTTTTATATTATGTAAAAAGAAATTTTCTCTGCATGCAAAAATTCTTTTTATTAAATATAATATTTATAAAAATGGATAAATATATTGATATAATTTGTAAAATGTAAATATTAATTGACGCAAAAATAATTTACATCAAGAATGTTTTCAAAACAAAGATAAGAAGATAGAAAAACCAATTAATATCCAACACAAATTCCGTCTATCGCAAGAATTTTTCGTTTATCTATCCATGATGTGCATTCTATCACATCTTTTCTCCGTATAAGCAAAACTTACCTCTACAATGCCAGTGGATAACGCATATCCTGTCATTGCCAGTATAGCGACAAGCGCGGCGAAGATTTGGTTTCTTCTCTTGTTGGGAAATTCACTTTCGGAATCTCTTCTTAATCTTTCGGCATTCTTCTCGGCTCTATGCTTCTCGTAAGTCTGATATTCAATCTCAAAATACCTTTGTGATATGCGCGACACATACTTCACTAGATTTGTACAGGCTTTCAAATGATTTTGTAAAACTGGGTTTGGTAATGGGGCCTTTAGCAACGGTCCCAGATACGAGTATACAACGGCGTCTATCGCGCTAGGTTGCTGCCCACAAAAGAAATCTCTATCGCCAAGCCTTGTAGATAACAACGTTAAACATTTTTGTGCTTCCGAGTATACCTGTTACATAAATTCACATACTTATTACATAAATTCTTCGAGTTAATCAAAATAAGTCTTTTGCACTTAATATTACTTAATATTTCTCTCGTTATATAAACGTTTTCCTGCGCGTTACATACCTCATTTTCAATAACATTTATATTATCTTCCAGGGGATATAAACTTTGCATCAAGGCGTGCGCTTGCCGTTCAAATTTTCCTGGATAATAGAAATTAAATGGAAAAGACAGCGCTTTGCAGTACCATGGTCTAACTAACTCGTCCAGATTTTTCTTATCTATCCACCTAAAAATAATTGTAATAATAAGATCCCTTTGTTATTTATGCTATAATTACGAAAGCACTGACGTTGTACAAGGCTCTAATTACACTGAGATGCACTCTGCTAATAAGAAACTATTAAAACATTATTTGCAAAACTAGAGGACTGGACAAACATATACGCAATGACCAGAATAACGTGCATCCCATATTTAGATCAAGATATTTTAATATTGCTACTTGAGACAAATAATTCATTTACCTAATTACTAAATAGATAAATTTAGAAACAAATGTGTTACTCGACATTTGTAATTTTGAACCTTGCCATGTATATGTCTTTAGGAAAATCTTTCCTTAGACGATGTCTGAAATTACTAATAATTCTGGCCTTTCCTTGACAATTATTTTGCTAATAACACTTGGGCAATACAGGAATTCTATAATATTTTGAATTTAATGGACCTGCTAATTACTTTGAACTTTGAAGATGATATATGCATAAATGTCTTAAAAAATTCTCAGCATGAATGACGAATAAGTTATTTTTCAATCGATTTAATTACTATCGATTAATTAGGTAAATCTCGTCAATCTTTCCGTTGCAAATAAGTTAATGTAATTTTAACATCGTTGAGATTTCATAATTAGGTTGCATCTTATTCTGGCGCGTTTTTGCACATCTCATACCATATAAATTGGAAGGCTGGATACAACTTTTCCTTAAGCAGAGCATCATAAGCCATGACGTCCGCGCACTGCTTATCGTTTAACGTATAGTCAAAATTATATTTCGCTCTAAAAAAGGGCAATATATCTTTGACCGTGTCCAAAGTACGCAGACCAGCCCTAAGCAAAGGTAATCGACCGTTTGGCGTTCTAAACGGATTGCTCGCTAGATTGACTTTTAAAGGTACCCCACTGAATCTGGCATATGCCTACAAATAACATGACACTGTATTAGGAAACGAGTGCTGTTGCAACCTGTTATATCATTAGGATGTTACATTATTACTAAATAGACATTGTAATTAAGTTTTTATTAAAAAAATAATCATAATTTCTGATAACATATCGCCGTTACAGTTTGAATGGCTAAAACTGAAATGCAGTGGCCCAGTGGCTAACATTCAACCTTCAACGCGTCGACTTGGATATTAATGGAACAGTGGAGGCACATTTTTTTTTTCTTTCGCTTTCATTTCATTTTAGGCTCCCTGATATCGCTACGTATGTCGTACCCTTCTCGGATACGCCTCCAAGGCAGCAAGTACCCTTTTGATGACTTCTTCGGCCGATCATAGTGTCACACAACTTTTACAATTAAATTTTGAATGAAGACTGTTAAGATTCGCTCGAAGTCACTCGGGGAAATCGTCGCTCCGTCGCCCACGTTTCTCATCTCCAACGTGTAACCCATCGAAAATCTTTCATTTTTAATTAATCGCTCGAAAAAGGCGCGCGGCACCTCGGACGTTCCCCAGTGCGAGGGTTCGAGTTCGGTGCTAAATCGGCCGAAGAACTCATGCGACGGGATAGATATTTGAGATCCTCGTGCGTGCCGGACTCTCGGCGAGTTCGGCGTCACGAGAAAAAAAGGGGGAAAAAACCGCCCCGTCGTCGGTCGGCTACCAGCATGCGGGTGCCATAACCTGTAACCGTCGACCTAACGCACCAGAACCTGCAGGCACTCGATGTCGACCGACGGCAGGCCCCAGTCGCCCTTCCACACGTCCAGCTGCAGCACCTCGGCGTTCGCCATTTTCGAAAACTCGCATCGCCAGTGAGACTAAACGCGATAAACCCTCGGCGCGAAGCCTCTCGTCCGCCGAGACCTCGTCTCCTCGGTAAACAATGCAGCGTCGCGTGGCACATTGCAGGTTAGGGTGGCTCGTTCCTCGCAGCTGAACTTTCTGCACTTTTTATCCTCCCTCCTTTTCTCCCCGACGGCTAATCGCGCACGTGTTCCGCTTTAAAGTGCAAAGAGTGCAGCAATAAGGAGCAGACAAGTGTACGAGTGTGAATGGGCTTTAAAAATCGTTAATCGATCGAGCGCAGGCGCGAACGAGCCTTCAAGAGTTTGACGCTCCGGTTGCCCCAGCTCCCAGACTGCCCCTGCTTCTCCGTCTCCCTCATCCAGCTGATCTTGCTGATCATGTAATGATTATCATGCAAGCGTGAGTAAGGAGTTTTCTTCGGTGGGGTTCATGGTCAAGCCGGGTGACAAGTGGGAAATTAAAATTAAGAACGAGGACGAGCATGTTGCTGCAGAATTTTTAGATATCCGCAGAGAGGCGAGCGGTGATAACGCGCAGCGATAAGAGATCCTCTCTGTTGTCGTCAAGTTGCTATGATAAGATGTCCAACACGCTTACGCCGTTTGTGTACTGGGCCCAGACCGAGGGCCAGGTCACGCTGAAAGTAGACCTGACCGACGTAAAAGTACGTAATGTCATGTAAGAAAGAGATTTTCTATGCTTGTAACTGTGAACACATGTTACAATTGTACGCCTTATTTCGCAGGATCTTAATGTCAATCTGAAGGAAACTACATTGCAAGTTACAGCCTATGGACAGGGAGCTAGAGGACTGAACAATTACAGCTTTGATCTAAATCTTCACTCACCTATCGATCCAAATGTAACAATAAACTCAGTTTTTCATTTATATCTATTTCATATGAATTGCACTAAAGTAATGCCTTTATTATGTAGGAGAGCAATTACAAAGTAATCGATCGTCAGGTGGACTTCGTCTTGATAAAGAAGTGTAATGGTTGGTGGCCGAGATTAACGAGCCAGCCACAGAAACCCTCCTGGCTCAAGATCGATTTCGACAAATGGAAGAGCGAAGATATGGACGACAATGAGGAAGAGAAGCGTGACATTCTTAACGATTATCCGGACATGTATGATAAACTGCACAAAGAAGAATTTGGTTACAGGAAAGGTACATGTCACACGAGTGGATGTCGCTATAAACAAGATTAACAACGTTAACAAGATTAACATGTCGTATCTCGTTTTCTTTCAGAGGATTTCACCAAAGTGTATCTAGTCATATATAATCTTTGTCAATTTGTCGGTTTCATTTATGTGCTCGCTGTGATGGCTGTACGATATTCGCGCGACGGGCCAGGTATACTTATACGCATTACTTTAAAGTATTTCTTTCTGTTGTGCAAGGATTAAGCTGTAAAAATTGTATCGAAGATCTTTTACGTTGAAATTTGTAACGGTGAACAATTTCGTTTTCTAGAAACGTTTTATTTTCAACGCAATATTTCAGATTCCATGAAAGATACGTACGAGGCGGTTGGCCATCCATTCAAGTTCATACAACTTTTACAATTTTTGGAGGTGATGCACCCTCTATTCGGATACACGAAGAGCAGCGTGCTGGTGTCTCTGCTACAAACGAGCGGTAGAGGTTTCGTGCTGTTCTTCATGGTCGACGCCGAGCCTCGTATGCAAACCAAGCCCGTCGTTTTCTACCTGTTTCTCATATGGAGCTCGGTGGAGATAGTGAGATATCCATACTACATCACGCAATTGCTGAACATTGAGATATCCTTCCTAACGTGGCTGAGATACTCGATTTGGATACCGTTGTACCCGTTGGGCTTCGTATGCGAGAGTATCATAATGCTACGAAACATTCCGTATTTCGAGGAGACTCAAAAGTTCACCATCTCTTTACCGAACAGTTACAATTTCGCTCTTCACTTTCCGTCTCTCATAAGACTTTACTTACTCTTCCTACTCCTGCCCGGAATATACACGGTAATGTTACGTATGCATGAGCTGCGCCAGAAGAAGCTTAGAAAGCCAAAGATTAAAAAGAAGTACTGCTGATTTCGCGCGTATAGGTAAACTCCAGACTCGCGTATTCCTCTCTTCGCCTACAATCACCATTGCGCGGAGAGCATAATAAAAGAGAACAAGGTACATAGAAGGTGTAAGGTGTCCATTTTAACATACACAGCTTTCGTAATAATGCTGTAATTATGTATAGATATTTATATATTTTTATCGCTAGATATATATTTCAAAAGCATTTTTAATTTTATGCACTGATATGCATAAACTGATTTCATTCCGTGGGTCAATTGTATCTATACAATTAAATGCCGTGTAATGATAATACTCGGCACATTTTCATTCTGCGTGTGTGCCATTATCAGCGAACAGATATAGATATTATCTCACTTGACGATTATATAATATGAACATTCGACTGTATTTCGCATAATAAACTGCGTAACCTGCGTAACTAAGAATCTGGTTTTTTAGGTATCTAAGTCTTGCAAACATCCTGTGTATGAAAGAACAAAATAAATCGTGTAAATAGGACAAGCATGATCAAGTTTTATCCTCGGATGTTTAGCTTGTGATAAAACAGCGGACGTGCAAATTGTAAATATACAAATTGATATTTAATGCAAAATACATTTGCAGCAGAATTCGCAAACTCACTGAAAAAAAAAAAAATGATTTATGACGCTTATTGCATTAAGAGTACAGACAAAATAAAATTTTCTTGTTTTAAAATTATATTGATTTAATTATTTTATTCAAATTGTAACATATTATTTTATTTAAATAAAGGAACAGAAGAATTGGGAGACAGTGCAAAATATTGAATTGCAAACTCGGCGAATTTGAATTTCAAATTTGCCTCGAAGAACAATATCGATATTCCTTTCTCGTCGACGTGTATCGATATTGGTTGCAGCTATCGTCAATCGAATCGGAGACTCCGTGAATCTGGACAATTTGGTTAGGAAGCATGGTAAACACGCCGTCAGCAACCGGTTGTACGCGATCCTGTGGTCGGTTCAATGAAATTTAAGTTTCGACACGCGTGACTTTATTCCAGACCTAACGCGACGTTCAACGTATCTCCGCATTTCAGATTATTCCAACTTGATGCGTGCGAGATGAGTTTTCCAGCCGGTTATTTGGAACTCGTCATGTAACAGTGATGCAAGATTTTTATTCAAATTGTCACAAACATTATGAAAAATGTACCCCGTTGATCCGACGAAGACGATTTCACCGGCGACCGCCGGCAAGAAAGTGTTCCTGAGCGATGCCGAGCTCGATAAGATCGCCCTGTTCCTCGTCGGTAATCAACAACGCTTCAGAGAGAACATTATAATCCCCAGGATGCTGGGGCCCGTGCAGATAAAGACCATCGAGGAGAAGAGGATAGACAGTATGATGGAAAGCTGTGCTTTCAAGAGCATTATGAGTTGTGTTATCGGTACGCCGCTCCACTATTCCTCTCCATACCCAAATATCGAATGTTGTAAATTAGGCCTGTTTGTTTTAGCTGAACTTCTTGCACAGTTCATTTTTCCTCCCTTTCTCCCTAAAGTGAAAAGAAAAAGAGGAAAGATGAACCATACAAGAAGAACAAACAGGCCTATTATTAATATTTAACCCTTTGTAGTTCTACATCGAATGACTCTGTCATACAATTCTTCAAGTACTCAGATCTGTACGTGATCATAATTCACACACTATATTTTTGAAATCTCTATAAATTCCTTCACAAATAATAAAAATTCTTTGATTCACGTTAGATTCATCAATTGGATAAAATTGAGGACGAGATACTGTATCTTTGCTCATTGATGAGAAATAATCTGGCTCGCCGAGTTCAGAACGAGATTACAACTGCGAAAGTTACGTAGCGCTGAATTACAGAACGTTGGTCTTTTTCAGGATATGGACTGGGAGCGGCCATTGGACTGTTCTCCTCCAGCGTGAATCCAAATGTGGCGAGCGTCGAGAGGCAACAGAGCGCGCGAGAGATACTAAGGGAGATGAAAACCACGACTCTCGGCTACGCGAAAAACTTCGCGGTTGTCGGATGCATATTCTCCGCTATTGAGTGCACAATAGAATCGGTAATGCTCCAGATATGCGTGTTAGGGATCTTATTTTCGGGCAACAGTCCGTTGTTTCGTACAATACGTCCTCCTTGGCGCGTTGTAAAAAGACGCTCTTGATTTCAGTACAGAGGTAAGACCGACTGGAAGAACGGCACGTACGCAGGAGGCTTCACGGGTGGACTAATTGGCTTGAGAGGTATTAACTTGTTCCATACGTTATATAATAATCGATACGTTTTGAATCTACCTTACGTAATTTAATCTGTTTTAATCTCGCGCCGCTCTTTGCAGCCGGTATAAAAGCGGGTATAGTCGGCGCCGCAGGCTTCGCAGCATTCTCAACGGCAATAGACTATTACATGCATAGATCTTAGACTACGCAGCATAGATTGTTAAAAGATATATATATTTGTATAAAAGAGATATAAAAATTCGTGTAATTACGTATCTATACAATTCCTGTATAAAAACATGGAAATGTTCTCAGTGTAAATATGCTCGTAAAACTAGTATCGTGTGACTGAATTAAAAGCGTAAAATATATTGCCCTTTTAATTGATTTACCACTTAATACTTATCCGATTTCGCGTATATATATGAAATTTCCTTTCTTATCTATAATTCTTATATGTAATCACATTTTACATGTTTCGTTGTATTGCATGAAACAATTCGCACAAAGGGTGATGTTCGCATATGTGATACATGTAAAAAATTCCTAAATCTTGTAGTCACATTTATCTTAAACGTTACGTTTTCATTCCTATCATGTATGACGAATATAGTATTTATGAATATCTAGGAATACATGATATCATTTATATGTTTCGTGAATTCGTATATACGTGAAAGACTTGGAAGAAAGAAGTTACAAATGGCCAATTGCAAGAAAAAATATAGTATGTTGTATATTTAAAATTAACTTTGGATTGTTCTCTCTTTTAAAAGTGTTTTGGCACATTCATACTTCTTTGCTTCTAGGTCACTTAATATTAATTACTAAATAATACGCAGTTACTTTTAGATACAATCTGACATGATCGAATCAGTCGAAAGGTTCCGACGAATCAGTCAAGATCCTTTTATTCGAAGATTGCATCAACCTTTTAAAGTTTTTATACATCGCTGTCTTACATGAGTATGAGATTCTTTATTCGGCAATATGAGTTTTACTTATAACTTGCCATGGATATATTGCTCAATTATAAAAATGATTCTTTTAATACAACTGAAGTGTTTACAACAAATTGTTTGCATATTTATTTTACACGAAAAAGCATTTGCATCTCTTACATGTGTTGATATTCGTACTGTGATAGTGAGAGATAGATAAAATTTGCAAGGCACTTCTTCCACAATTCTTTTCCGTGTCATTCTGTTGTATGATCATCTTTATCTGAGGTAAAATTCTTATTTTTTAAGTCACGCGTACAAGATATCTAATATTTTCTTTTGATAATACTTCATATATAGCTGAGATCTACATTTAAAAGTTGTTCAAAATGAGAAGTTATTAGGCGTTACCTTACATGAGATATTTGCATTCGCAATTTTGGTTCATTGGTCTA